GGCCAAAGAATAAAATAAATAAATACTATTAACAGTTAAAAAGACTGTTTAGAATAAAAGAGGTTCTGTAACTGAGGCATTTGAGGTTCGAGTGTTCAAACCTTGCATTGCCTCAGAGAAAAAATTCTGCCTGGGAAGGCGTGGGTTAAAACAAAGCCGCTTAAGCATCCACCATGAGGAGGAGCTAGGGGAAGTTCTTTTAAGGAAGGAAAAAAACTTTTTATGAGCATAAGCACTCCTGTTCATCTAAGTGCTGAAGCATCGATTGTTTGTTGACATGTATGCGAGTTCAGGTTTGTTTGTACTCACTATGGGTTGGTGCATTTTGTATCTATGAATGTGTCTGCACTGGACAAGTGTGGGGGGAGGATCAGGGCTCTGGGAGCAGGTTTTAGAGGCACTGCAGGGACTGACAGGACTCCTACAGAGAGGGGCCAGGTATCAGGGAGGATGGAAGGAAGGAGGAGGCTGGGAACTCCAAGGAAAGGAAGCGGTGGGAAGGAGCTGAGGTGCATGCACACCAATGCTAGGAGCATGGGTAACAAGCAGGAAGCGCTTGAAGCTCTCCTGGGAAGAGGAGGGTATGACCTGGTGGGGATCACAGAAACTGGGTGGGATGAAAGGCAAGGCTGGAATGTGAACATAGAGGGGTATCACCTTTTCAGAAAGGACTGGAAGGGAAAGAGGGGTGGGGGGTGGCTTGATACGTCAGGGAAGGGATAGGATGCAGTGAGAGAGAATGCAGCACAGGTGGGGATTCGGTGGAGGCAGTCTGGGTGAAACTTCGGGGTTTTGACAGGGAAAGAGACCTGACAGTGGGGGTATGTTATCGCCCTCCAGGTCAACTTGAGACCCTGGATGATGTCCTGACAGGCCAGATTCTAAGGGTATCTCGGGGGAGGGACACAATAATTATGGGAGATTTCAATCTCCCACATATTATTTGGGAGACTCACTCGGCGGTGACAGCCAGGTCACGTTGCTTCCTAGAGGCTATAGAGGGAGCGTTTTTCACACAGAGGGTCCGAGAGGCGACGAGGGGGGCGAACATCCTTGACTTGGTCTTGACCAATAGGGAGGAGCTGATAGATGAAGTACAGATTAGGGGAGCTCTGGATGCGAGTGATCACTCCATCCTTTGCTTTAAGATCAGGACTGGGGACGTGCAGCAGGTCGAGCACTAGAAGCTGGGACTTCAAGAGGGCCAACTTTGGCCAACTGAAGGCCAGACTGGGGGACTGGGTCTCCTGGGAGAGGTTACTGGAAGGCAAGCGAGTTGAGGAGGGGTGGCTGGCACTCAAAAGGGAGGTTTTGGAGGCGCAAGCCTTGACGATACCTCTAGTCAGTAAGGTGGGGAGGCAGAGGAGAGCGCCGCCATGGATGCAAAAGGAGGTGGTTAGAGGGATTAGAGGAAAGGGGAACCTCCGTAGGAAATGGGCACTGGGGGAAATAGACAAAAGGGTAGTAAAAAGGGACATGGGGAATTACAGACCTGTTAGCCTTACGTCCATTGTAGGAAAAACAATGGAAAGGCTCATCATAGTGAGAGATCTAGTGATGCTAGATAGGGAAGGGAGGCTGGCAGCCACACAACACGGCATCCGCAAAAACAGGTCCTGCCAGACAAACCTTGTGGGATTCTATGACAAGGTTTCGAGATGGCTAGATAGAGGGGATGCAGTGGATGTGGTTTACCTGGATTTCAGCAAGGCCTTTGACAAAGTGCCCCATGATATCCTGGTGGAGAAACTGAGGAGCAGGTACTCCAGATCCAAAAGGATTTGGACAGACTATGGAAGTGGGCAGGAAACAGGAAACAGGGAGTGGGCAGGAAAACAACATGATGACGTTCAATGTGGATTATGGCCCCTTTTGGGCAGGTACTTTGGCAATGGGAGAATTTGGGTCTGTGGAGTCCCCTCTGTCTGCAGCAGAGATGAAACCTTTTAGGCAGGAATTACAAGTTATTTTTGTTTGTTTGCTTGCTTGCTTGCTTGCTTGCTTGTTTGCTTGTATTTTGTTTTCTGGTGAAGAATTGAGTTTGATCTAACAGGTAGCTAGAGATGTTTGGAATAGAGAAAATCTCAGCAGAGCAGGAGATGCTCCGTGCTGGCTTCTAGAAGGGGGAGTTGGGAGTTATTAGAGTTATATGATCCACGGAATCAAAGAGGCAGTACCTCAGTCCCTTAATGTACATAAGACTTTGTCTTTGGAATAAAAGAAATATGATACTCCATCTGAGTGGCTGGAGAGACTGAAGCAACAGATGCCAAAAAAGGGGAGGGGCAGATGCCACTGTGACAGGTTCTGCCTGGGTTTGTGTTTATGTTTTTGTGTTTAACAGCCATTTGCTACCTCTGAGTTGTATAATTAAAAGGATCGGAATCCTAGTTTTTCCAGAGGATTCTGCAAAGGTGATAAATTTGTTTCAAAGCACTAATTGGACTAATGCCAGAACGGCAGAATGTACTCGAATAAAACAAAACTCTAGGAACTAGGTTTCAGGTTAAGTGTTAGAAGATAATTTCTGAGGGTCAGGAACCCCCAGAAAGTGGGGTGGGTTTCATGGGAGGTGGTTGAGGCCCATCAGTGAAGAAGTTTGGACAACCACTTGTTGTGGATTATAGGAACAGAGTTGGCTGAGACAGGGGGTCAGACTAGATGACCAGGGGAGGGTCCCATTCTGACTCACTTTGTTTCTATGTGGGAGAGGACCATCTCTGTAATAAGAAATTGTGAAAAACAGTGTTCTCATTGACAAGTCCATCCGAAAGCACATTTTTCTTCAGGTTAGGTAAACAATAAGTTCGTGCAACACAAGTTCAGCAAAGGGTTTCTTTGTGTGCATTTTGGCATTGACTGGATTGGTGTCAACAACCAAAAACATTTTTTTCTTTTAATTATTATTAGAACATTTCTATGCCGCCCCTTGCCGAAGCCTCGGGGCGGCTTACAACACAATAAAATACAATACCATACAAAAATAACAATATAAAATTAAAATTAATAATATAAAATAAATAAAAAATATAAAAGATATAAAAGAAGTTATAAAAGAAAAGTTCTAAAAGAAAAAGAAAAACGAAAAGAAGTCGCCCTGGCCAGATAAATAAGTAAATATTCTTGAGACTGTGCTAAAGAGACTCAAAAAAAAAAAAAAAAAAAAGACATAGACTTTACATCTTGAGGTTTCTCTCCAAACTGATGTAGATCTCTCTGCCACTGCCTGCAATTTCTCTACAGCCCTGGAAGGGAAAGCCAGCTGTGTGTAACCACCCTTGCTCAGGGAAGGAGGGAACTCACCCACCTTTCTCTCAAACATTGGTTAGGGACTTGCCTAGATGGACCAGAGACTTTAATGCTGTTCTTACTACAGTGTATGAACAACCCTTTAATTGCCACGGAAGTCACACACATCTGCTGGATTCCATTGGGTCACCACACATACAGTGCAAACCGCACAAGAACGACCAGCTGGCCAGCACCACTCCTTCTCCGAGCCCAGAGTGGCCAGGCTGGCTGTCCGGCAAGGCCAAAGCAGCCGTGCCTGCCTGCCTGCCTGCCTGCAGTGTGTGAAGCTGCGGCCACTGGCTGGTTGCTGCCTCTGGCTTGCCGTGACACAAGGGAAGGGGGGCTGCTGGCTTACGTCAGCTGACTCGCCTGAGACTGGACCGCCTGGAGACCACTGATGCCGTGGGAAGAGCGCACCCAGGTGCCCCTCGCTACACAGCAGTGAGATCGGCGGGACTGCCTCCATGGGAACGTTGCACCAGGCTGAGGAAAGTTCCCAAACCACAAGAAGACCGAAGGACCGTGGCTCCTGTGGAAAACCTGTCGTTCTTATTCAAACACCAACCCTGCAAGGGAGGACCGGTGGCGTAACAGACCAGGACGAGAAGAAGCTGACATCAGGGTCAGCCAAGGGCCCGCAACTGGAGGGGGCAAAGAAGAAGAGTCCCAAAGAAATGCAGCCTGTCGGGGACCAGGATTGGGTTCCGGCTTGAAGACTTAGACCACAGAGACTAGCATTTGCCTAATGCTAAGTAGCCTAGATGATAATGCTGAAGGAAAGAGGGGGAGTTTCTTGACGTTATTACTCTGGCTGTCTCTGTGTACTACTGTTGATTTTGTGGCTCCCTTCTATACCATCTGTCCTTGTAGGAAGGAAACAGCTGGATTTCCTAATTTCTCTGTTTCCCACTTTAGAATACTGCCTCGTTGTGTAATAGAATGTTTATGCTTTAGTAGCGCTGGTGAAAACCCAGCATGGATTTCTGACGCCTGGAACATGTTATATGTCTGGATTCACACCAAGGACCGGGTAAAACAGACATGCAGATTACAGGAGGGCAGGCACAGGCTGTCCCAGATCAGCTAAAGGAAAAGGAAAGAAATCCTATGTGTTCCACAGGTCCCTAGGGAAAACAATTTCCATGTGACGTCACTACGGGTAAGGACCACTGAAAGCACCCTACTGGTAACATCCTTACAGCCAATTGGCACATGCTGGAATAGGTTCCCTGTGTGTGAGAGAGAGAGAATTGGGTGCAGCATGTGGTTTTGTTTCTGCCAAACTGGAAAGGCCGCATCCTGCAGCTGGACGGGCAACCACATGTGGATGCTGAGTGCTAAGCATTATTCACATGAATGAGGCTAGTAAGTGCTACTTGGTACAGCCTGGAATCTTTGGAGGGCTGTTCCGAGATCGGAAACGAGTCCTGTTTATGCTGATTTGTGCCTTTGGTGGACTTCTGCTCCTTCCTTGCTTGAGTCCCATAATTCAGTCTATAGTAACTCGCACCATTGAAGGTATGATGGTGGTCACAACCAACCCGAAGAAACCTGCTGCCCTGGCAAAAACCCTGGTACTCAGATCCATCCCAAGGGAATGTTCTTCCCTGCTTCAGTGACAACCCATGGAGGCCGCCTCCAGGGTTGCGTATATGAAAAGGGAGGAAATGAGGGAGCCCGATTAGCTAACTCATGTTATTTGCTTTCAGCCTGACAAACACCATTTGCTTTCTGCATAACGGCTTGCTTTGGAGAGGAAAAGGGAGGAGGCAAAGGAATGTCGATCAGCGGCAGCGAGTGAGAGAAGGCCCTCCAGCAAGGACTGGCGGCAGGGATCACGCTCCAGCTGGACGCAGGTGAGGGGCCTTCACAGGCCAGGTGTGCAGTGGACATGCAGACCCCGCAAGGGGCTTGGGTGGAGGGTCAGGCAGACCCTGAGAGGGGATGGGGTGAGGGAGCCATGGGGGCGAGAGGGAGGGGGAGAGAGAGAACAAAGCAGGATTGTGGGTGCGTTGCTGCCTGCCTGCTGCGTGTGGGAGCTGTCACCCGGTGCCTTGGCTCAGCTGAATAAAGGGAACTCAAATGAATCTCCACCTTGCTGAACCTTATTGGCATTTGGTTTAGGGCTCTGTAAGTCCCCTGGCTAGCAGGGACACCCACAAGAATAGCTACAAGATATTTGTGCGTGCGTGCGTGCGTGCGTACGGGCAGAGAAACCTTGGCAGTTTGAGGTTCACTAAAAGAACACATGGTTATCCCCCTATTTTCCTTGTTGACCACGCTTCTGGACATCACAGACAACTGAGATATGCCTTTAATAAAGAAACATTTTTTTGGTGGGGTCGTTATTATGGGTTCTGTTTTTGTTTGCTTGCTTGCTTGCTCTGTGAGTTGCCCAGAGACTTTTGTCGTAATTGGGACGGCATACAAAAACTTTTAATAATAAATAAACAGTCAGAGTTTAAGAAGGATGGGTGGAAGGGTTCACCCAGAAGGAAAATCCTCCAACATGTGGGGTAAAGGGAATGTTTTACTTCTCCATGACTCCTTTGCTGTACTTTTTGAATTCTATGTAAACAGCAAATTTCGTGGGGGTGTCCCAGGCACCAAACATGGAAAGTTTCAGAAGGCCAGCGCAAGGAATTACAGGCCAAGGAATATAATGCTTGAAAGCCAGTTTAACGGTTTTTCATGCAGAAGCGTGGCTGGCATTTGGGGACTGGCTCTGTCCCAATCCGGGGTTTGCGCTCCACAGCACAGTGACAGAGTACACAGGTACCTCTGCTCACGGACACCTCAGTTCACAACTAAATCAGGTCGAGAACAGAAATTTGAGAAAAAGTTTGCCTCAGGGTGTGAACTCCACACTGGGTGACGACCACGATCGCGGCCATCTTCCCCGCAGGAGTGGGCCCTCCCTAACCCTAACCCTAACCCTCGCCTCCTCCCTCCAAACATTAACCTCCCCCCACCTAGGTTACAGTTGTTCTTTGTTGCTTTGTTTCAAATTTTTGTGATTAAAAAAAATATTTACAGAACGGATTAACCTTATTCACATTGAACCTCATGGGGAAATTTGACTCGGCTCGTGATCGATTCAAGTCATGGCCAGAGTCGTGGAAAGGATTAAGTTTGCGAGCCGAGGTACCCCTGCATGTTCTAGGAGGAGAAAGGGTGCCTGCTAGTCACGCGATCACACTCACCCCATCCCTTTGCAGTGATGGTTTGGGTGGTCCTGCTGGGAGACCAGCCCAGTGACGTAGCCCGGCCTCCTGGTGGCATCGCTCTCAGCATCTCTGACCCTCCCAAAGCGCCCCCCAAGGTCTGCACCCCAGGGGTGGGAGGAAAGAATGGCCTGTGTTGCCTTGATCCTGCGGCATCAACCCCTCATGGTGAGCACTGGAGCACAGCAACACCTCCCTGTGCCTGCGTGGAGATGTCAGTGTGCTCAGAAGAGGAGGTCACTTTCTCAGACCTCTGGGGGCTAGCTCTGGAGGGAATCTCTGACCATCTCCCCGCCATGTGCTCCCACCCAGGCCATAAACCTGCCATTCTGCCCAGATGCGAAAGCGAAGCTCTGGGACCTTTGAGCAAGGCATCTGTCTGCCCCATTTGGCAAGCACAGCCGCCCGGTGTTTGCAGGATTAGAAAGACATTGAACTCTGGCCTCCCTTGAACAGAGGTGCGTGTAATTACGCAAAGTATCGCCACACTGATTGCAACAAAGCATTAGAGCAATTTGAGTGGGCAGATCAGAAATCTTCAGACCGTTCAGAGTGCAGCTTCCGGAAGGGCGTGCCAGTCTGACCAGTGCCTACGAATGCTTGGAGGTGATGTTCGAAAGATCGGGAGAGCGACTTTTTGCTTCTCCATAGGACGGCCTGGCTGTTTCAGCACAACGACCCACCCCCACTCTCCATGGTGCATTCCTTAGTCTGATTATGGCCAAGAAGGAGATTGCTGCTGGTGGTGCTGCTGGTGGTGGAGTTTCCAGGGTCCTTCTCAGAAAAGCACGTTCTCAGCAGAGCCATGTTGGGCGAACCGAAGGCCTCTCTGGCCCAGCGTTCTGTTCTCCCAGCACCTGATCCCTGCGATGTGGCTGGGTGGGCTGCAGGCCATGAAGCAGTGGCCTGCTTCTTGTGCCCGGTGCGCAAGATCGCTTCTCCTTCTCTTCTGCTACACACAAGGCATTGGGTGGGTGCGTTTTGTGCAGTGCTGGTGTGTGAAAAGATGCAGCCCAGGGACTTCCTCTGCTCCTCACCTTTGCCGGTCGCTGTTAAGGAAGCTGGTGCTGAGAGGGGTCTTCCTCCCTGGGCACATTCAGAGCCACAGAGTTCTCCTGCAAAACCTTCTTGAGTGGCCACAGTTTTTTCCAGAAGCACAGCATGAACCCCTGAGCATGCACAGAGCTGTTGAACCCAGTTTACTATTCACCTCCAGGAGCTCTCTTTACGAGTCCGCCTAGACCCCATCTCTTTGAAAGGGACCTTCTGAAAGTGAGCAGTCTCTGACTGGGCCACCCCCCCTCTACTGACATCGCGTCAGGGGCTGGGAGCTGTGCCCACCTTGTCTCTCTCTGAGCGACTCCCCTGCCCCCAGCCTCCTTCTGTTAAATGTACTCCTTGGTCACTCTCAGAGGCCACCTGCCCACCTGGAAAGCTTGGCCTCGAGGCAGGTGCCTCTACCTCTTTGATCTTAATGTCTGGAACGGGCCCTTCTCCTCCTCAGTCCAGCCAAGTGGCCTTGCGAATACACACCAAGAGCAATGGTCTTTCTCACTTCCGCATAGCAGCCACATGCACCACATTTGCATATGCTGATTAATAGCCATAGGTGCGTAGTTTAATATAATAATTATACTTTAAAGAGAAATACGCCATCCCGGGAAAGACTGTGACCGGGTGAGCTGAATGCCTGCAGAGAGTGAGGTTTTGCTGCTGCTGCTGATGCGGAACTTCAGGGTTTCTTGTCTCCTTTCTTGGGTGTCTTTATTTTTGAACTGGACTTGGGCTGGGTGGCCCTTGAAAAAGAGGACATCTTCACTTGGAGGAATATCATCTGGAAGCCCTTCCAGCAGGGGACTGTCCTCCATTGAACAGGACACCTGGCCACCCTAGGCCAATGAGCAACTGCCGCCTGTCTGGTGTGGGGTGCTCCATCTCTGTGCAGGTGTTTTCCTTCCAAGTTGCTTGTCGCCATGAATACATGTGCGGAGGGAACGAATTTCCCCTGGGAGCTGGCAACCACCAGGACCGATTGCAGAAGGGTGCTGAGGAAGGGGGAGTCCCACTGCAAAGGTACCCAGGATTACGGATGGGTGACAAAGGGAAATCCACTTGTTGGAGGCCAATGAACTTCTACAGCAGTTCCCGTCTGGCAATCTGGAATGGGCCCATACCCAGGGTTTTTTTCCAGGTCCTAGAAATGTGCAGAAAATACTTGTGCACATTCAGAACTAAGGACTCTCTGGGCAGTGTACAATCCAAAACGAATAAAAACAGCCATAAAATTGCTACAATGAAAACCATACACTAAAAATACAATACAGTCTAGCAGACAACTACAATTGTCAGTAAAATTATTTCAGGCACAACAACGATAAAACAATCATTAAAATTTCTAAAAATACAAAATGTTCATTCAACAATTCTTAAAATACCTGGTAAATAAAAACATCCTCACCTGCCTGAATAATCTCTCTGCACAGTGAAGGGTTTTACTGCTCCTGTATCGCCTTTCAGTTTCATTTTTACTCGGTATCTCCTTTTTCTGCCACCGATAGCACACGTGTCCACCTCACCTTCCCGTCTGAGCATCTTTCTTCTAGTTCTGGCACACAGGACGTCCTTTTCCCACCCCCTCCAGTCTCATGGCCCTCCCAGCAAGAGGAATCATCCATACCAACCTTCACCCTCTTCACACATTTCTGATGTGAAGCAGGGAAAGAGCTGTTTTGACAGAAGGACCAGTATTCCAAGTGGAACGGGGGAATATTGCACCAAGGGCTTCAGCAAGATCTCTGTCAACATTGCAACGTTTTCTCACAGCACTTCTGAGCATCAAGAAAAGTTCACTGGGTATGGAACAAGAAAAGATCTGTCCAAAGCCCACGGGATACAAGCTTCTTCCTACAGCTTTTTGGTTGTTTTTGAACATGAAGATATAGATGCAAAAGCAAGGATTCTGGGTGTTGGCGAGAATTCTGGGTGTTGGCGAGAATGCATTTCTAAATATCTGCTTGGCGATCCAAGCAGAGAGATGGTAATTTATTAAACTATAGAGCAGTGTTGATTTGTGAAAGGAGTAGGCATGCTTTGCAGAGGTCTTGCTGTTGTGAATTTATTTAATCTCTGTACCACCCAACAGCCAAAGCTCTTATGGTTTGTAAGCCGCCGAGAGATGTGTTGTAATTGGGCAGGATAAAAATACCCAAATAAATAAAAATAAATAAATAAGCTCTCTGGCTGGTTCACAAAAATGCATAAAAATGCAGTATAAAATAGAAACCATGTTGTTGTTGTTCAGTCTAGCTCATTCACTTCATTAGCTATCTGGCTTCAACTCTCTCTTCCATCAAAGCTTGCATACAGAACTGAACCACAGCCAGCAAAAACATTTCTCATTGCTTAATAGCGGTGGAGCAATAAATCCCCCTAAACCATTTTTAGGAAATACCCAACCTAGAAGGGTGGATTCACCGATATATTGCATCAATACCAATACCATCTTTTGGCTGGCAGTTATTTTGCTAAGTTCTGCATGGAAAACATTAAAAAATGTCTCTTTTAAATGTGGAATTGCAAAAGATTCCAAGCAACTGCCTTGTTTGATGATTAGCAGAGGACAACTGTCGGTTTGGACTCTGAATTAAACTGCTTATGTTGCAAAAAAAATTTTGAGGTGACAATCTCTTTTGGGGCACATATAAAATAGAAAAGGCAGCTATTTATGACCTGGTGGGGATCACAGAAACTTGGTGGGATGAGTGGCAAGGCTGGAATGTGAACACAGAAGGGTATCACCTTTTTAGAAAGGACAGGAAGGGAAAGAGGGGTGGGGGGTGGCTTTATACGTCAGGGAAGGGATGGGATGAAGTGAGACAGAATGCAGCACAGGTGGGGGTTCGGTGGAGGCAGTCTGGGTGAAACTTCGGGGTTTTGACAGGGAAAGAGACCTGACAGTGGGGGTATGTTATCACCCTCCAGGTCAACTTGAGACCCTGCATGATGTCCTGACAGGCCAGATTCTAAGGGTATCTCGGGGGAGGGACACAGTAATTAAGGGAGATTTCAATCTCCCGGATATTACTTGGGAGACTCACTCGGCGGTGACAGCCAGGTCACGTCGCTTCCTAGAAGCTATTGAGGGAGGGTTTTTCACACAGAGGGTCCGAGAGGCGACGAGGGGGGGGAACATCCTTGACTTGGTCTTGACCAATAGGGAGGAGCTGATAGATGAAGTACAGCTTAGGGGAGCTCAGGATGCGAGTGATCACTCCATCCTTTGCTTTGAGATGAGGGGACTGGGGACGTGCAGCAGGTCGAGCACTAGAAGCTGGGACTTCAAGAGGGCCAAATTTGGCCAACTGAAGGCCAGACTGGGGGACTGGGTCTCCTGGGAGAGGTTACTGGAAGGCAAGCGAGTTGAGGAGGGGTGGATAGCACTCAAAAGGGAGGTTTTGGAGGCGCAAGCCTTGATGATACCTCTAGTCAGTAAGGTGGGGAGGCGGAGGAGAGCCCCGCCATGGATGCGAAAGAAGGTGGTTAGAGGGATTAGAGGAAAGGGGAACCTCCATAGGAAATGGGCACTGGGGGAAATAGACAAAAGGGTATACCGGGAGGAGTCGGCCCGTTGCAGGAGGATTCTTCGCAAGGCTAAGGCTGATTATGAGCTGAGACTTGCCAAGAATATCAAGAGCAATAAAAAGGGCTTCTTTCAGCATGTAAATAGGAAGAGGAAGGGGAGACAAGTGGTGGGACCACTAAATAAGGAGGAAGGAGATCCAGTGACTGATATGAGGGAACAGGCACAGATGCTAAATGACTATTTTGCCTCTGTGTTCTCCCCAAAGCAGGACGGGGGACATCCGCATAGGAGATTAGATGAGGCTGGGGACTTAGGGGCACAGATTAGAGTCACCCCCCTTGAAGTCGAGGGGCTCCTCAGGGCATTGGACATTACAAAGGCGCCTGGCCCTGACGGGTTACACCTGAGAATACTTGGAGAGTTGGCAGGGGTTCTCTCACGCCTGCTGGCCTCCATTTTTAAGACCTTGTGGAGAACAGGTGAAGTTCCAGAGGACTGGAGGGTGGCATCAGTGGTCCCAATTTTCAAAAAGAGTAGTAGAAAGGGCATGGGGAATTATAGACCGGTTAGCCTTACGTCCATTGTAGGAAAACAATGGAAAGGCTCATAATAGTGAGAGATCTAGTGATGCTAGATAGGGAAGGGAGGCTGACAGGCACACAACACGGCTTCCGCAAAAACAGGTCCTGCCAGGCAAACCTTGTGGGATTCTACGACAAGGTTTCGAGGTGGCTACGTGGAGGGGATGCAGTGGATGTGGTATACCTGGATTTCAGCAAGGCCTTTGACAAAGTGCCCCATGATATCCTGGTGGAGAAACTGAGGAGTTTTGGGATACACCAGAGCACCGTCTGGTGGATTAGGGCATGGTTGACTGACTGAAAGCAGAGGGTAACCATTAATGGGGAATCATCGGGATGGCGGCCAGTGACAAGCGGGGTCCCCCAGGGCTCTGTCCTGGGGCCGATCCTGTTTAATCTTTTCATTAACTACATGGAAGAAGGGGTGAACAGTCTGCTGATCAAATTCGCAGATAAGACTAAAACTGGAGCAGTGGCCACAACTGAGGAGCAGATACTCCAGATCCAAAAGGATCTGGACAGACTATGGAAGTGGGCGGGAGAAAACAGGATGGCGTTCAATGTGGAGAAGTGCAAGGCCTTGCACTTGGGGCATAGGAATAGCTGTCATAAGTACAGGTTAGGTGACAAGTGGCTGGAGAGCAGCACTTGTGAAAGGGACCTCGGGGTGCTGGTCGACTGCAGGCTGAACATGAGCCAGCCGTGTGACGCGGTGGTCAAGAGGGCGAGCGCCACCCTTGGTTGCATAGCCAGAAGTGTGGCTTCTAGAGCGAGAGAGGTATTACTACCACTCTGTACGACTCTGGTGCGCCTGCAACTGGAGTATTGTGCTCAGTTTTGGGCCCCTCATTACAGAAAGGATATAGCCAGGTTGGAGTCAGTGCAGGGAGAGTGGGCCTGATCCAGAACATTACCTGGAATAATCGCCACAAAGCCAATTATTTGCTTCTAAGAAAGATTGTGTGATTGCTGGCAGTTAAAGGAAGAGTGAAATTGGTTTCATCTAAACAATGTTGTGATAAACATGGAGTCCCTAAAGGTGCCATGCTCAAGAAGAGTAGCTGGATTATATCTGAATCGGCAAAGGGGGAAAATGTGTTGGGAATCTGACAATATTCTGCTGCATTGCTTTCACAGCCAGCAGCTTGCTTCGTGGGCTCAGCTCCTCAGACTCTGTTCCGTTTTATCCCAGCCATGAGCCTCAGTTCCTGGAAAATGCGCCCGGCATTCACGCAGCGCTCAGCTGGAATCGAAGCTTTGCAGCCACGGAGCAACCAGTGTCCCTCTTCTGCATGACATGGGGCGGCCTCGGGTTTTGGCCCCCACGTGACACAGAAGTCCTGCAAGCAGACTTGGTCCCAGCTCAACTCGCCTTCTCCCCCACCCCATTTTTAATTATTCTTTTAATAACAGTACAGTTTGAGAGAAAAGAGAAAGCCGAAGCAAGAGAAACAACAAAGAAAACGTAGCGAAGAAACACCAACGGATCTCAGACTAACACTGCACGGAACATCAAGTACAAAAGAAAAAGGAAAAAAATTCACTGTAGGTCCGTAATCATTATCCTTTCTACTCAGCAGGGCTTTTTCTTTAGAACTTAGTTAAAATTAATTGAAAATTCTACTAAATTGCAATTCTTCAACTTATTCTTTATTCACCTTGACTTGACAAAGCCTCGGTGCAAATATCCACCTCCAATACTTTCCCCAAAGATCCCGTTCCCCTTTCAGTTATCATTAATTTCTTTCGCTGGTTATCGTCTTCCATAGTTCATTAAGCTTGCTTAGTGACTAGCTTATTTTTCCAGTCTGCCATAATTGCATGTTCATTGCATACCACTTCAAGGAAATTTAAACTCCAGCCACAATGGTCATGTACTTGAATAGCTCTATTCAACTTAACTCAGCTTATTATAACAACAAAACAAGAGTTAACATCTAAAAATATTTTTTAAAATATTAACTTGCATTCTTCAACTGGGCTGAGCATGAGCAGAAGTCTGTGAAGGTTTAAGGCAGCGACTCTGTGGAGCTTTAACTGGGATGCACTCTTTCCCACTGCCCAAAAGCCAGCAGTTTCTTGTTTGAAAGCACACCTGGAGCTACCTATTCAAATTGTTTTGTTGATCAGGCCCGCCTTTGCTCTGGGGGCAAATCTGTTTACCTTACTGAAATCCTTCTGTTCCCGCAAAGGGAGAAGCCCGCTTTATTCTGCATCCGGAGACTGGGAGGAGGAGAATGATGGAAGCCACTCTGAGTTCGTTGCAAGTAAAAAATGGGGTGTAAATATAACAAATGAATAACCTGAACCTCTGACGGCAAGTAGGTTAGCAGATACATGAGCATCAGGATGCGCATGATGAGATATATCAGCCGTCCAGAGACGTTAAGTATCGGGACGGCATATAAAAACTTTAAATGAATGAAAATAAAAAAATATATCCGACAAAGTTGTGGCCTGCTTTGCTAGCAGTCATCACATCTCATGTTGTTCCCCAAACTGGCCCTGGCACAGCCACAAGTTCTGGGTCTCTGACGATTAGATCCCGAAGAGAGTTTTGCACGCATTGAAATGCCATGTGTTTTGCTGTACACAAAACACCTCGCGCCTGCCTCATGGTGTCTGACATCCTTGGGTCACACCATGGAATAAAAGCTGCCATCCTCGTCTCCTCGGTACACTAGAAGCTCTGGAGCTGCGGGTGGTATCGGCCCAAGGTCTGCCGTTCCGGTTCTGTGCATCCATGGCCGCTGTTCCGGTTTCAAGGAATGTGTTTGTGCAGGCAGTGAAACTCGCATGCAGTCTAGTCCTGCGTGACTCGCAATTGCGTCTTTATTGAAACCCAATGAAAGCAATAAGCTGGTAAGAAATGTAGGATCAGTACTCAGTCACTGAGGCCAATGAATCGATGAACTGGCTGGACGAGATGAAGTTGACGGAGGAGGGGAAAGCACAGAGCAAGCCTGGGCCCTCCAGGTGCCACCCAGACCAGCTGCACAGGACGGAGGTTTCTTCCCAACTGAGGCAGAACTGGAACACACTGGGGAGGAATTCTTGGCCTGGACCCCTGATCCATGCAGTGCATCAAGACCTGATCAGCTGTGAACAGGTGGAACAATCGTAAGGGACAACGCTGCAAAACAGGTACGTGTCGTGGTTAAGTGCTGGGTTGGGGCTCAACCCAGGTGACAGAACAATAAAAAAACATCCGGCATCCAGGTCAGAGGTGGGGAAAGGCTGTTGCTGGACAGTCAGCAAACAACGCTTAAGCGGTTCTTCTGAATCTTCACCTGGGCAAGTGGGGCCCAGAGGAACTATATGGCATTAAGAAGGGAATGGGCGGTGGGGACGTGGGGGGGTGGTCTTCCTCTTCTAGAATATCTGCCAGAGCAGGTCTCCCAGGAAGTAAGGGAGCTCCAGGCAGGCATGTGGATAGATTGCCCAACGTTTCTGTAGCACAGGGGCCCAAGTTTAGTTTTTCCCAAACCGAAGTTGATGGGAGAACTGATACAGGCACTGGCATGACTCCGTAAGCCATGTGCCTGTTGTTTTGCCCCACTGGTGCTGTGTCACGTAGTTCGACCCTCATCATGGTATTTCAGTTTGGGAGGCTGGGCTTTGTAAACCCTGAACTGAAGCAGTCTGGGCTTTGTCTCGCGATACCAGACTTGATAGACTCCTAGCCCCTTGGCTACTCAACTGGACCACTTACCTAAGCATCCCTGACTGACCAGAATGTTTGCTATGACAAACCCTGTGCAGCAGACTCTGGACTGCTTTGATCTTGCCTCTGCCTCCTCTTCCTCATGAAACTGGGACTCCTGTGACGAACTCCAGACTGGCCTAGATTCTCTCTGCATTGCTTCTGGAAATATCTCCTCCTTGACTGGGGTTCTTGCTGGCCTACGAGAAGGACAGGTACCTTTCTACCTGATTCAATAGCCAAAGTTCTCTGGAGTGGTTCTCACACCAGGCAGAAGCTATGTGCAGAAGAGCATTGAAGTAGGCTGCCTGGGTTGTGTGGTCCTCCTCCCTTGTAACCCTAACGACCCTGCTCCGCTGGTGCATCCGGATGCCAAGACGAGAAGTATATAATTCTGTCTTCACGCACAGAGGATAACTCGAAAGCCCGTGATCGTGGTGCTTCAGCGTATGCCGTGTTGCTGAACTTTCTGTTTGTTCTGCTTTGCAGAGTCGCGCAAGCACCGCACAGGTTTGCCCTGCCTTGCTCTGCTGTCCGTTTGCCAGCACCCCAACATGGGTGCATTGTGTTTCTTCCCCACACCCTTCCTCCGCCCCCTCAATCTGTGCCTCTTCTTGTCTGGGGGCTTCTGCCTCTGGGTCCCCTTGCTCAGGGAATGTGTGGGGCCGGGTTGGCTGTGTGCTGTTTTTCCCAAAGCACCGTCAAAGGACTCGGCACGCTCTTGGTTGTACTGGATCTGAATCCTTTGCCTCTTCCTGCCCCCCCCCCCCGTTTTCTCACCTTTTCATTTTAAAATGATCCTCCACTTTGCATGGGATTCTCTGGTTCCATTCAGTGTGAAGTTTAGTTGCCTTGGGCTTCAGGGCTGATTGGCTATCTTGGTTTTATGGGGAGTTGGGCTATGGCGTGGGAGCCCTAAAGAATGTTTGGTTCGCCCTGCCCAGAGGGTCTGAGGTTGAGGATGAAGGTGGTGGCAACCTAATATTGACCCTGCCTACCGCACAGGGAGGTTGGAAAGTTTTCCCCTTCCTTCCCTTGCAGGCAGCCACAGTGACTGGGTTTGTGTGTTGTGACAAGCAATGGTGGATCTTTACCATTATGGGGTTTTTTTGCTGTCCAGACCCAGTGATGGTATGTCACCACAGCTCATTTCAGGCCGGAAAACCAGTCTCTTCTGCTTCCCACAGTGGTCTGTGGTGACATCGATACTTGGAAATGCCATAGTTACCCGAGGATTGAAAAAGACACCATAGAGTCCTACAGAAAGAGTGGCAATAGAAGGGGCCACTCCAGGCATCAGAGCTCTACCACCCTAACAATATACGCATCACCATCTGCTTTGTTCTTATTGGCTGACAGCTGTGCCTGTCGTCCTATTTACTTTCTGATCCCGGGAGAAAGTGGGTAAATGCACAGAGAGAGAATTGCAGGAAAAGTTTTTATTCTAATGTTTCAAACAGCCCACTTTGGGGGCTGCATTGGCCAGGAAGCATTCAAGAGATGGAGGCACAGACAGGAGGCATGTGAAGGAGAGTGAACCCACCTCAAAGCTCACCTAGATCATCAGAAGAGGCCACTGAAATCCATAGGAAACATTATGCATGTCTTATAATTTTGCTCGTGGGGTCTACTTGGTGGTGTGGCCAAAGGGATGCAGGAGAGACCCACTGGGGTGCAGGAGAGACCCACTGGATTCCCTGGTCTTGGCTCTTCGGGCTCCAGTCTGGTCTGCAGCAGCCCTGAGCCCAATTCCCTGGTGCGCGTGCCCAGCACTTGCCAGGATTCAAGCCTCGTGTGCTTTGCAGGGAGCACACCTCTCCCACACCATGTGGGGTGCTGGTCCCTGATGCTGAAGAAGGTTTGTCCTGAGGGCTCCGCAGGAAAGGATGCCCCTCGGAATGGCAACGTTGCTCTTCCGAGTCCCTCACAGCCTCCGTCTGGGCTGCCAGTTGTGCAACCAGGAGTACACAAACATTTGCAGACTTTTCAACTCCACCAACTTTGGAAGACTGAGCTGAACTCAAGAGGAAGCCCAAGGATGCTTGGAGGGACAGATTCTGACAGCGTTCATCCCAACCCTAGAGGGGTATTCAGACAGTAACCCTTGTGGTTGACTTTGGGTACAGTGGTTTGGAAGGGTGGCAGGGAAAACTACTTTTTTTGGTTTGATCAAGTGGATCCCCCAAGATGGTCCTAGCTAGTGGCAATTGGGAGAATTGCCAGAGATAATGATCACTTAGGAGAACCTGATTGGCAGAGAGATCTGCAAAAGGAGAGATGCCCCAGTGAAATAGCAAAAAACTAATCTAGCAAAAATGCAGTTATTTCAATTGATGTTAAAAGTCATGTTAGGCCTCAATAATGAGAGCGAGGTAAAGAGGAAAAACCTTACTTAAAGTATGCTATAAAAAAATCTCTCTCCAAAATGGAGAAACAAGACAGTTTCCACACTGGAAAAGAACAAGAGAAGACTAGTTGTAACCCTGTTTATCACTGCCAAGTCAGACCTGCTCCTTCATGTCAGTTACGCTACTTTCAGGTCAGCTTTTTCAATGTTATATCCTATAGACAGTTCTGCTTTCTTTTGTGTAGGTGGGGAGACCAGGTCTGAATGAGGCCCTTCCGCCGCAGCCCAATCAAACACAATGTACATGTTCAAAAAAGGCTTTCAACAAAACTGGGTGAAGGTTTTTACTTGACATCTCTCACTGGGGGCTCGGTTGTCTGCAGCAGCTTTTAATTTTTCTTTTATCTGAGACAGCCTGTTTCTTGTCAAGGACTATACATTCCCTTCAGCAGGGCTTCAAATTACAGCCTACAGTCTCTTTTTTAAATCACAGACTCTTTTTTATCACAAATAAGCAAAGGCCATGACATTTTCCAGGACCAACTCTGTTAAATTCACTCTTTGGTTCTGTTCTCGTTGTACCTTACATTTATCAACAGATCTTAGCTGTCCCTTAGTGTACAAGTTATGAATGTTCTTCTGCGTTTTGCATTTCATTGCTTGAGCAATGAGAAAAATGTGGAAAGATGGAAAGGGGAGAAAATGAGATGAGAGGCAAATCTGAAAGATAAAATCGATGTGCATTCATGTCTATAGGATTTTTCAGCTCTTCCTGCTCCTGCTAGACATAATAACCCATTTCAGTGCTTGGAATGTGGACAGACCATCGCCTGCTGTTTAATTTTAGCATTAATTTGGGGCCAAAATCATTTCACATTATTTGCATTTGTTGTTATTGAGCTAGGAAGTTCTCAGATGTTTTCACTGCTCACTTTTCTCCTTGGTAACAGACGTTTTGTTTCTTTCCTTCTGTATGTGGGGAGAAGTTGCAGATCTATGGGAGAGCCCCTGCTTTTCATGCAGGCCCATCTCTGGTTTCTCCAGGTGCCACTAAGGGAGAATCTTGCCAGGAACCTTGGCAAACTGCTGCCGGTCTGAGTCAACAGCACTGAGCTAGTCATGGGGCCAAGGGACTGACTTGGCAGAAGGCAGTTTCCTGGGTTCTCTTGATCAGAAGCACCAAATGAACAGACAACCTGCTTGGCAGAGACCAATCCTTTTGCTAAGCAGCATGCAAATATTTTGCTGGCCAGATGTTAGAATACCTTCTTAATTTGGCCCTTCAACAATCAGGGCAACGCAAGTAGGACAGTCACAAGCAAGGCTTGCAGTCATTATGAGGATGCAGTCATAGCTTTTATATAGAGTTGGAAAACAGGTCTCGGATGCCACCGTTTCTCCGGCGTGGCTATTTTCAGGACTGATGTGCTTGCCCACCCTTGCCTAATGCACGCGACTGAAGCCAGTTCATGTGTCTCATGACATTCCGTTCTGCCTTGTAAAGGATGCCCTAAATGCATTTATGTTTTATTAGAAATTACTCATGGCAATGAGTCGGTGGACACATTCTACTCACAATGTTTCCTACTTAGAGCAGATCAAGCTTCCTCAAATGAATAATCCATGAAACAATGAACGGGTTGTTCAGATCTGTTGCGTTTTATTCTGCCTTTCTGCTGTGGAATTTAAAGTAGGATTCATGCTCAGGAGCCGTTCCTATTCTTCATTGCTTCCTGCCAATAATATGGTAGCTTAAATCATTGATGTATCTTCCACCAATTTCACTTCCTCCTCTGATCCTAATCCAGCTGTCCTTGTATGTCGAGAGCGTGTAGAAAGAAGCCACCTATTACCAGAGCAGTAAAAACTTTCATGATTTACGTTGACATGTAAAATCTGAGCTAAATCAAGTACGTTTTTACTACATTTCTGTATTGCTTTCCTTTTGCAAGTTTCAAGGGTGTGTGTGTGCTGGTATCTTTTTGTATTTTAAACATAAATTCCTTTTGAGTTCCTTCTGCCCCAGTACTGTGAGTCCTGTCTGAAGCATCGGACACAAAGCTCTCCCACCCCCGTGCATGGTGCCCCATGGATGCTGATGTGGGAGGGACACATGGCATCCTCTCACTTGGCCAGATGGCACTTGGCTTCTGTGCCATAAAAATAACAGGCGCATAGGAGCCTGGCTTATCATATGTTGGACCTTTGGTTCGTCTAGAGGAGTATTGCCAGCAGTGACTGGTGGAGACCCTCTGGGAGTCCTCCCAGCCTTACCTGGAGTTACAAGCAGGTGTTCTAGCAGTGACCTACAAAGCCAGTGCCAGAAAGAGCCCCAAATGTCTGTAGCTAAAAGGAGGCACCCCTCTTAGATGCACAACTTAGCATGGTGGAGGGTGGAGAGTGTCAGAGAAGCAAAGAGCAACGGCACCAGGAGGCCAGGCTGTCTCACTGGGGTCTCCAGCAGGGTCACCCGAGGTGGAATGGTCAAAGTGGAGACATCCAACTAAGATGCAGCCCCCCCTCTTCAGGAGGAATGGGCTCATCAGCAGAAGAGAAGGGTCTCTCTAATCGTGATGGGTGCAGAAACTCCTGAGGGGCAGCAACCGGGCAGTGGTGGTAGCTGAAGATGACACTGGCGGAGGATCTTTTGCGTACAATGGCAGGGACGCGCAAGCTAACTCTGACAAGTCCTATGCAGAAGAAGACAATGGTAACCCACTTCTGAATCTCCTTACCTTGCAAATCCTATGATGGAACAAACCGAAGGGAAAGAAGACTTAGTGCCAGAAGATGAGACTTCCAGGTAAAAGACACTCACCAGCTACTGAGGATGGATCAGTGCCTCAGCTGCCTTGTGCCAACAAGAGCTGTCCATTTCGGGGGACACTCATTCCCAGGGCTGCCGTAAGTTGGCGACAACTTGACGGCACAGAGCGGCAACGAAAAAGGGAATCAAGCTTCTCATTTCTGGACTGCAGGTGGTGCCCTCTGCTTGCTTTTCAACAGCTGGCAGCCTGCACACGTTCCTTCTGCTGAGCTTGCCTGTCACTTCTGGCTCAAGTTTCAGCAGTTTGGGAACTGGGTGAAAAATATCCTTCTTAAAATCGTTATGGTTGTGTGTTGTGGAGGAGCAGGATGGATTCTACTGAGTTCTCACCAGGGCTGTCTTCCAGGTAAGAGGGCAGAAGGAACCCAGACAAACATCTGCATTATTTCAAGACGGAAGTTCAAAAGAACAGTGGCTGTCACATGGACGCCTGCAAACTTCAGGGCTTTGCCAGGTGAGCTGTTATGATCCTCTTATTTCTTAGCAGTGACATTTTGATTCCGTTTGATTCACTACCTGAGTGTTTTGGAAATCAAAGTGAAGAAGGAATGCATCCCTGTACAGATGACACTAAGATGCCAAATTTCCAACCCCCCCCACCCCCGCCCCCCCGTGCAGTAATTACATGGCAGTCCATATTCCTTGTGCTTTGAAAATATTTTATTTAAGTATGTATGATAGGCTGAATCCATCCAATAATCAATATTGTCCTGTAGATTCCAAAAACTTAAAAGACTGACATGGCACACAAACAGTTAACAAATGCCAAATACAGTGTAAATATTTAAAAGTATGCAATACAACACTGGCCAGCAGAGGAAGAATGCACCTGTAAACAAAGCGTCTGGTAGAAAAGAAGATTCTTTGGCTGGAACCAAAAAGATAATGAAGTACAGGCAGGTGAACCTCACCGGAGAGAGTGGCTGCATTGCCAGAAGTATCCCAGCAGCAGAACTGACTACAAATCCCAGTTCTGGTCCTAGCAGATTGATTTTCGTTTCCTTCTGTAACCTGACAAGACACTCAATCCTTTTTGCTCAGCCTATCAACAGACCTCACAATAGATGTGAGGTTACAATTGAACAGAGCATATTTATAAGCATATGTTAAACAACGTAAGATTATCAGCTGATTCAGTGGGAACCACTTTTCCTGGATGCTTATATTTATTGATCTGAAACTTAGAGCACCAGAGCTGTGCAGCCTAGTTTTATTTGCAATTAAGACTGAAGTCCTATGCATGTTAGCCATGGTGGCTAAGGAATGCTGGGAATGGGTCTGAATAGGCATAAGGCCACACCTGGATTCATTAACATTTATGGCACACAGGAAACTTGGTGACTCAATCATCCATGGGTTGTCACGGGTCTCACTTCAAATACGACTACAGCAATTTGACCAGAAATGGAAAGGGATGGCCATGCGCTATGTAAGAAATCCAGCCATTAATTACATAACATAAGAAGAGCCATGCTTAATCAAACTCAGGGTCCATGTAATGCAGCGTTCTGTCCATGCGCTGGCCAAGCATTGCCCTCAGGAAACGTACATGTGGAACATGGGTGCAGGTGCACACTTCCACCCATTGTCCCCTGCCCCAGTGCTGGAGCTAACACAGAACCAGCAGATTTGCAGCCATGAGAGCTCTCCAACCCCCAGATCATCTGAGTGGCCCTTTTCCGCCCTTTCCCCAATCCTAAACATCATTTTGATGTGCGTTGAACAGATCTCTACACAGTATTTGAACTCAAAGAGACTATACATTGGAACGCAAGCTGTATGGTATGTCTGGTTACATACCATAAAAAAGTTAGAATGCACAGTTTAAAAGCAATGGCTAAATGACAGCAAAACTCTCCTTTAAAAAAGCCGAAAGAAAATCAGCGAAGGTCCAGGGTGCTACAGGAACTAACCATTAAGAATGCAATTAATCTAGAACATAAGCGGGACAAGCTATTTCTTCAAGGTCTTTAAACAGCTTCTTGAACAATGTTGCTATATCTTTAACACCCCCCGTCTCATTCAGTATGGTTCATAACAAGAAGTACATAACAGGGATATGCACAAACTGTAAGATTTGATTCCGATTCCAATTTAGAAATTCGAAAAGCAGTCTGATTCACACTGGACAATGCAGAAGTCCAGACTCACTCAGGGCTGAATACAAATCTTAGTCTGGGAAATTTTAAGCATCTTGACTCCCACTGAGTATAACTGGAGATCAGTAAATAACTGAATTTTTGTAATGCTAGCCCCAACCCTCTAACTCCTCCTCCAACTTTTATATATCTTATAAAACAGGCTCTAAACTATGAAAGCTCATGCCATACGTACCCTTCAGAACAGATGTTATTTACTTCTTCAATCACTACCAAATAAAACGGGCACTGTCTGGAATTTTGGCATTCCAGATTTAAAGAAAACAATAGGAAGATGAAATTACTAGATTGTTTCCACCAAGATTCAACAATAAATCTTTATAAATGAAAGTACTGAGAAGTGGTGAAAGCTGGAGTAGGTTCCCCTTCCCTTAAAATCGCAACCGATACCTAAACTGAATATCATGAGAAGGATGTATTGTTCCAAAGCCACAACGTGCTCCGTCTATCGGTGGGATTTCTTCTTCCGCATCAACCAGTTCCATGTCAAAGTAGGCGAGCATCAATATGAGAAACATCTTCATTTCGCTAACAGCAAAAAATCGCCCCGGGCACATGGAGGATCCTCCACCGAAAGGCATGCTGTAGAGCTTCAGCTTTTTCCCGTTCTTAAAGAATTCTTTCTTTAGACCATCCTGTTTCACAAACCTGTCATATTTGAAGGTCTGGGGGTCAGGGTGGATTTCTGGATCCATCTGCAGAGCCATGAAGGGGAGAAGGAGTAAATGATCTCCTTTCCGGAGGACGTATTCTCTTCCATCGCCCATCTTGAGATTGATGTCCTGCACGACACTTCTGAAGAGAAAGGCACTCACTTTCAGGCGCAGCGTCTCCTCAATTGCACTGTCCAGAAGCGGAGTTTTTATCTTCTCTAAGGACAGGTTGATGAGGGGGCTGCCCGGCCTCATGTCCTGATCAGTCTCTCTTAGTACACCATCAACTTCCTCCCTCACCGCCTTCATTGCATCTGGATATTTCAGGAGGTACACAAGAATCCAGAAAGTAGCTGGACCGGTGTTAGCTTGAGATGCCCAGAGAAGCAGCAGGAGGAATTTGGTCCGCATCTTCTCCGTCATCCCTACCTCAGCCATCTTCTGCTCTTGCTCAGCCACCCAAGGACTGATATCGTCTTTCTGATAAATTTTTTCCACCGAGAGAAAGTTCCAAAATATGTTTTTCAGCCTCTGTGTCTCCCTCTTGCCCAGAGGATCCAGCAAATTGAAGGCCATTTGGGGAAAGAAGTGGTCAAACCTCTGGAAATCTTCAAACAACTCTCCACTCGGTCCTAATTTATTCTTCATAGAATTTCCTTTGCTTTCTACACCTTGGTCTGGCTCAGAGCCAAACAAAGCCAGAAAAGCAGCTTGGAAGATGGTTTTGTAGCTAAAGTGAAGGACTCCGTCCTGCTTCCAGGCCCTTTCCCCATCACATGAATCCTGGCCATGGAGCATTACATCCTTCAACTTCTCCATCATTGCTTGGTTCAGAACAGTTAGACCCTTTCCCCGGAGATACTGGTGGCTAGCCATTTGAACAATCTTATGTTGAGATTCAGTTGAATGAAAATCAAATGCATTAAAAACTATAACTGATGCAAATGTATAAAAATCCAGTTTGTCTTCTGACTCCTTTATTATGGATCTGTAAGTGTGAGGATCCATCAGAAAGTGTAGATAGTTGCCTCCAACCAGCACTGTGAAAATATCCCCATGTTTCTTCTGCATCCTTCTCAAAAACTCCAGAGGGTTCTTCTTGAAACTTACTGCATGTCCTAGCCATGGAATAAACCCTTTGTCTAGTGGAGGTTCCTTGGCTTTCCTCTTGCGAAGTGCTCCTACTTTATAAAGTCCAAGTATGGTTGCAAAGAAAGCCGCCAAGAAAGCACAAAGCACCATCTCCCAGGAATTCATTGTTGATGAGCTGTAAGAAATGCTCCTCTCTGGAAAGGACAGAAGCACAGACCTTTCTGTGAAGTCATAGGTTGGCTCGGTAGAACTAGGTAAAGCTGCCTCACTCTAATTGGCAAATGAGGTTGTCCTGCCGTTGCATCATTAACAGTATTTTGGTAGGAGCACACCTCCTACATGATTATGGCATTTATATTGTGCCAGTTCCCTCTTTCCTTAAAAGAAAAAGAGAAAATCAGGTTAAGCAAGTGAATATTGTGGTTGGGAATACATGTTAAGCTTAGCTGTAGGGACAGGATACTGGGCAGATTAATATAAAGACTTAGTCTTGAGGTTGCCCGCTTTGTGATGAAATGAAGATCTATTCTGGGCACCTCCTCACACATGGCTTTGGGTGCTGCCAGTCAGAAGCCCCGGCATCTCTTTCTCATTATGGGATACTTGTGGGAAGAAAGATGCCGTGAGCAGCCGCAGGAAAGGATAGCAGTCCTGCCAATGAAAGATGAGGAACCTGTAAAATTCCACGTACGAGGCCAGGCAAGCGCACTGCAAAAGTCCCATCCTCATCCGCCGTAGCAACACAACTTGGATGCTTTCTTCATACTTCCACTACTGGGTGACTGATCACAATAAAATGGTTACCATCTCATTAAATGCATGATCAGTCAGGCTTTGGTGACAAGTCTGCATGTTCCATCTTGAATAAATACTAACTGTTCATACGTGATGTGTCTACATGCATTTATAGGCTACCTATAGCTCCCGAGGCCTTCCAAGGTGGCTTACATATTAAAACCAAACTAAAACATATTAAAACATGTTAAAACCAAATAAAACACATAAAACATATGTGGACAGTGAAGAAAGCTGGACAGTGAAGAAAGCCAACCAGAAGAAAATAAATGTGTTTGAAACAAGGTGTTGGATGAGAGCTTTGGAAATAACCTGGAGCAACAGAAAGACAAACCAGTGGCTCCCGGACCAATTCAAGCCGGAGCTTTCCCTAAAAGCAAAAAATGACAAAACTGTCTTGCTTTGGACACATCAGGAGAAGGCCTGACTCTCTGGAGAGGACAGTCATGCCAGGAAAAGTTGAGGCGGAAGGGAAGACCAAAGGCGAGATGGAGGGACTCCATAAAGGAAGCCACAGCTTTGGACTTGGAAGAGCCGAGCCGAGCTGTGGTGGGCGGGACATTTTGGGGGGTGCTCATTCATAGGGTTGCCATAAGTCGAAGGCGACTAGCTGGTGCAAATGAGATTGCAGTCAAGGGCCCCATGTTTATTTTCATGCGGTATAGGTAAGATTTCTTTTGGCCGAGCTTATGGTGCACATCCCTGTTTGGCAACCACCTGAGCATCCACGGCCTAGGGAAGGCTTTGCTAACTGGCCCAAACAATTGCAGCAGGATTCCCTGCAGTGGGAACCTGCTCTCTTCACTGCAGGCAAGGATGTTGGAGAGGTCCTCAATGGCTTCAGCTGAGCTTGGATTTATGTACACCTGACTCATGGATTCTGCAACGGGCCAGCTTTTCCTGAACATTCTGGAATCCATGGCCTCGTAGACCCTGAATCTTCTGCAAATTTCATTGTCGAAAAATACCAAAATTCATTTCAGAGGGACCAGCAGAAAATGTGCATTTCCTCCCATAGGCCAAAATGTGACAATGCAGATTTGGGGACGACTTACGCATCTTCATAAGCGCCTCCTTGTGCAACGGCGCATGAGTGCTTTGGGGAAGATGCAGCTCCATTCAGATGTGGACGATGGAACAAAAGGAACTGACAGCCTGTGGAACCCAGAACAAAATCTGCACTTTCCTACCTAGGGGGTTGGGGAACAATGTTTGGGCCAGCCTGATTGGCTTACCAGAAGTGGGGCAAGAGGGCAGCCCAGTGGGGCTGGAGCCCTGGTTCTTTCTTTTGGGGCCTGGATGCACCACCTTGCCATCCGTGGGGCGTGCTGTGGAATCACCCAAGCAAGTATCCTGGCTTTTCGAGCAGCGCCCTAGGTCTCACCATCATCTTAAATTACGATTCAGCCACTTCATCCTCATCGTCTTAAATGAGAAGGGAGGCTAGCCCCCTTTCGCGTCATAATTTATTATTTTGTTTTAATGTTTATTAAAATGTTTTAATAAATAATAATAAATAAAAATAAATTTCTATTACGTCCAGAGTCCAGAACTGCCTCTCGGCACCACTGAATTCTGGCATTCTGAGGGTGCCTCACTCCACAGAGCAGTTCCCAGGGTCATGTGGGTTGGCTGCTCGTATAACCAAGGGAATGCCGGGGTTGGCTTCCTCCAAGCTGAGTCGGGCCCCTTACCTTAGGGGAAAACAGAGGTGGCTCTGCCTGCCAAAAGGGCTTAAGCAAGCAGAGATGTCACGCAGCTTGCCTTGGCTTGCTGGAGCGCTTGAAGCGCCTTGGATCTGCAGAGCTGTTCTGCGGGCACCTGCATTTCACATGATCAGTGTGGCAAGACTCTAAAGGGCACATGATCTCCCTTGGCACTGGGGTTTGTACTTGGCTGGAGAAAGGCAGCCGATGTGGGAGATGCTTGGGGGCAGCCTTTCCCAACCTCCCCACCTTTTCCAATTTTCCAGGTACAATTTGACTGCCAACACCCAGAACTCCTGCTCCATGGCTCTGCTGGATGGGAATCGTGGGAGTCGCAGTCCAAATGCCTCTGCAGGTTGCGGGAGGCTGCCTTGAAGATTCACGAATCCACTGCGGCATCATAAGCTTCCATGGGCACGAATCGCTTTGCGTGGTCAGATAGAATGGCGGGCACCATTTCGGACTCTTAAAGCAGCAGAGTCCCAGGCTCAGGCTGAGGGGGACGTAAGTGGGAGGAGGCTACCAGTGGCTACTAGCCTTGCTGGCTACGGGCTCTCTGCCTGCATATACCAGTTGCTGAGGAGCTGGGCAGGAGGGGGTCTTGCGCCCATCCTGCTGGGGGGATGCCGTGGGCAGCTGGCTTGCATCGTGTCCACGGAGTCCTGAACTGGGTGCGCCGTGAGTGTCCGTTTGTCCGTTTGCAAAGGGGAGGTGCCAGCCTACCTTAGCATTTGCAGTGATTGCTTGCTGCCGCCAGCACTCCAATTGTGCATCAAGGGGTGCTGCACCCTTCCGGGACACCCACCCACACACACCCCCCTCCCAGGACTATGTGCTGAGAACAGCCTCATCCCCACTGATCATTGACCAAATCTGTCTTCCCTCAGCATCGGCAGGACCCCAAGTCTGGAGCAGGACGCCTGGGGCAAGAGGTGCCAAAACACACGGCCGTCGCCGGGTTGAGCTGGGACTGTGTGCCAAGCATACGAACCGCGCTCTGCAGTTTGCAGTGGCAGAAATACCAATTCTGCCTGCCGTTGTTCCGCTAGGCCAAATGCAGCAGTGAAGTCTTGCTGCGGGGGCTGAAGGAGCTAGAATCGTTTCTTCTCCGACTGGCAGAGGACAGAGGCAGGAACAAAGGCCTGAGGCGAGTGGAACAGCTTTCTGGTTGGATGGAGAGATGGGGAAAGCCAGTGAAGAAGCCGGAACTCTGGCCACTTTGTGGGCAGTTGGGCTCAGAGGGGATGCAGGGAAGGAAACGTGATTGCTAATGCTGGGGAAATCCAAATAAATCCACAGATGCAAAGATATGCTTTTGCATGTCCTTTAATCGGGCAGCAACCCTTGCTCCCCCTCCCCATCTGCAGGGTTTCTCCTCCATAGTTTCTTCTCAGGGTGGTGGGGGGAACAGCCCCAAGGTATGCTAATGATCCCCTGCTTTTCAGATAAGGCCAGCTCCTAGCAGATCCACTGCTGCACTTCCTTTGCAATGTAAAAATACCTGGCAAGCTCATGCTTTGTCTTAAGGAATTCTGTATTTCTGCTCTCCTGGTCAGCCTGGAATCTCTGACCAATGGAGAGGCCTCTGCTTCTACCTGAGTTTCCAAATCTCCCCTCTCTGAGTTGTCGTCATCTTCTTGTTCTTCTTCTTCCTCCTCTAGGTCATGATGACTCTGGGGTGCCTACCAAGAATGGCAGTGAGAGTCACTTACTACACATTTCTTCTCCTAATTCATAATTGAGCTATGGAGTTCACCACCAGAGAAGATGAGCATGACTGATACCTTAGATTGCTCTAAAAGAGGATTTCTTCATGGATAAAGAGTGGTATCTATTATTTATTTATTAAAAGCTTTTTCATCCTGTCCTTTCACCAAAGTCCCTGGGTGGCAATACAGCAATAAAGCACAGCATGAGCAAAAACCAAGCAAACAAACCATTTAAAACAGCAATTAAAATACTGGGAAAATAAAAAGGGTTTGGCCTGGGGTCGAAATGCATAAATCGTCAGCACCAGGTGCCCCTCTCTGGGAACATGTTCCACAGCTGGGGCACCACCACAGATAAGGCCCTTCTCTGGGTATCCACTCAGAAGATACCTGAGTGGATACCCTGAATCTCCTTCAAAGAGGGCTCCCGAAGAAGGACCTCTGACCCAGATCTTAGGGGGCAGGCCAGCATATAAGGAAGGAGTTGCTAGTTAAATCTATCACTATTAGTAGCAATGAGTGAGAATTTTGTTTGCCTCGTTTTTTCGATACAACCTCACCAAAATTCACATTGATTTTCATAAACAGGATGGAAATAAATTGAGATTGGAAGCATTCAAAGTGCAACGGACAGATAAGCCCATTCAGGTGGAAGAATGTGAAGCATTTACAAGTCTGCATTTGTACATTCAAACAGACTTGTTTGCAATGTCAAATTAAGGCGGTCATCTCTTCCTACTGAAAGACTTCACTTTTATCAGCTACAAGGCAGAGAAGCCCAACATGGCCTTCTCCATACCGGGAATCAGTCTACCCATTGAATTTGCCTAGTGCATGTAGGGGAAATTTTCATTCATTTCTTCACTGGTCAAGAAGTTGCCAAAATCTGAACATTTACTTCTAAACGGAATGGAAATTAATGGAGTTTCTAAAAATTAGAATGTAGGAATGTATTGTATGGATTCCACTGGAAGAGTGGCAAAGAAGTTATTAAAGTTCAACAGGAAAAGGGGTTATTAAAGTTCAACAGGAAAAGGGGTTATTAAAGTTCAACAGGAAAAGGAGTTATTAAAGTTCAACAGGAAAAGGGGCTATTAAAGTTCAACAGGAAAAGGGGTTATTAAAGTTGAACTATCCCAGTGTTCCAAACCAGGAGAGATTCTTGAAGCCAAGCCAAAGCTTCATAGCCTTCAGCTTCCCAGGAAAAGCAGTAGAGTTACTTGCCTTGCCAGTTCCCCAGGCATTCTCTAGATAAGGAGTGCTTTTGCTGTAAGAGCAACACTGTTGTCCCTCCCTGACTTTGACTTTAATGGGATTTAGAGGCCGTGTATGGAGACAGTTTCGGAAAGCTGATATAATTCAAATACTGCCTTTTCTTAGTCTGGGGAGAGGAATTGATGCAGAACTCACTCAGGTGGCTTTATCGGGAGGCCCACAAAGCATCTCGCGGCCTGTTCAGAGAAGAAATTCAGCCACAGAGAGCAAGGGTACCTGTTTCTTTCCCCCTGTTTGTTATATTCTGCACCTCTAGGTCAACACTCGATTCCATAAACCATCTGCCATCTTCGACATAGGAGGTTTCGTTTCTCGTAAGTATCCTTGAATCTAAAGACCGGGCCCCTGGGGTTAAAACAAGAAGATAAAGGAGCTGGAAGATATGACTACCCCTAGCTCTTAGATGTCATGACTAGATGAGCCATAGAAGCCTTGTAAGAATGTGCTTTTGAATGAGATGACGGTCAAGTTGCAGTCGAGCACCATGGGACGGGACCACGTCCATTCTGTCCTCCTGGAGGAATCTGGCTGCACTTCATTGCTACTCCGGATCCAGAAGGATCTGGGCAGGAGACAACAGGATGGCGTTCAACGTGGAGAAGTGCAAGGTCTTATGAATGGGTCTAGGAATGGGGGTCATGGGTACAGGTTAGGGGACAAGTGGCTGGAGAGCAGCACTTGCGAAAGGGACCTCGGGGTGCTGGTCGACTGCAGGCTGAACGTGAGCCAGCAGTGTGACGTGGTGGTCAAGAGGGCGAACACCACCCGTGGTTGCATAGCCAGAAACGTGCCTTCTAGATCAAGAGGTATTACTGACACTTTTTATGACTCTGGTATATCCGCAACTGGAGTGTTGTGCTCAGTTTTGGGCCCCTCATTAAAGGAAGGATATAGCCAGGTCGGAGTCAGTGCAGCGAAGGGCCACAAGGTTGGTGGCCGGTTTGCAGGGGATGATGGGGTATGAGGTGAGACTGAGGGAACTGGGTCTCTTCAGCCTGGAGAAGAGGAGACTCAGAGGGGATCTGTTGGCGACATACAGGTATGTGAGGGGGTGTCACACGGAGATGGGTAGAGACCTGTTCTCCCCTGCAGAGGAAGGCAGGATGTGCTCCAATGGAGCAAAGCTCAGGGAACCCAGGTTCCATTTAGATGCCAGGAAGCATTGCCTGATGGTTAGGACCCCGAGGGTGTGGAATGGGCTTCCCCGGGAGGTGGGTGAGGCCCCATCGGTGAGGGTGTTCAAGGACAGGCTGGACACGCACATGGTGGGCATGTTGTGAGCAGAGCCAGCTGGAGCTGGGGGTCAGACTAGATGGCCCAGGAGGCCCCTTCTGACTCGCTTAGTTTCTGTTTCTATGTTATATGCCATCAAATTGTCTCTGACTTATGGCCACCCTGTGAACAAATGCCCTCCAGAATATCCTGTCCAGGACAGCCCTGCTTAGATCTTCTAAATGAGAGTCTGGCCTTCTCATGATGTACCCAAACTATGACAGCCTCAGTTTTGCCATTTTTGCTTCTAGGAAAAGCTCTGGCTTGTTTGATCTAGGACCTACTTCTTGGTCTTTCTGTCAGTCCAGGGTTATTCTCAAAGCTTGCCTTCAGTACCATGTTTGGAATGCACCCATTTAACTCCTGTTATCTCTGTTTACTATCCAGCTTTCATAGCCATACCCACTAATTAGGAATACAATTGTGTGTATGATCTTGGTCTTGAAACATTTTTACCTTGGATGATTCTTTCTAGTCCCTCTGATTCTCAGTCTTTGAATTTCTCGGTTGCAACCTCCCTTTCCATGAGTGACTGAGCCAAGATATGCAAAATCTTTCGCAATTTTAATTTCTTCATTGTTGAAAGGATTAGTTTTATTAGGCAGACCTTTGATTTACTCCACCAGGGATACTCCCTTACAAAGTTCTCCCATCCCCAGTATTCTTCTGCTCAGACTTGCAGCCCTCTGGTACTGTGTTCATTTTTTTATATATATCAGAGAAACGATACATGTAGGTGCAAGCATTTTCTTGCACATGGATTAGGACACCTTGTAAGAATAATTGACGTTCTATTGCAGCAATAATCTCTGTCTCCTTTTCTCTGATTTCTCCTTTGATCATTAGTATAGAAAAGATTCACAGAGCAAGGAGTGACATTTCGATGACAATAACAGATGGCACAGCTATCAAAGTGATTGCTAAGATGGGAACTACAGAGGCAGTTTCTCAGCAAGCAAAAAGCAATTTTTTCATACTTTTACAATCCCTTGCAGTACATTCGTACAATGGACGTAAACCCAGAAATATCTCAGAAAGTGGCATATCCGTTGCCATGTAAGTTTGGTGGACCAAAGCCCACTTAAATGTCTTAAATCTCTCTTTTCACAGATAAACATTACAGACACCGATAGCATTTCTCCATAATCTGCAATCTGGTTTCAGTCTTTCTATTTTTTTGTCTCATTATTGCCTCCATCCACCAATTGAGATTTACATGCACAGGCAGCTTAAAATTCTAGCTTGGGGAGCTAAGTTTTGGTTTGCATTTTAGGCAAATGTTCAGCTTCCTTTTTTTATCTGACAAGTGAATGGAGTATCACACAGGAGTGCCCCAAAACTCCCTGTGTTCCCCATCCCCTCAATAGCCACCTAAACTTAATCCAGGAGCCTCTCAGATCTTTCCGGACAAAGAAAGGGGGCACAGAGAGACAGTTTCAAGCCAACACCTTCTATTTCAAGCCCCAGATCAAAAATTCTGCACAGTAGAAACCCCAAAAGGAAGGCTCTGAGGGGGAGGATCCTTTCTCCTTTAATGGTGTGGTTAGGCATTTTATTAAAAATAATGAAAAAGGGTCACTTCTGCTTTTCCAACTAGAAAGGAGTGCTTTTCTAAAATGAGGGGGTAGCTAGTGACAGAATCTCGGTTTTCAATTTGCGAGGAAATGAGCACTGGGGGAAGATCAAACGTTTGAACCTCTGCAGCTTTATTGATCGGTAGCCCATTACCTGCAGTCACTAACAATAATGCGTTACTGGGCAGAGGCAAACTCAACTACAAAATCACAGCAAAAAACAGACATTTTTATAACCTGCGAGACATGTACCCAAGACAGAGTATTATACTTCCCCAGACTACGATTGCAAAGGCATGTTGATCTCTTTAACCATGATATAATGTTTAAGCCAATTAGAAAACATTGTTAACAATAGTGTTACCTGAAACATACTCTCTCGCAACACTTAGGCTAAGCACTTAGCCTGAAATCTGCAGCCAAGTTGTACTTCCCTGTCCAGAAGGAGGGGGAATGTATGGAGAACCCTGAGTGAACTCCTGGGACAGGATGACTGGATGTCAAAGAGGTTAATGAGAAGTATCTTTGCAGCTTGGGACCGGCTGGAAACCGGGTGAAGCCTCAATGAAAGTAGCAAATGGCATTATAAATTACTAGTAGGTGGGAAACATAGAGCGGGTGTGAATAATTCAGAATAATCAGCAGACACATGAGAAAGGGGAGTCTCTGGATAAATAAAGAGTTTTCTGTAAACTAACAAACAGAACAAAGAATAATGGGGAAATGAATTTACTTTGTATCCAGACAACATGTTATGACGTAGGGTATATAATGGATGTTCTCTGTACCTCTTTTGAGACTCTGATTTGGGAAGCATCTCCCCTTTGACTCTGTTTATTCTATAGTGCACCAGAGCAAAACTGCTATTAGCTCTAAGTCTCGTCTCAGGCTCTGTTTGGCTTTGGGTCTGGGGTCCACCCGGGGTTTGCCCCAGCTGTTAACTGGTTTGAGTCCAGTAGCAATAGTATGGAAAACATTACTGATTGCTTTATTGCTAGGTCAATCTAGGAAATTCTTGACAGTTCAGGTCAGCTGGTGTGTCCGTTTAAACATGCCAATGTGTCTGATGGAGGAACATTTAAGAAATCTGGTTTGAAAACTACTCTGTGGGACTAGATGCTTAGGGGATTCCATTCAGAAACAAATGGACACCTTTGTTTCAGCTTTTCTGCAGCTGATAAGAACACAGGTATTTCCTGGCTGATAGTATTTGTCTCCAACAGCTTCTCAGTCCAGCTTAGAGAGCCAACTTCTTAAGGCAACAGCAAGGCTAGACAGTAACCTGGCTTGGAATTCTGCTGCTTTGGGGGAAGGGGTGCAGGTTTGATTTTAAAACACAAAGGCATATATAAGCAACATTTTTCTACCAGGATTTATCTGAATTTTCCCAACAATCCCCCTTTGTCACCAGCCCAGTTATGTGACACGGGTTCATGAGGGAAGATGGGGAAGGGACTTCTTGGAGGTTCTTCAGTGAGAAGAAGGCCCTTCTTCTTGCCTTTCTCTTTTTGCAATCTTTAAATTTTCAGAGTTGGTACCAAATGTGGGTACATTTGGTCCTTCATGGATCACTGCCTTGTCGTGGCAAAGGGGCTTGCGTAGCTCAATGAAGCTATGAGCTATGCCGTGCAGGGCCACCCAAGACGGACAGGTCCTAGCAGAGAGCGCTGACAAAACGTGATCCACTGGAGAAGGAAATGGCTACCCACTCCAGTACCCTTGCCATGAAAACCCCATGGACAGTACCAAAGGGCAAAGAGAGATGACGCCGGAAGATGAGCCCCTCAGGTCGGAAGGTGTCCAGTGTGCTACTGGGGAAGAGCAGAGGGCTAGTACTAGTAGCGCCAGAAAGAATGAAGCGACTGGGTCAAAGCCGAAAGGACACTCAGTTGCAGATGTATCTGGTGGTGAAAGGAGAGTCCGATGCTGCAAAGATCTTTACTCCATAGGAACCTGGAATGTAAGATCCATGAATCAAGGCAAGCTGGATGTGGTCAAACAAGAGATGACGAGACTGAACATCGACATCTTAGGAATCAGTGAAGTAAAATGGACGGGAATGGGTGAATTTAATTCAGGTGACCATCAGGTATACTACTGCGGGCAAGAATCCCTCAGAAGAAATGGAGTAGCCTTCATTGTCAATAAAAGAGTAGGAAAAGCAGTACTGGGATACAATCTCCAAACTGACAGAATGATCTCCGTTCGAATCCAAGGCAAACCATTGAACATCACTGTAGTCCAAGTCTTTGCCCCAACCACTGGTGCTGAGGAGGCTGAAGCTGACCTCATTCTATGAAGATCTACAACACCTTCCAGAACTAACACCAAAAAATGATGTCCTTGTCATCATGGGGGATTGGAATGCTAAAGTAGGAAGCCAAAAGATAACTGGAATAACAGGCAAGTTTGGCCTTGGAGTACAAAATGAAGCAGGGCACAGGCTGGTAGAATTTTGTCAAGAGAATACGATGGTCATAGCAAACACTCTTTTCCAACAACCCAAAAGATGACTCTTACACATGGACATCACCAGACGGTCAACACACAAATCAGATTGACTATGTGCTCTGCAGCCAAAGATGGAGAAGCTCTATACAGTCAGTAAAAACTAGACCAGGAGCTGACTGTGGCTCAGATCATGAGCTTCTGGTTACAAAATTTAGGCTTAAGTTCAAGAAAGTAGGGAAAAGCACTAGGCCACTCAGGTATGATCTAAATCATATCCCTGAGGAATATACAGTAGAGGTGACAAATAGATTTAAGGAATTAGATCTGATAGACAGAGTGCCTGAAGAACTATCGGCGGAGGTTCACAAAATTGTACAAGAGGCAGCAACTAAAACCATCCCAAAGAAAAAGAAATACAAGAAAGCAAAATGGCTGTCTGAGGAAGCTTTACAAATAGCTGAGGAAAGAAGGGAAGCGAAAGGCAAGGGAGAAAGAGAAAGATGCACCCAATTGAATTCAGAATTCCAGAGACTAGCTAGAAGAGATAAGAATGCCTTCTTGAATGAACAGTGCAAAGAAATAGAAGAAAACTACAGAATAGGGAGAACCAGAGATCTCTTCAAGAAAATTGGAGATATGAAAGGAATGTTTCATGCAAAGATGGGCATGATAAAGGACCAAAATGGCAGGGACGTAACAGAGGCAGGTGAGATTAAGAAGAGGTGGCAAGATTGCACAGAAGAACTGTACAAGAAAGAGCTTAGCATCCCTGATAACCACGATGGGGTGGTCACTGACCTCGAGCCAGACAACCAGGAATGTGAAGTCAAATGGGCCTTAGGAAGTCTGAGCAACAACAAAGCTAGTGGAGGCAACAGTATTCCAGCTGAGCTATTCAAAACCCTAAAAGACGATGCGGTAAAAGTGCTACACTCAATATGCCAGTAAATTTGGAAAACTCAACAGTGGCCACAGGATTGGAAAAGGTCAGTTTATATTCCAATCCCAAAAAAGGGCAATGCCAAAGAATGTTCAAACTACGGCACCATTGCACTCACTTCACATGCTAGCAAAGTGATGCTCAAAATCCTACAAGCTAGGCTCCAGCAGTGTGTGGACTGAGAACTACCAGAAGTACAGGCAGGGTTTTGAAGAGGGAGAGGAACTAGAGATCAAATTGCCAAGATACGCTGGATCATGGAGAAAGCCAGGGAGTTCCAGAAAAACATCTACTTCTGCTTCATTAACTACGCTAAATCCTTTGATTGTGTGGATCACAACGAATTGTGGCACGTTCTTAAAGAGATGGCAGTACCAGACCATCTTATTTGTCTCTTGAGAAACCTGTATGTGGGTCAAGAAGCGACAGTGAGAACTGGTCACGGAACCACTGATGGGTTCAAAATTGAGAGAGGAGTTCGGCAAGGCTGCATTCTGTCGCCCTGCCTATTTAACTTCTATGCCGAGCAAAAGCCGCAGGAAGATTCGGGGGGGGGGGGGCGCCATGGGGGCACGTGAGCCCAAAGCGGGCTGAGCGCGCGCAGCGAGGCCCGGCGGCGCCCGCCCCTTGGGCGTCTCCATAGCGACGGTTGCCGAGGGGACGCGTCGGCCTGCGAGGCCCGCCGCGCCGCCCGTGCCTGCGCGTTTGCCCCGGGCCGGTGCGCTGCCCGGCGAGGGGGCCACCCGGAGGCCCGGCTGGGGTGAGGGCCACGGTGGGGAGGGCGCTGGCCTCGTTTCGGGGGGGAGCGGCCCCAGAGGCGGGCGGGACGCCGCGGAGCCCGGCCGGCCTGCAGCCCCTCCGCTGCCGCGCTCCCTCCCGCAGGCAGCGAAGCCCGAGCTGCCCGGACGGCGACGCTGCGTGCTCGCCGTTCTGCTCTGGCCCGTTGTTTCCTTGGTTCGTCCTCTGTGCAAAAGTGCATCATGGAGATCGATGAGCAGTTAAATGAAAATCTGAAAATGCAGTTCAGGGCCCTGCAGGAGCAGCAGCAGAAGAGGATGCTGGATCTGATGGAGAAGAAGAAGGCGAAGCAGCAGAGCCTGCAAACGAGCAAGGACGGCCAGAACGAAGCCTTCGGGGTCCAGGATGACCTCAACTTGACCGCCCTGGAGATGGAGATCTCGAAGGAAGACAGCCCTGAGATGTCAAAGGAGGCCATCAGCAAAAGGTAGGGGGCAATCCCGTTTTTTCGCTCAGGAGGTCTGGGTTCTAGCCTTCCATTTGGACCATGAATCTCACTTCATTCAGTCGCTGCCTCTCAGCCTGACCTGCCTCGCAGGACTGTTGTGAAGGTAAGAGGAAAGAGTATGCATGCTGTCTTGGGTTCCTCAGACGAAAAGGTAGGATATGAGTCTAAAACATATGCATATGTGCAGGAGCTCAGAGAATGGGGTTGCCTAAGGCTACCTTGAGGATTCATGGCTGCGGCAGCATTTGAACCAGTCTGTCCATTCAGGATGCTCAGCCGCTCCCCTGCACCAGCAAATGAACCCCATTGGTCCTTTTTAAAAATTATCCCTCTTGTTATTCATATAGCCGGATGAGTGTGCTTGATGTTTTGCAGAACAAATCAAACCAAAAACTGCTCCTTAGTGCCAACATTAATTTGGAGAGTGACCTGGTTAATTTCCCCACAGGTCTGTCATTTTGCCTTGGGAAATTCAAGCCGTGGCAGGAGTGCATGTGGCTTGTAGTTATGTTCAGGCCTGGCCACTGTGAGTCATTTGGGCTGTGGTGCCCTGTCCACCATCCCAACAACCCTGGTGGCTTTGTGTGGAACCTTTAGTTGGGACTTGCACTGCCAAAACAGCAGCCAACCCACATATACCAAGCCCTGTAGGGAAATTCACCACTTATCCTTCTGTGCTATCTTGCCCAGTTGGAGGGAGAGGCAAAAGTAATTAAGGGATTAGTGAATACTTTGGACTGAACTAGTTCATGAGGAAGCACAGGAGTCTCCACTCTGCACCAGGTTTCCAGTTCCATGAGGAAGGGAAGGGTTGGCATTTGTGGAAGAGAATGGACATCCACATGGTGGGCATGTCGTGAGTGGAGCCGGCTGGTGCCGGGGGTCAGACTAGATGGCCCGGGAGGTCCCTTCTGACTCGCTCTGTTTCTCTGTTTCTATGTTCCTCTCCTTTTCATCCTACTGGCTATCACATCCCCTCACTGTAAAGCATTCCATGCATTACCCAGTTCTAGAAGAAGAACTGTTTTTCCAGCTGCCCCTAAATTGTATTCCTTGCTCTTATTATCTGGAGCCAAAACAGCAGGCACACACTAGAACAGACTCAATTCCAGTTTGTTTTGTTTTTTTTTCCCCTTCCAGGTTGCTTGAAGACGAGAATGAGCAGCTCCAGAACCAGCTTCGAGAGACAGTAGATGAAAATGGCAGGCTGTACAAACTGCTGAAGGAACGAGACTTTGAAATCAAGCAACTTCAGAAGAAAATAGAGGAGGAAAGACTGGCTCTGATGGGTGAATATAAGGCATTTATAGATCTGCTCATGTTCTAATCTCTGCAGGCTCCTTCAGCTTATGTAGCAGGCACATATTTTGAAACACAAGAGAATAAATTAGGATGTACCACATCAAAGGGTATGTATAATAAATCTATAAAAAAGGAGCACAGAGTACATTTAGAATTATGCAAAACAAGCCATCTGGCACAAGCATCTTTTATTTTCACAATTTTCAGTTGTGAACTTTGAGAAAGAAAGACATGGTTTGTTAGAGGAGAAACTGGTAGGACAGGAAGCAAGATAAGGAACTATTGGCCGTTGAGCAAAAGTGTTGAGTGCGGCAGATGATAACATATCTTTCCTTAACTGTAATAATTCCAGAGCAAACCCCTTTAAGCTTCTGGACATTTGTGGGAACACTGGCAGTATTTTAAAAGGCCTTGTAGAATCATAGAATCATAGTCAAGTTGGAGGGGGCCTACCAGGCCATCAAGTCCAACCCCCTCCTCAGTGAAGGACTCTTTAAACATCCCTGACAAATAACTCTTATTTCCTCTCGAATGCCTCCAGTGTGGGAGAGCTCACAGCCTCCCAAGGTCACTGGTTCCTTTGCTCTAACCATCAGGGAATTTTTCCAGATGTCCATCTGGAATCTGGCTTCGTGTAAACGTGAGTCCATTATTCCTTGCCCTGCGCTCTGGTGTGGTTGAGAAGAGATCCTGGCCCTCCTCCATGCGATGGCCGTTCGAGTATGTGAAAAGTGCTATCATGCTTCCTTCCAGTTTTCTCTTCCCGAGGCTAAACAGGCCCAGTTCCTCCACTGTCTCCTCATAGGGCTGTGTTTCCGGTCCCTGGCTCATCCTTGCCACTCTCCTCAGAAGTCCTCCCAGCTTTCCTATATCCTTCTTGTCGTGTGGTACCAAGAACAGGACACAGTACTCAAGATGGGCCCTAACTGGTGCCAAACAGAGGGGAATAAGTACCTTGTGGGATTTGGAAGTTATACTTCTATTAATGCAGCCCAAAATAGCTTTTACTTTTTCTTTTTCTTTTTTGGCACCCACATCACATCACTGATGCATGTTCAGCTTGTAATCTACAGCAATACCGCAATCCTTCTCACTTGTGGTATTGCGGAGCCAAGGATCCCCCATCTTGTAACTGCACTGGGGTCCTTTTGCCCTAATGGAAAGGAACCTTGAATTTCTGCACCATGACAATAATGATATTTTGATGAATGACCTATGCTCCTGGGCCAGCTTATATTGAAGGGAGCGGTTTTGCTGTATCTCATCTCTTTCTCACACCACCTCCCGCCATCCATAGGCATATTTCTTTAAAACTGAAGACAGCAAATTTGCAATAAAACATCTTTCCATCTCTCCTACCCAACCAAACAACTTTCCCTGTAGCTCATATTCTTTTCCAACTTTTTAGCCTAACCTTGTGGTCCTCTCCATATCCTTTCCAGTGGGGGCCATAGTCACCCAAGGAAGGAACCCTAAAATAAAAATTAAAAGTTTTAAACTGAAGGGCTAAAAAGCATGAGGAAAATACAGCGACAGCACACTTGCTGTCCCTTTCATGTTTTGCAGGGACACCTGGCCTAGCAGGAGATGCTGCAGCCACTAAAATTGTTGAACTGGCTAAACAACACCGACATATGACCGCTGAGATTGAAAGGGGGAAAACCAAAGTCAAACAGCTGAACAACAGAATCAAAGAACTGGAAAAAGAAGTGGGTCTCTTTTCTCAGTGTGTTGCCCAGGGTGTGGTGGGCCCTGAGAACCAAGTGAGGTTTCAGCTTCTTGCTTTGCATTTACAGTCCCAGAAATGGTGTTCACTGTGGAATTTGATTTGTTTTTAGGGTATGCCTTTATACTGTTTATTTTGTTTTGTAGTTCTGTCCAAATTGTGGGTTACAATGGTTTTAGGGGGTTGTTTTAATTACAGATGTCTGTATTTGCATATGTAAGTCACTTCAAGGCTGCTTTTTTCAGTGGGAAGTGATCTATAAATTGAATGGATGACGACAACGATATTATAATTCTTTCCCTGCTGGTATTGCAGGTTTCCAGCCTTTGGTTATATCACATTTGGTTCCCATGCCTCTTGAAACCTGCTTGTACATGGGTTCCCTTTGCTAGAGAAACGACTGTGTAGATGTGGTGTAAAAGTGACATTTCTTTAATCATGTGCATTATATGTATGTTTTTCTAGTTACAAATATCAACTATTAAGCTCCAGTCATTTGGAGACAAAAACATTCAACCTGCTTATAAAACTGCAGAAGTGCCTTTGGTAAGAAGAATTCACCTCTTTTTCTCTGGGACGCCAAAGACAGCTGGGTTCTTTGTCTCTTTCTGTTGTGTCCTCAGCTCTCCTTCCCTGGATATCTCTAGTATCAGTGGACAGAACACCCATTAATTGGGTTGGGTCAGAGTCTGAGGGCTCACAGCCTACAGGGCTACCGTGGATCGGCTGCCCTGTGCCCTCTGCATCCTTAGGACCAGTGGTGGGCAGCTTGTAACCTTCTGGATATTTTGGCCTACAACTTCCATCGATGCTAGCCTGCGTAGCTGAGGGATCACGGGAACTGTAGGACGCATCTCCCATCTGGAGGGCTGCGAGGTGCCTGCTGCGGCCTAAGGCCTAGATCTGTCTCCTACTAGCTGCTAAGCCAAGGAAACAAATAAGATCTGAAGACATGAGGACACACGTATTATCAGCTCTTGTAGCTGGATGGCTGTTGCCACATGGGCAGGAGAGAACTCAAGTGTTGACGACAGGAGCAGGGAATGTGTTGAAAAGGAGACTCAGGCCTCCTCTCACCTGCCAGCCGTACTTTGCTTTTCTCTGCACTTACATCCTCAACCTTTGCCTTGAGTTCTTCCTTTCAAGCGAATAACTGATGCTACCGCCTCCCTTCCTGCCCAAATGCCAAACTCACAATACAGACTAAGCCCTGTTCCTAAACAGGTTGATATCTGTTAGGCAAGCTTTCCTTCTAACAGAAGCAGTTTTCAAAATCAGTGAGAAATGCTGAGAAGAACCTTGGATAAGCAGTGCAGGCATGCAGAAGCTGTGCCCGGTGAGCCAGGTGAAGCTACCAGTCCCATTCAGTGGCCTACCAAATTGCTTGACGCTCCACTCGTATCAGTCTCTGGCAAGTATCAAAGCCAGGGTTATTTTAGCCACATGGGGCTCGCGGGGGCATGTGCTCCAGAGCGTCTAATTCTTGAGACGGCACTCTTATCTCCTGTTTTGCTTTGCTTTGTGGTCCAGCAAATGCCCCTGCACTCATCAAACCCTTTCCTTCTCTTGAATTTGCAAGAGTCCAGAGATTAAAGCTTTGCAAGACAAGTTAACCGCAACCAGCCTCAAACTCTCCGAGTGTCGCAACCAGCTCCAGACCACAAAGCAGGAGCTGAAGATGACACAGAAGGTAGGACTTGCTTTGTGATCTCGGCAATGGTAATCTGAGCCCTGCTTTCGAGGCACGGCCGCCAGTGGTACTCAACGGAGCTGGTTTTCCCTTTCCAATGTGGTTAGCCTCCACAGAATCTACCAGTGCTCAGAAGTTGGGTAGACGGAATATTTATGGGCATGGAGAAAAGTTCTACCAGAATCACACGGCTCGGGGCCTGATCCCCATGTTCATTTTGAAACCGTGAAGTCACACAATTATTCCTTATTTGTGCATTCCTTGGAATGGCCACCTGCATTTATTCCATCAGGGAAAAGGCTCAAAAGCTACCCTGCGGAAAAGGGGACTATGCCATGTCAAAACAAGAATATGCAAACAAAGCTTGTGTCCTTTTTTTAATCAGTTTTACTTCTGGGTTGTTTGTTTACTGTTAGATGCAGGCTTACGTTTAAAAGGCTCTCTTTGAGTTGGAACCAGGCTGCCAACTTCAAAGCAGTGCCATTAGCTCTTCTTTTAACACAGAACCGCAGAAGTGACTTTATGCTGCATCAGGCCCTGACACTGGCTATCAGAAACTGACAGTGTTATTTAAAAAAAACCATTCCATAAAAGACTTCACCTCTTGCCACCTGCATCTCAAACTCCTCCTAAAGGCCAGGAGCAGGCTCAAGTGGTCTTCTTCAAATTTTGGAAGCAAGTGCGGACAGGCTACATGAAGCCATGCGCAAAGCTCCTGTGTGAAAATACTGCTGTGGTTGTGTTAACGGAGAAGCAGAGAAAGGGCAGCATCCAGCAACGGCCTGCCTGCTAGTGGGTCTCGCTGTCCGCACAATGAAAAACAATTAGGCCCTGAAACAAACAGAAGCAAGCAGAACCCCATGTCTCTGGAATAGGACAGCCCTGCGGAGCTTGCAGACGGGAGTTCTGCCATCTGTTACTGTTAATTTCTGGGGTTGCTTTAGCAAGCACTGTTTATTTTATTTATTGATTTAAAACTTGTGTGTGTCATCCCTTATGCCTTGGCATCTCGGGACGGCTAACAATCCATAAGATGGAAATGCAATAAAATCACAAGTATAAATAGCATAATTCAATGAAAATTGACATAAAGAACAAAATCAAAGTGACTGTTCGACACGATTAAAATATTATTTTTTTAAAATAGTGATTAAATAAAAAGGCTTTGAGCTGGCGCCGAAAAGAATATAAACTCGGTGCCAGGTGCACCTCTCCCGGGAGCACTGGCCTCCTGTCGCTGTAGGAGTGGGTCCCACTGGTGTCACAGAAACATTAGGGGATCAGCAACTGTGTCGGGCCGTCCCTTGCTGCAAGGATGCAAGATGCAGCTGCTAGGGATGCTAGAACTCGGAGAACTGCACTGAGCAGTGGCGTGGATCTCTCTGGCCCGTTGCCACTCCATGATTCTCTGATCCCCTGTGCATAAAGCATCACTAAACTGTGGAGGGCCAGCTCTATTTTGGGTCCTTTCATGGCTTCTGTGTGGAAACGCTTGCTGCTTAGAATTGCTGCAGCACGTGTACGTTAAATCCTAGGCGGCCCCACACCTAATATTTGAGTTGAAGCAATCCTGTTTCCACCTCTCGATCAGCTTCTAGCAAGCGAGGCTGGAGAAGACGTCAGCGTTCAGAGTTTGCTGTCCAGCCCTGGCAGCTGGCGTGGGCGAGCGCAGCAGATCCTTGTCCTCCAAGGCAGAGTGAGTGTGTGCTTTCTTTCCCCTCCTTCTGCATGCGGCATTTCGTCTGTGACTGGTTACCGCAACCTGCCCTGGAGGAGACCTCTGCCAAGGCCAGGCAGGGTAGCTGGTGGCCAGCTAACACTTCCTCCTCTGTGTACTTGGGCACCCTTTACTCAGTAAACACCCTGTGGCTGTGGCAAGCTCTGCCTTGGTGCAGAATGGCTGGAGAAGGCCTGTAGTTGGGCGGGAAAGCTCCTGGTTTGCAGGCACTGGGTTTGGGATTTGCTCCCTGGGATATCCAGATGGCTTTGGGAAGGAGCCTGGCCGGTCTGAAACCATGGGGAGCGTCAGCCCATTGCTGTAGGCTGGACTGGCTGCCCCCTCCTGCCCGGGCTCCTCTGCGGTCCGCCTTGTGCCTTCCTTCTTCAGAGATACTTGCTCTTGTGGGTGGCGCTCCCTGCTCTGCTCGCTGCCGCTTTCCACTCCCAGCGTGACCCACTCGCCTGCACTCAGCTCCAGAACCCCGAGCTAAGGGGGCGCCTTGGATGGGAATGGCGCTTGGCCTTCCAGCTCTGCCTGCCTGCCTGCCTGCCCAGGAATAGCCCTTGCTGCCATCCCGGACGGAGGGACTCGGCCAGTGCTGATGGCATCAGGCCTGCTGATGACCCGGTGGAGCGCAATCGCCTCCCCCTCCCACCACCACATCCTGTCCTGCACCTCTGCCTTAGACAATGCCAGGGCTGAACTAGCTAAAACAGCTCAAGGATCTCAGGGATAAAACGGACCCCAGGGCCGTTTCCTCTGTGGTTCAGTTCTTCCTGGAGCTGCTAAGCGAGGGTCTGGGCCACATTGTTTTAGACAGCCGGCTTGTGGAGGCAAGGAGGGAGTGCTGGGGCCGGATGCCACGTAATCGAACGCTTCCTCCCGAAGGACTCCTTCTGCCTCAAAATGCACAGTGCTGGGGAGAAGGGCTCTAGCCTAGCCTGAAAGGAATTCCTTTGAAGCAGAGCACGAGGCCAGTAGAGCCCCCTCCTGTTCATACCAGCTAGAAGTCGGCTCGCCATCTCTGCGAGAAGTAGGCTTAGGAAGGGGAGGGAGGGAGGGAGGACTCAGTGCCTTTCAAACGGGCAGGGAAGCGTGAATCAGCAGAGCTGAAGGGGCAAGCAGAAACCCATGGGGTCTGCATTTGGAGCAAAGGACAAAACAGTAGCCATGCCCTGTAGTTCAGATGCAGAAATAAAGTTAGCAGCCTGTAGCTCCAGAAGTTCAGTCAGCACTGGACTGACCCTCCGCAGCTGATGGCATCAGTTGATACGTAAGGGCTAGACTTGCACTGGAAAGGAGCTGAAAAGAACACCGGTCTGTTACTGGGGCCAACTTAATGCTCTTCCCTGGGGCCCAGGCTGTTGGGCAGCCTGCTGTGTGTCCCTCCTTTTTGGGTCAGACAATGCGCTTCTGTTTAAGAGCAGAACTGTGTGGGCTGCTCAGCTGTTTGTGTACGCTTCACATTTTTCTCCAGGTTCGGGAGCTGGAGAACCAGCTGGGGCACAGCAAAAGCAGGACGTCTCAGGGCAGCGGTGACGAAGAAGCGCTGAGCTTTACAGACTCGAGAAAGAAATCTGCCCAAGAGAAGAACCTGCAGCGGATTCGGAGTTTGGAAAAAGAAAAGAAAGAAGCGCTGGAGGTAAGAAGTGCCGCTGAGAACAAAGGGCTGGCAGGCACCTGCCAGTCTGGGTTCTGGCAGGGAGGGGTGTATTCGCAGCTCGGCCTGCTTGGATTGTGCCATGGACTGGGGCCCCCCCTCAAGCCCTGGTTTCAGAGCCAGGCTGGCTGGGAATTGGGGGGGGGGTTGCACTTGGGGGGCACCAGGCTGATCAATGCACTGATTGGGCGCATGGGAACCTGCCAGCTCTTGGTGTCCCATTTTGAATATGCTCAAGCAGAACGGGCTGTCTGAGGGAAAGGCCACCTTCTGCCCGGGCTCGTTCCTATACATGCCAATTAGCAGGACTAGTTTTGGCAAGCCACCTGTTCCGCTGGGCTCTCATAAGACTTAGAGGCTGCGTCATAAGCAAATCAGCCTTCCTTAAATTGGCGCTGCACCTCTGTCTGGGACTGCAACCCAGCGTGGCTGGGGATGATGGGAATTGCAGTCGAACGCGTCTGGAGGGTATCTGATTGGAGGTGGTGGAATTAAATGCTGCAAAGCGTTCTGTAATTGTTTTCTCTGCGATTTTTTATTTTTAGCCCAAAGCAACCTGGGGCAGGCGTGTGCCTGCCTGGAAGAAGGGCACGTGTGAAGAGGAACCCTCCTCTTCCTGCTGCTGTCCAGGTCAGAACTGCCCCTTGTGTTTTTCCACCTGTCACAGGCAGAGCACTGGGGGAGCCCCGTGTCTTTCCTGTATGGATGAAAAGGATGTTTCTGGAGTAATTCTCACAGGGAGCAGGAAGGGAGAGTTCAGCAACTTCTCGTGCCTTTCTTCCATGCAAATCCAGTCCCTTTGGAGTAAAGGAAAGGATTAAATTAAAAGGAAAGTGTATGGGGCGGGGGGGATCACGGAAAGGCCGTAGTTTCAGAAGAATCAGAAACTGTAGTTCTTGCCTTCACAGGATATATCGGGCACTCCCTTGCCGTTGAGGAATTCACCTTGTGCCCCACTCCCTGCAGCCTCAGTTTCCCTTTCTGTCTTTCCCTTCCTGCAGAAACTTACAGGTGAATATAGTGCACTCCAGAAGGAGCACGAGGAGGTGAAAAGGAAGTTGGAAGGGTCCAAAGCCAGGAGCAAAGTGTTGTCCAGTGAGGTGAAAACCCTGAAGGAGCAGATCTCAACGCTGCTGGACAAAGGAAAGCACGATGACGAGCTCATTGATGCTTTACTGGTAGGATCAGTTGATGGAATCCCTGCTCCTTACTAGAAAAGGTCACTGTGGAAGGTCGCGGAAACTTGCATTCCCACCCCTGTGCACACAGTCTGAATATCTTAAAAGCCCTACGCTTTGTTTTCAGCCTGCGGGCCTAGGACCGCCTTCCCCAGCCTGGCATCCTCCAGATAGTCTGGCCTGCTACTTTCTTCGCTCCATGCGTTGGCTGTGCTGGCTATGGCTGACGGGAATTGTAGTCTGAAACACCTGCCGTGTGCCAGGCCGGGGAAGGCTACCTTAAAGAGCTGGTGCCAGTTGCTTGATTGCGGCCCCAGAGCCTGACTGGGGCTTAATTCTCTTCCTCCTTTCATCTGAGTATCAGTGGCCCTCTAAGCGACGGAAGCATAGCTAAGCTGAGCAGCAGGGAAGATGGGTGGGGCCCGCCCAGGCGTGAAGCACCCACGAGTTCGTGTTGGCTGGCCTTGGCCATTCCTGAACTGAAGCATCAGTGGGGAAGTAGGTCAGCGCCACCCTTGACCTGCAGGTCGAGGATGCACCTGTTTGTTCTGAGGCGATCGTGGCTCTGGCTTGTCAGTAAATGCAAGGCTAGGTTGACCTTAACCAGGGGGTGTTTATTTACAATTCATTAAACAAATGTACTCTTGAAAGAGGCTCCGAAGAAAAGTTTACATGTAATTGATTATCTAATATAGTTTATCAAATAGTATTAATCGGTTGATAATCCTACAGTTATACATGCATACATGTGCTGGGATCGCACTCATTCCAGGAAAGGGTGCACCTTAGCAGCTAGGGTCATTTTTTTGCAGTTGGGAGGGGGGTCTTTCTTTGCTATGCCAGAGGTGGCCATTGTAAAACCCTTGTGGTGAGGAAAGGATGAAAATCATGGGCAGCTAAGGAGATCTGTGGGTGGTCTGGATGCCTCTCATGGATTATGCGAGTCGCTTAGCTTCAAGGGGCTTGTTCCGGGGGTCTGTTTTGGCCACTGGCTCCGCCGTATTTCTTGAGCGCTCAGAAACCAGACAAGTCCCTTGCTGCTTGTGGCTTCAGGCAGAAAACACGGCCTTCCTGCAGGTTTAATAACTTGTGTCTGTGAAACGGCGCATACCACGTGTCTCTTCCGCTTCACCAGAGCCAGCAGAAGGAAATGCAAGTTATCCTAAAGAACCTGAGCCAGCAAGAAGAACGGAGCAAGGAGCACCGGCAGAGCCTGGGGAAGGAGCTGCAGGTCGAGGCGCAGAAGCAGAACTGCCTCATCGGGCAGCTCAAGCAGATGGTGGCTGAACGAGAAGCCAAGGTGAAGGAGCTGGAGGAGACGGTCAGGCAGCTCGCCTCACAGGTAAGCCAGGCTGGATCGCTCTGCAAGAGGGCTCGTTCGCTGTGAATGTCCGTGACGAGGGGCTCAACACTGGAGGGTCCACATTAGCTGCTCCTTAGAATTGGACAAAGCCGTGGAAGAAGCGGGTGTACGGGAGACGGCTGCTCCTAGCAGAAGCATGATCTGCTGTGCTTGGAGTGGGCCCTGGCAGTTTGTCTCCAGGTGAGATTCAGGATCAGTCGGGCCCTGTTAGTTCCCTGGAACACTTGCTGAGAAGTGATTCCAATTCAGAAGCGGGCTTTAACACCAAAAGTGTAGAATTCTGCAGTTGCCTCTCTGCAATAATGAGCAAAAGCCCTGAGTAGCTTCAAGAAAGAACTGGAAATATGAATATTGCCTAACAACAGGGTGTTACAGGCTGAACTGATTATATTCAGGGTTGTAACCAGCCACGCTCTCTTCAAAATACCCCAGTCCATTTCCCCTGCCCCTGTGTCTTCTGGTCCCCCCCCCCCCGCCAGCAACAGGTAGTATTCTATATCCACTCACTATGCTTGATCCTATTTGGGTTGGTTTTGCAAGGATTTTGCCCCCCTTGAGGGGGCAAATATTTTCCCTGGAGATTTTGTATTACTGCAACCCATGGGATTTCCCAAAATTCACATGGGTTGCCCCTCCTTGTGCCCAAAGTGGGCTGTGCTGGACTGCAGTTGCCAGGATTCTGAGTGGGGCTGTAGTGCAGATACTCCCTCTGCAAACAGACTTGGGACCAGGATACCTGAGAGGACCAGAGGACACCTCCTTCATCCTCCTGCCTGATCACTGAGGGAATCAGAGGCCATCATTGTGGTGGTTCCACATGGACTGATGGCCAGGCTAGATGGAGCCCGTCCAGGGAAGGGAGCGCCTTCGGTGTGGTGGCTCCGTTTGCATGGAGCTCCCCACCTTTGGAGGTCAGGCAGGCGCCAGCCTTGTGCTCCTTCTAGTGCTTCTTGAAAGCATCTCTCTTTCAATAGGCCTTCCTTGGTTGACCAGCCCCTGTTTCCATTGCTGCTCTGTTCTCATTCCAGCGTTTAGTCTTCTCATCATTCAAATGCATCCTTTAAATTGCATTTTAACATGTTAGATTCCACCTTGATGGCTTTTCACCAGATAAGGCATTATATAATCATGCACAGTAGATAAATATGCAGACCGACGCTGATGTTTCAGATCAGTAATGGCTTTTCCTACATTGCTGGTTGGCTTGCTGCTCACAATTCTCATCTCAGAGCCAAACCCTGTGCCGCACGAATGGGCATCTGTATGTCTGCTCTTTCTTTGGCTAATACCAACTATGTGATGCAGGTGGGCAGGATCCTGATGGGGACCACATGTTGTCTGAGAGTGGAAATGCGAGCCTTTTTCCCCAGCCTAGCCCCAGTCTGAATCCGGACCCACACCCCACCCTTCTCTGTGCTGGGAGAGAAGTGGCTTGGCTTGCCCAGGGCTTGGCAAGGAGAACATGAAAAAGCACGGAAGCGAACCAGCCCAGGTGAGCCAAACATAAGTAAGGCCTGATTTGGTTGATGTTTTATACCAGCAACACCTTCATCAAACAGAGGAGCGCAACTCTGATTCCACTTCCACACTGTCTGCAGAGTCTCTGGAAGAAGAGAATTATACTGCAGTGCCCAGAAAGGATGGTCTTACTGGAACGGACAGCTCTGCACGGTAAGAGAAACATTTTTAAAAATTGACTTTCCTGCCAGAATGAATTTTTAAGTGGGTCCTAGCCAAGGCATCTAATCCGTAATGTCCAGGAATCCCTCTTAGTTGCCTTATCTGCTAAAAATTTATCCTAGAGACATGATAACTGGGAAAGCTGACTCTGTTTGATGAAATAAATATTCACTGTCAAAATGATTTACTGACCTCGCTTTTTAAACATGATAGATGAGTCAGTTTGGTCATGGAGCAGAGGTCAAATCATTCCCGAGTCTCTTCAGATCTGATAAAGGAAATCTTCTGTCAAGAGGTCTGCCAAGAAGAGACATTTTTATGACTTCAGCTAAGCCCTTTTCTGACATTCTGTCTTCAGCGATGGCACACATAAGGGAGGGCTTTTGCAGCCAGGATTAGCACTTTTGTTTCCCTTTTCTCAGCTGAGGAACGGTTCCTTTATCAGCTTGGTAGCAAGCAAGGGGGCCGGCTGCAGCTTTCCCCATAACTTATTTCCACACGAGGCAGAACCTGTTGGATTTCGGCATGAGAGGGTACGGGCGCTTTGCCTGCTGCTCTCCAGCTGTAAGATCATCTTTCTTAGTTCCCATCCAGGGTTGTTCTCCAGCACTGCATCAGCAGATTTTGAACTGACAAAACATTCGTAGGGAATCTTTTGTCCATATCCTCTTTTTCACTGTCTGGGGCTGTTCCCAGGTTACTGTGCGGCTCAGGGGAATTCCTCACCCCCATCAATGACTATTATGTTATGTTATTTATTTATGATTGTGAGCCGCCCCGAGGCTTCGGCAAATGGGGTGGCATAGAAGTCCTCTAAATAAAATAAATGAATAAATAAATCATGTAAACTGGAAGTGTGTATATATCTGATATTATGTGCATAATAGCTTCTCCCAGTCTGACGGAAGTAGTTCATTGGAGGAATTCAGCCAAGGATTCTTCCCTGGCTTTAGTTCTATTGCCCTCGGACTAATTCCTTGTGGGCCTGTTATCAAATCAGAATTTGAAAGAATGGGCATGTCGTGAGCGGAGCCGGCAGACTAGATGGCCCAGGAGGCCCCTTCTGACTTACTCTGTTTCTGTTTCTGTGTTGTCACTTGGATACATTTTGTTTACATTGCTCAGAAGTTAGTTTCCACTGGAAGGCAACAGAAATTAATTTGCTTCCTATGTTAATGCAAACTTAGTGAATGTGTACATTCCAAACCCAAACATGTACTGGGACACAGTCTGCTGCAGAGATGCTATTCAAGGTGTTGCAGAACAGAACACTAAAACGTTTGCCACAGAACGCTAAAAACATGTACACCTGGATAAGTGCATACCAAAAATGCTGATTTTTAGATTAATTATAGCAAACAACTGGAAAGTGAAATTGTGTATAGTATAGAGAACTTTGGAATATAGCTATTAATGATAAATTAACTTGTGATATTAAAGTGAGAAAGGGGTATATAAAGAAGAATAATTTTGACAAGATGTAGGGTTTATTTGTTGACTACGTGTTATAAAAGAGGAAAGGACTTGAACATTCACAGGATTCATTGCGATCTTGGAAGGGGGATGAGTCTTCTTGAAAGAATTTTTGAAAGAGTTTTTAACATGTATCCAATGCACAATGCCTTTTATGATTTAATTCTATGTTTACAGTCTTTTGTTTTATTTGTAATTGCAAACTTTTCTTTTAAATATATTTTATATTGTAAAATTAATTTAACATTGTTTTAGAAATGCTGATTTTTAAATACATATGAATGTTCATGCAGACTAAAAACTGTTCAGTCCAATGTGCAATCAGGACGAAGCAAACTCAGCACTGGAAAAATGAGGCCCCAAGCAAACTTGATAGAATGATTCCTTGCTACTTCTGGGCAATCGAGCTGACATTTCTCCTGGCAGTCATTTCATTGCCCTAGTCCTCAGCCAGAGTGGACTGTACCAACTCAGGCAGAGCTTCATATCCTCTGTACGAACAAATGTGACACACATGGAAAATATGTGGGTCGGTTTTGCAGCCTTGCTAGTTTTCTGTGCGCAGGAAGTTCTTTGTGTTTGGTGTCCAGTCATGTGAGCCACACCCTCCGTCGCCGTCTGAAGTGATGGAACAGGGGAACCAGCTGCCTAGGGAGGTGGTGGGCTCTCCCACACTATTTTATTTATTTATTTAGAATATTTATTTATTCATTTAGAATATTTTTTATCCCATCCTATACAATCCAATTGTCTCAGGAGGGCTTACAATGTGATATAAATAAGCAATAAGTACAAATAATCAATGACTATAATAACAAGATAAATGCAACTGAGGATATTAATGTTAATAAAACCAATTTAAAATTATTTAAGCTTTAAAATGTTGGGCAAATAAAAAGGTTTTTACCTGGTGCCGAAAAGCATATAAAGTCGGCACCAGGTGAACCACTCTGGGGAGCACATTCCACACTGGAGACGTTCAAGAAGAAACTGGGCAGCCACCTGAGTGGGGTGGTGTCACGTGGTGTCCTGCAACAGCAGGGGGTGGGCTGGATGGCCTTCCTGGCCCCTTCCAGCTCTCCTATTCTGTGATGCTGTGATACAGGCCAGGCTCAGGTCTGTCCTCAAAATGAGGCATGGGCTGTGGGGCCCGGTCCAGCTTCCACATGGCGGGGTGGCGAGAGTGCTGGGCTGGGGGCCCGGCAGAGCCGCTCGGCGAGGAAGTTCACTGGGTGACCTTGGCCCACTCGCGCACCGCCACCCCACCCCCCCACAGGCCTGTTGTTGGAAAGATAAAGCAGAGCCGTGGGTTCCTTGCAAGAGACAGAAAGGGGGGATTCAAATGCAGCGTTGTCGTCACGGGAACCCGCAGCGCCTCACTCCAGTGCTGGGCAAGTCACAGCAGGCGCTGGCGTTGGGCAAGTTAAACGCAGGGGGCCCAGCGGAGGCACTGACCACCCCCCCCGTCTTTCCAGGACAGTGTCTAAGATGGGACACACCCTCGTGGCCTCCGCAGCCACTTCATCTCCAGGCACCGTTTCCCACGGGAGGTAAGAGCCGTCCCTCCGCGGCAGCCCCCCGGCTGGAAATCCGTTTCCCACTTAGCAGGGGGTTTTCTCTCCACCTCACTCCCCGCATCCCCACGTTCATCCGCCTCTGCAGGATTGCATGGCACAGCAGGACAGACAGGCGCTGCGGCAGTCGCATGTGCCCCTGAGCCCGTGGGATCGGCGGGTCCGCTTGTAGGAAACGATCACGGCGCGGGCACAGGGGGCTGATGCTTCGCGGGGCCACCCCTTCCTCTCTCTCCTGCAACGCGATGCCTGAGCTGTTTCCTTCGCTCCGGGGGAGGCTGTGGCAGCACCACCCCCCCATGAGCCAGATCAGCTCAAGACCAATTTACAAGAGGGGACCTGGAGAACTCCCCAAAATGGGTCCGTGGGGCAAGTGCGCTTTCCTTCCCACACCGAAGCACACCTGGCTTTGCAGTGCACCATGGCGAGGCTCCCCCAGAGCGCCGTGTCCAAATGCCTTCCCGGATTTCCGTTCCCTCTCTGCCCCTTTGCTGAAATGCTTTGGGAGCAGCGGGAGCAGCTCTGCAGCCTGCCAGTGTGGGGGCGCGCCGGTCTCGATCGTGGTCCGGGACAGCGCCCTGCAGCCTTGCTCCGCTTTGGCTTCGCGTGACGTGTGATGAGCGCAGGGCCTGGCTTCACGGGCTTCACTGGAGCATGATTTTAGGTAGCCCTCACAGGGAGTGCACCGGGGTTGTTCGGAGGAGCCACCGGTGGGGGGCATGGGGCCCTCTGGTGGGGTCCAGTTCTCTCTGCCCCAGCTTGGTCGGCTGAGCTGCACGCTGGACTAGCCTGGCCCTCGGTCTGATCCCGCAGGGCTGCTCTCGTGCATGGCCAACCCAGGTCCTCTTTTTCCACTCAGCGCTGGCAGAACCAACCTCTCCTCTCCTTGTTCTTGTCCTGTTCAGGACCGACAAGCCTGATGACCGGGACACGGAACTGCTTTTGATCCAGATCACAGAGTGCAAGACTCTTTGCCAGGCAGCCGAGGCAGAGCGGGACGGGCTGCGCGAGCTGGTCAACACCCTGCAGAAAAGGTGGGAGGCAGGACCCAGCCATGCTTTGAAGCAGGCCTTTCGCTCCTTCGACATCCGGGGAGCGGCTGGGCCAGGGAGCCGTGGCAGAGCGCCCGTGTGGCGTGCCAGCGCAGTGGGCCTGCGAACGGTCGCAGGTCCTCAGCTGAGCCAACCGTTTGCTTGGGACTGGAGGTGTCTGTGTGTCGTGACAACACAGGAAGGAGTGCGAAAGGCATTCGGGGAGGATCCGCGTTTGTGTGTGCATCATGATAATGCAAGCGTCGCTGCTGGGGGATGCTTAAGGGAAGGATGTGCCAGAGCTGAAAGCGAACACCGCATGAAGCCCCTCTCTTTCGAACGCCAGGTTGGATGACAGCACCATCAAGGTTTGGGAAGCAGAGAAGAAGTTCCAAGAGCAGCAGCACCGGTGTGCCGTTCTGGAGCAGCACTTTGAAAAAATGAAGTCGGACGCGGGGAAGAACAGTGGCACACAAAGGTCCCGCTCAAAGGGCGGTGCAGGTAACATGGGCTAAAGCGTCAGGAGAGCTCTCCCCCCGCTGGCCCGGCTGGGGGCGTTTCTGCTGAACGTCCGCAGACGGAGTGAGACGCTGAGCCCGTAACAGCGTAAGGGACGCTCTCCTGAGCGCGACGGTGGCTTCCTGACTTCTCGCTGGGCAGACGTCCAAGCCGCAGGGCCCAGCTTTGCCGGCACGCACATTGCGACGGCTCCACGCACCCCTCCTGGCCCTCGTTTCCCTTCCCACGTGGCCCTGCTTCTCAAGAGAGGGGCTCCGCATGAGGGGTGGGAGCCTGGGGCTGGACGCCCCCCACCAGCAGGGCTGAGCCGATGGCTTGGTTTCCGAGGGAGTGCCCACCTCTTGCTGCAGCGTGGCTGAACACCTTGCCCTCCCGTATTCCTCCTTCCACGGCCTGAGCTGGTTCAACTGGGCCAGAGAGCAGCTGACGCACTCTCCTCTCCAGGCCTCCTGGGCCGCTCCTCTTTTCTCCCCGCTCGTCCCCATAAACCAGCCGTATTCGGCGCCTACACAGCCTCGAGCTCACGATGAGCGAAATGCGGGGCGTGTGTTTCCTGCCAGATGGGTTTTTATTGATTTCTCCGTTGGCTTGTTTGTCTATAAGGCGGGGACTGTGAGCACTCAGACCCGCGTGGGGTTGGAGTGGGGAAGCCGCCTCTGCCGGGCTCCCTTCTAACGGCCGGCCCGCATCCACAGCTCAGCCGCACGGCAGCACCCGGCTCAGCTGGACTGCAGGCAACAGGAAGGATCTCTCACCGGCGCAGCTCTCGGAGGTGCCCCTGGAGGCCCAGGTAGAAGAACTGTCCACAAGGTAAGGCCTCGTCCCGCTCATCGGGCCTTGTCCATTGAACGTCCATTCCGTTTCTCATCCTCTGAGCTTTGGAGGAAGTCCTTAAAGGCACCAGGAAATTTCTGCTCAAAGCTTTAACGCAGCCTTCTGCAGCCTGGGGCCTTCCGTGGGTTGGGTTACTACTCCTACCATAGCTGGGGTGTGCTGGGAGTTGTAGTTCTGCTCGTCAGGGCACCAGCAGGAGGGAGAAGGCTGCCTCACCACCTGAACCTCTCAGGGACTGTGTGGATGCGCATCTGCGCGGGCTGGGTGGGTGGCTGAATGGAGAACAGGTGCCAGATGGCACGGTCTGCGCCGTCATCCTGGTGATCCCGCAGCCCGCGGGTCATCCTGCCCACAGAGCCCCGTGCGTCGACACAGGGGGAAGCCTCCCTTGCGCTGCGCGCCTTCCGTGTGCTTTAGCGGTCGGTCTGTCCAGCAAGGCGTGGGAAGACCCGGCTGGGACCTCTACCCGGTGTAATGCCCACAGGCTGGGGCTGGTCGCCCTGCCCCACGCCTCTTTGCCGGCCTGTCGCTGCTGCTAAGAGAGATCGGGAGTGTGGCGGAACGAGGCACGCTTACTGGAGGAGAGGCAGGATGCAAATCCAGTGCTTTCAGGGAGAACCCATGTGCTGTTCCCTGCCCTGAGCTGGGGCGCTGTGTGGGTGGCGCCTCAGCGCTGCTCTCGCCACCCTCGGCAGCCTCCGTCGTGCTGCAGGGCTCCCGTGGCGCCCGAAGGGACTTGCGGGGCAGCCCTCGAGAGCGGGCCTGGGCAGGAGGCATCAGCAGGACGAGCAGCTACCCAGACCTGGAAGGAATGTGGGGAGGGGGCGCTCTGGCCCGGTCTGCGTCACCCCAAGAACTCAGTGAGCTGGGGCCATGGTTTTCGTAAACGGAGGCTTTCTTGAAAAGACAAACGGTTTCTCCAAAAAGCGAGTACCTCAAACAGTCTAGCAAGCAAGGGCCTTACAGTGCTCAGCACGAGCCTGCCCGCCAAGAGGCGTCGCCGGTCAGCTGCAAGGCAAAGCCCCCGAGGGAAAACGACTGCTTTCTAGACTACTCATGAGGAAGGGGTGGCTGTCGCGCAGGGGCGGGGCCCAGGTGGTGCGCAGCTGCATGTTCGCTGCACCAGCAGGCCCGGAGGAGTGCTCCGTGGAGCTTCCCCTCCTTATACTCAGCTGGACGGGCAGTTTCCCATCCCGGTTAGCTGGCCACTAGCCCCGACACCTGCCCCTTTCCATCAGTGCCGGTCAGGAATCTCGTAACATACCGTGGCATAAGCCAATTGGCTAAGCACAGGACAAAGCATTAGCTCATTAAGCTAATCATAACAGCAAGCAGGCGCTCGTTAGCTGGCCTGAGAAGGTGGGATCCCAGGCCGGGCGCAGGTACGTTTAGTCCTTTGGCCTTCTCTCCTCTGAGAAACAGCACCTAGCGAGCATTTCTGCTTAGGGGCAGCATCAAGGCCTGATACTTCCTGAGACTCGAGACCCAGGCCCCAATTCTTACGGCTCAGGCCCAGCTGAGCTGCCGTGGGGGAAAGCGCTTGCCTGCGTGCTCTGCTTGTGGGAAATTTGGAGGGCTCTGGTGGGTCACAGTGGGAAATAAAAGGTTGGGCAGATCGAGTCTGTCTGCTTGCTCTGACCCAGCAGGGTTAAGTTCTGCCGGAGCTGAATCCTCCGCACCAGGGCACTGGGTTAGTGGCATGTCAGCCAGAGGAATCTCTGCAGATCCAGACCTTTCTCTTTGCCAGTAGTGCCAGATGCTCAAATCCATCTCCATTTGTTTTGGAGATGTTGGTAGGCAATTTTTTGCCCTTCACTAGGTGCATCTCCACCCACTTCCAAAATATCCAGGCTGGAAACATCTCACATGAACTCTGGTATTTTCAGAACTCTGTAAGCCACACCGCTTCAGAGGAATACGTACCATTTTGCATATTTATACAATTGAGTATATTTTGTTTTTCCATTAAAATGGTTAGTGGAGCCTGTGTCCTGCTCTCAGCTTGTATCAGCTTTAACCCCTGAGGGTTGGATGATTGCTTGTGTTTGTGTAGGCTTGAAATCCAGATGGAGGAGAACGAAGGCTTGAAGAACGCTTTGCAGGAGGCCATGAAGAGCAAAGAGGAAGACTTCCGGGCGTACCAGGAGACGGTGGACCAGGTGAAGCAGATCTTCCTAAAAGCTCTGAGACAGCAGAAGCAGGACAAGAACTAAGTCAGGGCCATCCAGAGTGCCCTGTGGAGGGAGGGGTTTATCAGCGGGTCCCAGTGGGCCTGGGGTCTCACTGTGACACATGCCGGGTTTGCCAGCCAAACTGTATTTATTCAAACGCTCGCAGAAGGGAGTGAGAAACAGAACTGCTCTTGAAGATGGTGTTGCTGTGCGAAACTTGCCCGCCAGAGAAACACAAGCAGTCAGCGCCTCACATCCGTGATGGTGTACGTGTGACTGTGTTTGGTGGAACTCTGGGCTTGCACTCGTTTTCGAACAAAATATTTGCCTGCGTAGAAGGAGCTGGGCCAACTTTCCACACCTGCCATGCTGCTATTTTATATTTGTAAATACAAGACATTTTGGGTCACTTTCTGCAGAACCACGACAAGATAAAGGATAGCTTATTTTCTGAAGTAGCACAGCATTCTGGTATTTCTGCTCCGCTAAGTTAGAGAGGAGGCAAGGAAGCCCTGAGCTTCACAGTGCTTCAGTCTGGTGCTGCCTCTGACTAGAGACATCTGAGATAACGTCACACGTGCAGCCCCCCCACCCCCCGCAAACTGCTGTCCTGCCACATTAGCTGCTATTCTTTAAAATTGGACTTGACCCTCACTCTGCACATGCTCTCAGTGGGCTTTTCTTGGTCTCGTCTTTTCCTTATAAAATTTCTGCCCCGGCATCTTTATTCTCACCTTGAAGAGAGTACAGATGTCCCAGTGCAGCCATTCACAAGTGTCCTTTCGATGCCTTGGACTACACCCTCCAGCATCCCCAGGCCGTATGCAAAGTGTCTGAACATATGAAGCATCTTCTTCACGCTACTGGACAAGTTTTCTCTTCCCTTCCCACCGGTGCAAAGGAAAATGTGGCCACTTCCACCTGTGTTAACACAACTGTGCTAGCTCATAACCGTGAGTCAGCACCACTCCTTGGGATCAAATTGCACCCGTTCGTTTCAGCACCGGAACTTGACAAGGCAGCCTAGTTCCCAGCTTCTCCTTGATCCCAACCATTTGCACCAGCCATTTCCAAAAGGAACACGGGAAGCCGGCACCCGTGGCCACTGGGCCATACGGGGCTACTTTACCGCCTTTCCAAATCCCGGCCTTGCCCTGAGCCACCCCAGAAGGCAGCCTCCCTTTAACCTTGTCTCCACTCAAGGAGACAGAGATCCGCCTGGAGCCCTTCCTGCTGGTGGGAAACCGCCATTTCCCACCCCTAGTGGCAAGGACTCTCATCTGTGGCTGTCCTCATTCTCGGGAACCGGCAACGACAACTGTCATTGACAAACGAGGTGACGGGAAGACTCCACCTTCCTCCTCCGCAGCTGCAAAACTCCACGACATCCTGTAGCAGAATTCGGGCGGCGCATTCTGCACCTTGTGTTTCTGCGCCAACAGAGGAGAGCCAAATGGAAAACTGCAGCAAGGGTCGTCGGACTCTAAATTAAGCTACCAGAAGGCCAGGAGGCAGATAGTGTTTCTCTCGCCTTCCCCTCTTGCTATGACAGCACGGGGCACCTTCCTCATGGATCCCACATCTCTCCCAAGCATCTGCTTAGGTGAAATCCACTCCAGCATTTGGCTGATGGAAATAAACAGTGCTTAATGACCCGGGAACAAGGCTTCCAAGCTTGACGTGTCTTCCAGCTGCACCCACTAAAGAGATGACAGCGCATTAGCAGCCACAGTTCCTGTGTTTGCTGCTGAGGCTGCCATGGCACAGCAGTGGACTTTCTCCTCCTTGTTCATGCGTTGGATGTGGTTTCTTGCCACGGTGAGATTCTGGGCTCTCCATTTCACAGGTAAAAATGGATTTCCTGGTTTGTATTCCAATTCTCCCACAGATTCTCCCAAAGAACACGCTTCCAGTCCTCTTTATACTTACATCAGTGACACTTTGCTTTCTTTTTTAAAATTATACCCTGCTCTTTCAGCTTCTGTGACCTGAAATAAAGCATTTAAAATAAAGACCAGCAGAGGGAAGCAAGGGGGGAAAGCTTGCTAGAAGAGGAGCATAAAGAAAGGGCTAGAACAGACAGCCACCAAAGGCCTTAGGCCTGCTGAAACACGAGGTGGTCCCCACGCTGTTAGGGGTGACAGGAAAACAATTTCGTTGTGAGGTGTTGTGGTAGTCCTACAGAATTAAGGAAGTGGTTGAGTAACGCGTTGCCGTGTGTCCAGCAGGCACGTCGGCACGTGCAGGGCTGAAAGGGCAGCCTGAGTTCTCCATAGGGCTGTAAGGATCATGCGCGTGCATTGCGGTGTGGTTGCGCAGCCCTGCGCAGCCCCCCCCCCCCGCAAGCTGCTGTTCCTAAAGCCCACGAGGATCGGACCAGCCCAGCGTACACCTAACATCATGCTTTAAAAGGCGTCCCTGGAAAACCAGAGCAGTGGCAGAAGTTACTGGTGTCGGGAGACAGAAATTCTTCTTGGAACAAAGTTTGACAGGTGGCTGAAAACGAAACGTGCAGATTCTGGTCAATACAAAATCTTCCCCTGTATGGGCAGATCTCCGAGGTGCTGAGCTGCAAGATGATTGCGTGGCTGGCCTCCCTCGCTCCCGTCTCTCTCTCAGTTTCCCACCCATCAAAGACAGAGGGTCAGCCTGGGAGTTTGGGAGCCATGCTCGCTCCACACTGTCCATAGCACACAACATTTTTCTTCCACAAAAATGAGGCTCCTCCACATGTCTACAAAAATGCATTTAGTCACACACACAACCCTGCTAAACTTTGTGCCACATGAAAGCGTCTGAACGGGGTGAGGAGGCGTGGAAGGGCTGGTCTCGCAGGCGTCGTGTGACCCATCGAGCTGAAGCCAGGGGAGCGCATGAAAGTCACACATCGCAGCCTTCGGGGCGTTGTCAGAGGCTACCAGCTTATCAAGCGCTCGGACATTAGGGCTGGGTCACCAGCGGGGAACGTGTTCGAAGAGACGTCCAGATCAGAGAGCAATTGCTGTGAGATGCTCAGCTGACAGAGCTGATTCAAACCTCTGCTCAACCCCAAAACCCACTGACTCACGTTGGGCCAATCGCTGTTTTTCAGCCTAACCCACCTTGTGAGTTATAAAATAGGGGAGGAGCTGAGAACCATGAATTACCTGAATGTTACTGCTTTGCAGAAAGGATGGAAAAAAATGCAATCGGCAAAGGAAACTCAACTTGCAAAGAGACTTCCATCCTTTGTGTGTCTCTTTCTTGAAGATAATCTGCCTTTACCCCCAAGAGCCCAAGGCAGGGTATATGCGCTTCCTCCGCTCCATTTTTATTTTACAACAACCCTGTGAGGTAGGTTAGAAAAAGTCTGCGACCAGCCCCAAGTGAGCTTTGTGAACACGTTGGATTCGAACTTGGCTCTGCCCAGTCCTATACAAACACCGACACCACATTGGCTCTAGCTAAATTTATAGGAGCAAGAAAGGAAGAATGGATGGATGAATGAATGAGTGAACGAACCAAGATGGAAGTGTGTGTCCGGATGCCTTAAGACATTTGCAACACTGCAAAAGGGCGATTTCCTCTTTTTCAAGGTTCTGCTTTTTCTGGAGCTGAGCCCAAATTGCAATAAGACGGGGGATGGGGGCTAGACTCGGATTTAGCTATGCTCTGCCTGGGCTATTTAAACCAACGAGACTTGAGTTAGTCATGAGCAGTTTAAATCCCATTAAATGTTGTGAGTCTGCTCTAAATATGGCTAAATCTACCAGGGCCGTATGGAATGCAAGCGGGACACATGGGAAAAACGACGGCCCGAAGACTTGGATGCAGTGACAGCTGCGTATCCAGCATGAAGCCGTATCTATTTTCATCGTTCGAAAGACCAGAAGGCAGGAGGGCACGGGTGGAGCTGCAGCGGGGCAGAGGCGGCTTCCCAGCCCAGGGCCGGGCCTGTGCACACTCGTCCACCCACCCCTGAGCCTTTGAAACCGGACGCCAGCTCGGCCTGTGCTCTTTGAAGGAAAAAATGCAACACGGGGGGCGGAGGTCGGCTGCAGATGCTGCCTGGGCACCTATTTATACCCTCTCTGGGCAAGAATGGCCCAGGGCAAGAGGGGAGGGGAGGCACAGAGGGCCGGAAGCTAGAGGACAAGCGGGGGTGATCTGGCAGCACGTGTGGCCACATTCCTCCCTTTTGGGACCCCCCTCCCCCAACACACAGCTCCATTTTGTGCGTTTGTGCAAAGCGTCAGGCATGTCAAGCCGGGAAGGTCACGCTGACCTACCCTCTGGCGTTCCAGGGACCAGCCTCTGTTCTTTCCACAGTGTCCGATCTCCACAAAAGATGGGCTTCTGCAGAGCATGGTCCAAACGATGATGTTTAAGGCACACAAGGACTTGATGTGCGTGCTTTCTTCCTCCTCCTCTAGCTATGGAGGGGAATGGGCATGTTTGGGACGGCAAGGTGCGAGGACGCAGGATTAATTCTTTCCTCCTGCTTTGCAGTCCCTTGAACATCACTTTCCCAGGCCACAAAGAGGGAAACTTCTGTTGGGGCTTGCGGAAGTTTTCTGAGGGCCAACAGCCATTTGGAGGACGCACAGCACTTGGGAGAGAGACCCTCTTCGCCTAAGCCATGGTCCTGATCCGGCGTCTCCTTCCAGGGCCTACTTCAAAACAAAAAGCGTGCACATTAAATGCTTGCCTGCACAGAACCTTTGTGGGTTGCTCCTCAGGAAAACCATAAATTGGGTAAGGAGGCAAGGTCTTCTGAGGTGCAGAACCTGTGCCCGAGGGGATGAAGCAAGAGGGTGAAAGGCTGGTACCTGTTTGGCGAGGGCTGCCAAGCTCTTTGGAAAGGACGGCCCTCGGTGCAGGGCTGCAACAGCCAGGCCGCATTCTGTGGGGCTTTTTGGGGGGTTCTCCCTGTTCTACCTCCAGAAGCTGGCTGTACCCCAACACTGGGGAGAGCAACATCTTCTACCTCCCCAGAAGGCAACAGGCAAGTCTAGGGGTGCAGCAGCCCATTGTCCCCTCATGGAGGGGCGCAACCAGGGGGCTGCAGCCACTGCCCCCTTCTGGTCGCTCGGCTTCTGGCTCTCCCAACAACCACCTCGTTCTGTCTAAGGCAAGAGGCCCTCGTGCATAACCTTCCAGGCCTCTTAAGTTACAGCACAGAAATCCAGCTCCACAGGAGAGATATCCTGGATGAACTTTGCTCCAATGGAGCCATGATCTCCTGAGAATCTCTGTCCAGCGAGACAGGGATCCCACTTCTGCAACCACCGTAAGAATGCTTTCCATTGAGACAAAAGGATCCAGTTTGCCTTCGGTTTCTAGGGCAGTCCTTGTCACAGCCTGCTGTATCGCTTGATCGTCCCTCGCTGTTGTATCATCTTCCGGCTGTCTCACAAAGCGCTCCTTTGTGCTACTTGGCAGCTGGAGAACAAGGCTGGTTGGGTTACAAGTCCTCCATCCCGTTTCTCTCGCCTTTTCCAGCGCCCTGCTTAAATTTACCCACCATTCTGCTTGCAGCCTGCTACGATGCCTACCGTCAGAGACAAGCTGGTCTCAAATCCTCGGAGGAAGGAGCCTTCCAAATATTTGGAGGAAAGGGTTAACCTCCTCCAGGCCTGGCAAGAGATCCACCAGGGTCACATCCAATGTATGTGGACCTGCTAGAAACCACAAGGCTGGTCAAAACCTGACAAAACAGGGAAAACACCTGAATTTAATTTGCTGCAAGACAAGATCCGGGAGGAAAGCTTTGGAAGCAACGTCAGGGTGGCTACAGCAGAGGCAGAGGGGAGCAAAGGTGGACGGAGCCGTGCAAGGCAAAAGCTGAGAGCTGGAGGTTGAAGGTAGGTTTGAAGATGCTGAGAACTTCAAACATCCTGCAGGACCCACTAAGCTAAATGCAACACACTCAGCCTTCGCATTCTTGCACTAGTTTTTGTCCCTGGGGTCCCCATGGGGTGAGCCGGGGGTGGTTCATGGGCATGTGTGCATGCCTATGTACACACACACACACACGCACACACAAACACACGATCCTGGGTCTCTCTTGCTAATGCTCCTAGATCCAAGACTAACGGCAGGTCATGTATGGAGACATCCATGAAAGATGTTCTCCTCGAGGCACCTCAGGGACAAACCCCTGGTTCGTCAGGGAAGGAGCTTAATTCCAGGAAATGCACAGTCAGTTGTGCCCAGTTCTGAGTAAGCACTTTTCTGTCCGCGAGGACGGGACAGAAAGTTGATCGGGTAGGAAAGAGGTTCTTTCTGCTCATGTCCCTGCAGAAACTTACTTCCCAGGCTTATGAAGACACAGACCTGGGCTTAAGAAGAAGCAGCAAACATCTTACCCTAACCTGGGGTGGTTCATCAGTCTATGTACCCTGCTTGGATTTGCAGACAATTTGGTTTTCTCTTGGGTCCATTTGGTTTTCTGGTTGACCAGCTATGTAGAAGCTACATGTGTGAACTCTTTCCACTGAAGGTTTTTAATCTCCAAGGACAAACTGTTAGTTATCCTAAAATAGTCATCACTGAACAAAGGAACTGAATAAGGAGAATCTAACAGGAAACTCCTGTACAGACAATTATTTTAACAAAGTTTAATTCCGCTACTGGTAGGCTGGACCAAACGCAGGTGTGATCCCAGGTGCTTTGATGCTTCTCTTATCAAAAATACTACTTTGTGAATGGTCACTGTACTATTTTATGAAGGTTTGGAGAACCAGCCTACAAACTCATCATCACGTGGGGATCAGAAAATTTGCATTCTGGGGTCGGGAACAGTGCTCGGAGCTGGGAATCCGTTTGTTCCTGCTTTCCTCCCACTGCAAGCACTGGATACTTCTCCTGGGTCAAGAAACTGACTTGGGATGGGGTTGGAGTGGGCCTTCTGGGGACAGGGAGGGAAGGAGCCAGGTTCACCTGGGTATGAACCCTGAAGGTGTTCCAGCCTCATTCCCTCCCCTGCCTCAGCTCAACCCCAGTGCACACAACTTCCCCACCAGAGAACCTGCCAGCTTAAGCAAATGCTTCACACATCTAGCTCATAGATTAAATGGAAGCATTTTACGTAATAGATTAGTTCAGAAGGAGCTGCAAGAGCCTTTGTTTTTTCAATTGTATTTGAGGTGACCTGGAAGTCGTGTCCAATGGTCCATTCACACAAACAGATGCTGTCTGGGTGTTATGGTCCTTGAGGGATAAACGTGCACTTGTGAACCAGCCATAAAAGGAGTCAAGTTCTGCACCCAGCAATGTTCAATTCTGCAGATCCATGGCTCAAACTTCAATATTTTGCCTGCTTTTCATCATGTATTCTCCCCATCTACCTACCACTGAAAAACCTTACTCTGTTCCATTTGCAACCTCTGAGATATTGCCATACACCGTTCAGATGCTGTCAAACATATCACAGCCATGAGAACTAGAAACTTGTGTCTTGTTCAGAACAGTTCGACTGAATTTCTCAGGACACTGAAATCTGCCCTTCTACCAGTTTCTGTGCATCTTGCACAGTTTCCCTCCTCCTCACAAAAGCCCTGCTGAAGGGTAGGAGGAAAGAAACATGTGCAAAGCGCCCATTAGAATGTCTCTTCCCAAAGGCAAAAAAGCAACAGGGGCTTAGAGGGGCTCTCTTTGATGAGCAGACACAATTAGAGCAGGTGCAGGAAACATTAAAAACCACAGGCTCTTACTGGAGTGACTACCAATCCAGAGTTATTTTCATTCAGCGCCCCAGTTACGCAGCAATATGTTTTGCTGTATTGTTCCCTGAGTCCTATTGTTCCTTGAGTCCTATTGTTCCTTGAGTATTGATCATGGAGGAAGCACCTAATGGCACTGTTCGATTATTATTATTATTATTATTATTATTATTATTATTATTATTATTATTATTACATTTTTATACTGCCCATAGCCAAAGCTCTCTAGGCAGTTGACAGCAATAATCATAGAATCATACACTCAAGTCACCCATCCCACTTCTGCCCAGGCCTGACCCTGCTTAGCTTCCAAGATGAGGCAGGATCAGGCACTTCAGGCGACATGATTCTTGGTGAGTGACGGAAGATCTAGACGAAAGTGGCAAGACTGGAATTTGACTCCCTGAAGGCACTTAAACCTCAAATAAGTGGAGCTGCTGACAACTTCCTAGGAAGGAGAAATACCAAAGAAATAGGCTTTGTGTCTTTAGACAGAAAAAGGCCAAGAACTTCCAGCCAGCAGCCTCACTTGCACGCATGTGAGACCGAACACATGCAATGCGCTGCATGCACCAAGGTGGCCAGCCCCTTTCTCTGCTGAAACTGGCGCAGGATTGCACGCTAAGTGCAGAGCCAGCAGAAAGACAGTGTTCGGAAGCATCCGGTTTGCACCAGAAACTCCTTTGCACGACACTTTGTGAGCAAACGGAGACCATCGGCTTCTGCATTGTTGGAAATAATCCTGCACGGTTTCCCTTTAAGTGGGAACCTTTTGCATCGGAAGCCTTGCTCGAGCACTGCATTCGCTTCCTCCTCAGCCTCTGGTTGGCAGGACATGGGCACCATCCAGCCAAGAATCCTCGGCTCCCAAGAAACCGCCCACTTTGTTCGATTCTTTGCATGGGCTCCTCTCCGTCCCCGAGCCTCTCCTTTGCCGCACTGCGGAGCCCAAGACCAGCCTGGCTCCCTTCAGGGAACACAAAGCCATGAGTGCTGGAACTTGAGGTTCAACCTGCGAGAGCTAGAACGAGTGGCGAGCAAGTAGACAGAGGACTCGAGGGTAAGTTTTTACTCTTTCCCGGATCCAAAGCTGTCGTTCATTGAAAGTGTGAAGTGAGTCCATCTTTCCTCCTGGCTGAGGTTGCCCGCTGACATAACTCTCATCTGCCAGGTGTTCCTTGTAGCCATTTCTCTACCAGGGGTGGCTCTTGAGGCTAGTAGACCCCAGCAGAGGTGTTTGGAAGACCCCAGCAAGAGGGAGTAACCACTGCAATTTATTAGTATTACATCGCATGTTTAGCCCACCTTTTTTCTTGTGAGGAACCCAAGGTGGCTTCCGTAGCTCTGTTTTATCACAACAACAATCCTGTGAGGTAGATGAGGCTCAGAGGGAGTGACTGGCCCAAAGACACCCATTGAACTCCACGGCCAAGCAGGGACGAGAACCTGGCTCTCCTGGCTCCCCAGTCTGGCACTCTTACCACTAGGCTGCACTGCCTCTCTAAACCAGTAATTTACTAGCGCTTTAATGATGTCACATGGCCCATTTGGCAGGTCCACCTGAAAAGCAGCTTCGAGTCCCATTGCAAATCAAATCAACCCATTAGCAGCATATTTATTACATTGATGTCTATGGTCTCTGGCTGCCAAAGGTGGTGCTCAAAAGCAGCTAACAGCAAAATCCAGATGACAAACAAAACCTTCATTAAAACAATAGCGATGTACAAAAATGCATCTCTGCATGGTTTAGGGTTTAACAGTGGCCTTAAACAAGGGCTTCAGCCACCCCACCTCCACCACTCATAGCCCCGCTCCCAGAAAGTCACCTGGTGAATCTCTGCCAGCAACCTCATTCCACACCAGGAAAAGCCCCGCCTGAGTCTCTGGCCACTCTCAAAGGCTGAGAGCCAGGGTCACAACCCCAGTTTGGGATCAGTTGCGGGGTCCTAGGACGGGGCTTCCACAGATGGCCAAGCCACCTTTCCCCAGTCAACCATCATTTTCATTATGGCTGTGCACAGACACCTTGCCTTTTCCCTCTTGAGAGGTGGCTTCCATAGCTATGTTTTATCCTTGCAACAACAGCCCTGTGAGGTAGGTTAGGCTGACAGGGAGAGACTGGCCCAAAGTCATCCAGGGAGGTTCACGTCTGCATGGGGACTGGAACCTGGATCTCCTGGGTCCCCTTTCTCTACCAAGACTTAGCAACTGGCAGCAGAACTTTATGCTAAAATAGGCAGGTCTTCCTGGTGTTTTGGGCCCACCCCTTTGCCTTCAGTGCTACCCCTCCTGCCTTCGGCTTCACCACAGGGCGAGGCATCCAAGAGCTTCTCTCACACGGAATTTGGCCCCCAGCATGAAGGAGTTCAACACCCCTGCTTGGGGTTGCTGGTTCTCATGGGCTTGGCCCTCCGAAGGGATGGAGCTTGGAGGCTCAGAGCCAGTGCATGACAGAGCAGGGATGGACCTCGGTGAGAGATGCTCTGTGGGTAATGAAGGTGGCACCAAGAGTATGGGAAAGGGGCAGTGGATATAGGGCAGCCCTACAAGGTTTTATCAAGCCCCCTTAATCCCAGCTCCTCCCTGTGAAATATCCCGTGGCAACCCACAGAAGGAAGCCAACAGCCCAGTCTGAACCCGAGGGCACTCACAAGCCATGGCTTGTTAACCACAGCAGCCTGTGACGAGAACCCAAGGCTTATTTTGGAACGTGAACTGTGGGCTACTTGTGGCTAACAACCCACGGTCTGTTAGCACAGCTGGGTTCAGATGATGTTCAAGGTCAATCGCGGGCATCCCTGCTCAGCCCTGGAGAGTGGGTGACCCGGCCTTGATTTACGGCTTCCAAGCCACCCTCCAGAAATCCACTGTGGCTGCTGAATGCTGCTGGCCCAGGAGCCGGGCGCTAAGCAGGTCGCAGCACCAGCACGAGGGAATTGATACCCAGGCGGTGCACCGTCAGCTTGCTGCCGTGGGGCAGCTAATTCCCCTGTCACTCTGTCCTCCCTGCCTTTGCCCTGAATTAACTCCCGCTTCTGCCGCCGCTTCTTCTGCTCTGGTCCCTCTTCAGCCCTGGCTTTGACAGGCAGCTCCTGGGCCGGCCCCCCTCCCTGCGCTTCTGCTCCAAAATAAAATTGTCTGCAGTCGTCCACCTTCCAGTCCTGGCTAAACTCACGCCGGGGCCCCACCGAGGAGGGGACACCGTGGCCGGGCCTTTCCCAGCCCCACTGGGCCAGATGCTGTGCCAGGAGGAGCAGTGACCTTTTTCCTTCTCTTTCAAGTCCAGATAAACTTGGAACTCTCCACGGGAGGCACGCGGAGGCCTTTCCACTGGACCTTGGGCTCCCCCTGTCCCCCCCCTCCAGGCCGTGTTGTGCCGGTGGAGCTGCGCCTGCCAACCGTTTCTCAAGGTCAGTGAGCAAGACTTGCCCAGGAAAGGGATGATAAGCTGCACCGGCATAAGATGCATGCAGCCGGGGATCGCTGCCCCCCACCTCTCTCCCCCCAGCAGCCTTCTTCAACCCTCAGCCTTCCGATGTGTTGGGCTGGGGATGATGGGACTTGTCGCCCAGCTCACCGGGAAGGGCCCGGATTGGAGGAAGCGACTTCAGAGCCGCCACTTCGGTGTGGGATGCGCCACTGGGGCGGCCGGCAGCGGAAGGGTTAACCCGCTCCTGCACTCACCTGGCACGGAACAAGGACTTTCTGGTGGGGGGGCCGCGGCGGGGCGGCGAGGCGGGGGGGGGCAGCCTGAGGCGTCCAGGCGCACTGCAGACTTTACGCGCGGGAGCGCAACTCCAGCGCACCGGGCGCAGGTGCGCCTGCAGCGAGAGGGGGGACAGGTGGAGGCGGCGCGCCTGGACGGGCCGCTCGCTTTGGCCAGGTTCGCGGCACCCTCTCCTGCGGGCCGGGCCGGGCCGGGGGGAACGGGATCTCCCGGCCGGGCTATCGCATTGCGCCGCAGCCAGGAGAATTAGCGAGCTAAAACGGGAAAGGACGGGCGCGTCGCGGTGGAGCCCGCTTCCCCCGGCTCGGCTCCTCCCCTGCTGCCTCGCACCAGCTTCAGCGGCCTCGGCGGCCGCGTCCTGTTTCGGCGCTTTGCCCCATTAACCGCCTGCCTGCCTGCCTGCCTGCCCGCCTCCCGCAGGCTGCGCTGAAGCCACCTGGAGACCATCCGATCCGTGCAGGATGGAACGAAGTTGCCCTGACCGCCGCAACTCCTCCAGGCCGCTTTTTACCAGGCGGGAGCGAACCGCAGAGGCCACGGCACCGTGTGCCTCTGGCACCCCCAGCGCGCTTCGTTCCCCCCCCCCCCCCCCAGCCCAGCCGTGCTTGCCCTGCAGAGGTGCCAGGGCCGCACAAGCTGGGTTGCTCGTCCCGGCTGAGGCGGCCAGGGCAGCGCCCAAAGTAGGCATCGTGGGGCAGAAGCCGAGAGCCCTTGCCCGGCAGGGGCTGACTGTGCAAAGGGCCCCTGGGCTGCCATTCCGCCTGGGCTTCACATTCACGGATGCCCTCCGTGCGCTAAAGTAGGTCAAGAATCGCGACCATTCAGCTGTGCCTAACAGAAAAGGTGACGCTGTAGGAAAGGCAACTGCTTTTACAACCACTGGTGAATTTGTGCAGCAAGAAGCTGGAAAAGTGCTTGTTAAAGACAGACAGACCGACCGACTGACCGACCGACAAGGAGCATGGTTTGCCATTTATGGCACTGTACCCTGTTTGTGCTGAAAGTGTTTGTTGGTTACACGTACAGTTTGAAAATATAAGCACTTTTTGTAGCCTTCTTCTGGCATTTCTTCGTTTTTTTAAAATATGCCAGGCAGGGAAGGTGGCCCAGCGTCTCACAGTGAGGGAGGGGCCATTTAGGGTCTCTTCCCCGAGGGCCTTCAGAAACCTGGAGGTGCTGCCAATTGGATCTCAATCCAGGCACGACACACAGCATCGCTCAACAGCAGAGTCCATTTCGGTGGGAGACCTGAGTTTCTGCTTGGTGCTGCCCCCCTACAATCTCGGAGGTGGGGGAGTAGATTTTTCAGTGCTATGTAGCGGTGAAAGGAGCAGGGGAGAAGCTGGCAGCCTTGGAAAACGACCTCTTAGAGGGCTGTAGATTGAGGCTTCTTGACTGTACGAGAACATGAGTGTTGAAGAACAGGGGTGACTCTAAGCACATTCAAGGCCTGGGGGGCTTTTTCCTGGTACTAGAACTGTGCGGAACTCACTGTCCTTTTATACAAAGCCCACTCCTGCTTACACCAAACGTTCTCTGTTTCGGCAGCCCTGATTTATAGAAAAGATGATCTATTATTGCTACTATTAAATGTTTGGGAGTTGGAAACTTGTGCCGGTCAGCTGCAAATGTGTCCCACTCTTGTTCTGCACACACCTTAAAGGTGTAAGAATTGCTGGGCCTTCTTTTGTCCCTGGCCACATCAAAACAGGGCATCAGTTCTGGATTTCCATCACCATCACCCAACAACAAATTATGGGGGTGGAACGGATGGCCTCTGAGGACCTCTCTGATTGCATCTTCCTTCCCTTGCTCTCTCTGCATTTCCCCCAAGAACTCTGTGGACCAGTGAGTAGGGCAGGCAGGCAAGATGTTCAAGAGGAGAGACCTCCCCACCAGTCTTTCCCTGCCCAGGAACTGCAGCGTTCCTGGCAAGCATCCAAACCAACAGTCTAATGCTATCGGGCTGCAGAATTAAGGCTGGTGAGAAGCGGATTCCCCATTATTCCGGTGTTGTTCATGCAGACCCTCAAAAGCCTCCCGCCACCAGTGCCCTTGAGGCTTGCGGAACTGCAACCCCAACCATCCCCGGGCAGCAGAGTCAGGGGACCACGGTTGCTGAGGTCCAACGTGTCCCAGGGGCACCAGGCTAGGGAAGCTGGCTCGCAGATCTGCTCCTGGGCCTGGGTGGCTCAGTCTCACCGCTGCCCAGGAACGCTTTTGCTCAGCTGTGGCTGGTGCAGCAACCTGGCCAGTCCCAAGAGGCGTTTGAGGGGGCCATTGGGACGCATGCCTGCAACCCCACTCTTTCTGGGGCAACCCTCCAGGGCTGTGTGGAAACTTCCCCTGACTGTTTCTGGACAGAATCCAAAGCATTGGTTATGGCCTACAATGCCAATTTAACCTGAAGGTCTTCTGCCATACACATCTGCCCAGATGTTGCTCTTCCTCGGAGAAGCCCTTCTCCCTGTTGCACCAATGTCTGATGTGCCTTTGGTGGGACCCTGAGGCAGGGCCTTCTCAGTGGTGGCACCTGCACTTTGGAACTTGCCAAACAGAGACTTGATCAGGCCCCAGATTAACGGAGCACAAAACGCACTTAGTGTAGACAGGTATTTGGCCTGCTGAGCTCCCTTGTGCTTCTCTGCTATTCTGTGTTTTGGCCGGTATTTCAACTTAATCATGACGTAATTGGCTGCTATTTTCATAGGCCCTTATTTGCATTTCAGATGATGTTATACAGTTCACTGCATTACTCTTTCACTGTTGATTTTGCTACTTTTGCCCCCCTTGGGTGTATTTTTATGGGAAGAGAGGGTACAAATCTAATGAATCAATATTCAGACCCAGTTCCTTGAAAGACCAGTAAAAGCGCAATCTGATGCACATTTTGGGAGAAAAAGGTCCTACAATTCCCAGCATTTTCCAGCCAGCATGTCCGGGAGCAAAAGGACTTTTTTCTGTCCAAATATGCACAGGATTCTGCTTTAAAGCTGCGATTCCATAAACCCTTCCTTGGGAGTAAGTCCCATTGAATACATTGGGCTTCTCTTCCAAGGAGATACGCACCAGGGCTGCATTGTGAGGCTGGGAAAATAATGATAAGAATTTATTCCACATTTGTTCATTGAGTAGAGGGATATCCAACTTTTGAATTAAGTCTCCCTAGTAGCTTGCAATATTTGCACGATGGGCCATGTGCAGAAACAGACAAGTGCTCGAACAAAGCAAAAGTGAAGAAAGAATGGTTAAGACAAGCCTGACTGGATGTGAAGTGGGGCATTCATGAGCCAGTCCCCTGTGGCTTGAAAAACAGAACCTCTTTCAAAGAAACTTGGAGGAAGAAGGTTGAGAGTTAACCCTTTCCTGTGCGGACTTCCCAGTTTATGCCTCTTCCCTGTGATTTGCTAGTCCGACACATCTGGGACACAATGGAGTGGAGGTGTTAGTCTTAAGGATCTCTGTCTCCCACCCTCTCTATGGGCCCTTCTACACAAGACCAGCAAAGCACTGTGTCTGCTGGTTTTGTCAGAGTGAGCCGCATTTCCGTTCCTGCACTTCTGTCACACGACCTCTAGGTGGCACTGTGCCACAGCAGACCAGCGCAAACGCACTAGAGAAAATCACACTTTCTTCAGCTATTCAGAATAGTCCACTTTTCCCTAAATCTCTCTCTCTCTCCCTCTCTATTTTTATTTTAAAAGTAGACAGTGTTGTTTGTAAACAAATGGAAACTATAGTGTGACAACATTGTCTAAAGATCCAGTAAACAACCTTGGATAGGGAAGGGCGATGGCGCAATAGAGGCCTTGTGTAGAAAAATTCTTGCCCAATAGGAAGCCACCGAAAGGTCCCTCTCACTACAACAGAGGCAGGACAGAGTAAAGCTGAGCGAGAGGCATCAGTGGACACACCAGCATCAACACAATCCACCATCCGTTAACACCCCCTAGTGCGCACAGCCATAGAATATTTCCTTTATCGATGCCAAGAGGGGAAACCTATAAAAGGAGGACTAGCAGCTGGAACGGTTCGTCCCTCTAACCAGCTCCCACCTGCCTGTTCATTCTGAGCTCGGCAATTTCAACAAGGTGGAGAGAGTGAATTTTAAAGGTATGGGGAGGGGTTAACCCATTCAGCCCCACTTTGGATCCCTCTCCAAGGGGCTGCTGCTGTTTAATTTCAAAGGGGAAGCAAATGAGAGTCTTTTTTCCCAGAGCTAGCTCTGGCTTGTCTTTCTGCGGCAGCCAACCCAGGACTCGCTCCCAGGGTTTGAGCCATGCAGAGCAGGGTTGGAGACATCCTTAAGAATAAAAGAATTCCCGGGAAAGCAGCTACAAAGCAAATTGTGTGGCAAAGCCCTGGAAGTTGGGGAAGGGTCTGGATGGCCCATAGCTCCATCTGGGGTACAATCTTATGCATGTTTAGATGGGAAAATGTTCCCATATTTCCCAGAAAGAAGGCCAGGAATTATGGGGACATTTTTCTGCCTAAACATGTATCTAGCAGGGATGGAACGATTTCTGGAGGAGAAAGCCATCCGCGGCTACTAGTCCTCATGGCTGTTTGCCAACTCTGCTGGCCAAGGCAACAGGCCTAGGCACACCAGTTGCTGGGGAATATGGGTTTCCCCCTCAGGTTCCTGGATGGTCACTATGTGAGCAGAATGCTGGCCTGGGAGGTCCCTAATCCACCAGGACTCCACTTCTAATGACCTTCTGCACACGTTCCACCACGAAGCTATAACTGTTCCTACAGAATACAGGCAGCCGGAAGTTGCTTCTTTCTCACGAGAAAAATCAAGAGTACGTCTGCTCTCCCAGCATGAACCTGGACTGAAAGGGCCTTTGGAGTAGCAGAAGCATCAGAACGGTGTGGCATAGCCTCTTCCCTGAGTGGCTAGCTTTCTACATGCAGGGAACTTTTGCATCATTCCGCCATGAAACCCCTCCAACCATCCCAGGTTTTCCACTTCTCTAAGAACTATGCATGGACACTTCAGGTTGATCTTCCTGTGAGACACCCCAGAAGTTTAAATAAACAAGATGGTCCCTGGTTGCACCTTGATCAGATGGCTTTGGACTCTTACAAGTTGCTAGTTCTGTGGAAATGCATCTAAAGGGAAGGACACCTGTAGGAAACTGATAGAAGCAGTAAGGAGACTCTGGCTGATAAGAGGACAGCTTGTTACTGGCAGACTGCTGCAGGAAGTGCAGGGAAAATTAACCCTTTATTATTATTAACTACGGTGGGTAGCATGTTGCCTGTTTTAGGATCGTTAGCTTCCTCCTGTTGCTTGAAAAGAAAACTTATGGTTGGACGAACCGCTCTGAGCAGCATCTGGCTTTGGGAATAACCCACAATCAGTTGGAGAAATGCTAACTGGCCTTGGCTTTCTTTCTCCCCACAGAACTGGATCCCCTTGGCGTGGGTTCCCGTGGCGGTGACCCTCCAACATGGGCATCAAAGCAGCGTTGCCTGTCTATGAGCTGGGCATGTACGCCCTGGTCGTATCCTGCGCCATCGCTTACAGCGGGATGGAGATCTTTGAAACCTCCAGAGGTGAGCTGTTCCAACCCCTCGGAAACAGCATTTCGGTCCAGAGGCAGGATTCCCCCTCCCCACCTACCCATATAGAATAATACTACTCCTAAAATGTTGCATTACGGGAATGCAAAACTTTCCCAGGGGACAATGCATGCAAGGACTGCTCTCCACGAGGCCTTTTCTGTTCTCTTGTAGTTTGCAGGTGTCTGATGCCATGTCATCTTCCCTCAGGGTGTCTTCCTAGCTTTCCAAGCATTTCCACAGCTTTTTGGGGGGTTTTAGATCAAGGAGAGTTTGGTATTTTTGGGAAATCGCAGGGAAAACAGCTGAGTTTCCTCATGACTGCTAGAACACAGGGCCACCTTGTGGTTGTTTAATGGAATGTACAGAAAGGCAGGAAAGAAAAATTCCAGGAAAAAGGAAATAGGGGTGTGCTGATTTGAATCCCACAAAGACTCTGGAAGGAGACACTTCAGGAAAGAGGCAAATTAAAAGCCTTGGTCCAAAAGGCAGCTTTCCTTGAGGCTGACTTGATGCCAAAGGACTCATCTCTCACACCAAGATTTTGGGATTGGGTTCTATTTGTGCAGGAATTGTTTCTGGGCTGGAACTGAGATTTCCTGGCATTTGGGGGATCTGGGGGCTTCCAAGATGTGCAAAGGAAAGGGTCTCAGACCTCATGACCATGCACCGTACCTGGCCCACCTGGCCCCCTCTGCCTTTCCTCTGATTGTGGATGGCCAGGTAGTTTTCAAGCTTTCGTGACCCTCAGAAACGCTCTCTGGAAGGATGTCGCCTCTCCCAAGTCTACATAACAGCAAGATCTTTGTCAGAATCCTGAAATCTCTATTTGAGAAGAGGGAATAAAACTCGGGTTCGTGGGAAAGACCAAGCGTCCAGACCATCTGAGGCTTTATTGTTTTATCCCAAGTTTCCTGCGGTACTCACGATAATGCAGGCTGCATTACCGGGCAGGCAGAGATGAACTCTGCTGCAAAGTTTCAATACCATTACAGGGCATTTATAGGTACACAGGTACAGGGCAATTGGTGACAGAATGCAGAGATTACAATAAGATTCTGAGGTCATCACAGACAGAACAGATAAAGAAATGTCAGTCAATCACACTAACAATGAATTACAATATTTATAATCATCTGCATTGACACTTGAGTAACTTGAACCCATCTCCAGGTCTGCTCAGACATGCAAATTCAAGCTACTAGAAACTATTCATGATAAGCTCAGATCCCCATCTCGACTCTAAACATTTTGCATGATCAGGGCACATGAAGCCCTCTGGGCTATCAAAAGATTATTGTAAACTGAATTCCAGCAATAACTATTTACAATGTATATTTGGGCTAAAATGGCCTTTCTGCTGTAGCCTACAGCTAAAGGTGAGAGAAAGGAGCCGGGGAATGCCATTTTAAACAGTGACAGCTTGGTTTTGAGAAGGAAGACAGGATTTGATCCCACAGTGCAAAGGCACACAGGAGTCATGCTTTTCAGACAGGATTTATCCAAATTTTCCCAACATCTTCAAGCAAAAATGTACAAGTCAAGAAAACCAGTCAGGAGCTGGTGACTGGGGGAAATGGGGCAGAGCGACTGGAAGGGGGCATGTCTGCCTGGGAAACGGGGTCCAGCTCAGGGTCCCAGGAAAGCTGGATCTGGCCTGTCGCCTGCGAATCAAGGGTCCCAATTTATACCCAGCCCTCCGAGTCCACAAGCAACACAGAGGCAGGGCCCTGCAGCTGAGGAGTGTGGGAGGCTTGTGGGTCCTGGATCCTGATGCTTCCTTTGCTCTTTCTCCCCTGTTCTGAGTGCGACTGCAGGGTCAGGTGTGTGACCATTCACAGCCCCTCCCTCCAACCCCCACTGGGGGGATCTGGCAGAATCCTCCAACTTCTTCCAGGCTCTGCCCCTGTGCTGGTTTTAGGTTTCGGAGGGCCCGCTTTTATTTCTCCTCTGCCCAGTAGCCGATGCTCTCTGGGCAGCTCAGAATAATTCACCCAGTGTGGAAGATTCAAGAAAGATCCAATAAATATACGAACAAGTGGTTTCAGTGGAGAGGCTGTTCCACAAATGAGGGGCCGCCACTGGAAAGGCCCTCTCCCTTGTTGCCTCTTGCTGGGCCTCCTTTGGAGGTGGCAGTCGGAGGAAGGCCCCAGGTGAGGATCGGAGTATCTGGGAAGATTGCTTTTGGGAGAGGTTTTCCATCAGGTACTGAGGTCCCAAGCTTAATAAATTGAAAGCACGGAGTCTGCGTTCTTGTCACCACCATTCCTGCCTTCGGCTGCTCCTTTTTCTCTTTGCCTGTGGGCACTGGTTTGCTTGTCAGGCAGAGAGCAAGAAGCCCACGGCATCTCCTCCTCCTCCTCCACTATTTATTTGTTTATTATATTTATATTATATTAACTTGCAGCGGTGTTCCCCTGATATTCCTGGGCTTTTCTGATGTGGGGCATGCTCTTTTTCAGACAGCATGAACCGGAAGGCCTTCCGAGGAAACATAAGACCAGGGTGGCATTACTTTGGCAGAAAGATGGTAAGTGAGCCAGCGGCCGCACGCTCGCCGGTTGAGGCGTGGAGGTAAAGCAGCGCTGGACTGAGGATGCACGTGAGGGCCGAGCCAACCTCTTTGAAAGGGACCCAGTAATTTGAGGAGAAACGCTTCCCTGAAAGAGCTGCTTCCCCAGTCCGATTTGCCAAATTGTTGAGCTAAGTGGGTTGCATTGAACTCATGGGTTTTACTTTGGATCGAAAGGAAAGGAAAGGAAAGGAAAGGAAAGGAAAGGAAAGGAAAGGAAAGGGTCACAGGGACTTTTAAAGCTGTTTTCAGATTATAGTAGATGGTTTTTTGCAAGGTGTTCCAGACGGAAGCATTTTCTTCCCCTTGTATTAGAGAATTAAAGATAACTTTGCATGGAATGCGATCGTGCAACTTCATGTTTGCAAAACTTTATATGCTTTCAGCTCTGCCCTTCCTTTCGAGGAGTATGGCTTAACTGCCTCACACACCTCACATAAAATCTGCAGCTGGAAACGCAAACTTCCCAACTGAATATCTCTGTGGATATTCAGCTGCTGAACCCGATAAGCGTGGTTTCCAGTGCATGATAAAGAAAGCCCCTTTCTTTATTCTGGCTGCCATTTTGAGCTCCTGAAATGCATCTCATCGGGGTGGGTGGAACTGTTGCAGACGGTTCTTGCCCATTCAGTGCAGGCCTAATTTGCACGTATTTCAAATTTGCTGAAATTCTGTACAGCTTGCAGAGATTTTGGAGAGAGGAGGCAAGAAAGCAGAAGCCCCTTTACAGATGTTCAATGCCTATTATTTTTTAATTGAGTTAGCATATATTCTGCATTTATTAGTCCAAAGAATACTCTAAGCAGATTACTGTAACAACAGAGAAATAGGGGCAACGCTGTGCGCATACAAATGACTGGATGCTGTGCAGGACGGACACATATCCGTGCAAGGTGATGCAATTTTACTGAAAGCCCTTGCTAGACAATTTTACACACAGTTCCACGTGCAGCCAGAATGAGAAGTGCTCCTTCCTGCTCAGTTCCTGCGAGACATTGAGGTTTGGACAACTCCTCCTCAAGCAACAGGACTGGGTAGAGATGGGTGGGAACTTCATTTCTGTTCAGGCTTGATAAGAATTTATTAAAATCCCCAGCATTTTTGATATCCAGGACACAACGAACTTGGGATGTTAAAAAATCAAATGTGAGGGAAAGCAAAACTGACAGTTATGTCTGTCCAGGCCCAGAGCTTTGAGGGCTTAGCTCTTAAAAGTTTTGGGTCAAATTTCTGGCTATTCAGCCACATTTGTGGTGTTGAGTCGCTACCTTTTTCTTTCTGGAAGGTTCCTTGTCTTTAATGGCTGCAGGTACATCATGGCTGGGAATCGTTATGTTCCTTGAATCTGGCCGGTGCACAGCGGAGATGATTATGTTTCAGTGTATTTGTTAAATAAGCATTTGCGCCTGCCAGATCCAAGAGGTAGAGCTGTTTGCAGAGTTCTTACCCAGGAGAGAAAGAACTTGGGGCTTTAAACAAGGGAATGCTGGAGAAAACGAACGGGCCAAGCGGCCCGTCCTTGGAGTTGGGTTCTCACAAGCTGGCTGGCTCATGTTGCAAGAGGCACAGCCATGGATTGCAAATCTGTTATTCTGCGCTCTCATGGGTTCTGTCCTTGCAGGATGCCGCTGACTTTGAATGGGCCATGTGGTTTACTTCATTCAGAAACTTCATCATCTTTGCCCTTTCGGGACACGTTCTCTTTGCCAAGATCTGCTCCATGACTGTTCCTCGGGTGAGCAAAGTCTCGATCACTCTAACGGCGACATCCCTTCAGCGTTCAGTAAAGCAGTGCCACCTGCTGACAGTTTTAAAATAGTAATAACAATAATTGCTTGCATCATAATTATTATTACTTGTATCATCGTCACCATCATTGTTATTATACAAATGGTGTAAAACGAATCCCAAATACTGCACAGAATAGTTTAACATGGACAACCTAGCCAAAGCTGAGTGTTTTATAATCTCATTGTTTTCCATGGGGAAATTACTTGTCAGCCCCAGTCTCTCCTGCTTCCAATCAATGGGGCTGAAAAGCCTTCATTGGGGATAGAACTGAGACCTAGAACTGAGACCTAGGAGATGCATGATTTATAAAACTGCATGTCTGTTTGAAAAATGTAGAAAAACATCAGGACCAGGGAAAGAAGAAGGGTTTCTGGTAAAGCCTTGTGGGCCAGAGTGAAGGAAAGATGCAGTGCAATCCTTCTGCATGTATATTAACGACAACTGAGTCAGCATGTCATTGCAGCTGTTCTATTGGCTTGCGTATCAATCGAAATATCGGCTGCTCTCGCAACAGTGATGTGGTCCAAAACACACTTCAAGGGCTGTCTAGTGAATTAACTTTGAACAGTCCAAATATACAGACAGCACCGTCCAGCGTAGCTGCTCATAGACGTCCAAACTCAGAGAACTGAGGCATCGCATGGAGGGTGGTAAGAGCACAGAGGCGAAGGTCACCTGGGAGCTTCTCCTGCCATGCAAAAGACCCCGAAAACCCATTCTGGTCCTCCAAGCCTTTGCCTGGCTCTCAGGGAGGCCCGGTCGAGGTGCCACCAGGATGTAATGTTTCGTGGTGACACCCGACTTCTCCCCGCCCTGCTCTGAGGCCGATCTCCCAGCTCCCATTTCCGAGCATGCTTCTGATGTCAGAGCTGGGACTTCAGCTTCTCCCCTGGCCAGCTAGACTCTGCCCTGTGGCCGTCGGATTGTGTCCTGAACAAACAACAAGGATAATCACAATTATATCGTGCAAACAACAGGGATGTTTCAAATCACGCTGATGACTGGGCATGAAGATCAAGATATAGTAATAGATAAGAAAGGGGGACAAAGAAACGCCTTATGTGCATAGAGAAGATGGGGTCTAAGGCAGGCTTGCCTAGTGGGAAGGCCTCTGGATGGTGCTCACTGGGGGAAGGCTGGCCCCAGAGAAGCCGTCCTCGGCTGGAGTTAGGGTGCTTTTGGTTCGGAAGTGGGCAGGACGGGTGCAAGTGCAGTGTGGTGGACCGGGTGCTGGAGGGAGACCTGGAGAGCCAGGCTGAAGTCCCCACTCAGCCGGGAAGCCCCCTGGGTGGCTTCGGGCCAGTCCCTCCCTCTCAGCCTCACCTACCTCGCAGGGTTGTTGTTCTGAGGATAACACGGGCAGGAGGAGAAACTTGGAAGCTGCCTTGCAAGGGAAGAACGGCAGGAGATAATTGCAATGCGGAGATGACGACGACGATGATTCGTCCCTCTTAAGTGGATTCCACATCTTCCGCGTGTGCTTTCTTCTTGCTTCGGAGCCCGAATCGGGTGGAGGCATTCGGACTCTTTTCCCCTGGGTGGAAATCTGTTGTGGACTGTACAGATGGAGGCAGAGAAATGCGATCCAGAAGGTGCACAGCCACCTTTGGATCCAGGTGTGGATGGAAGAGAAGCTCCTCCAGGCCCGTGGCGGAGGCGCAGCTGCGGGGCCGGCGGGCAGACCGGCAAACGGCTCCTCTGTTTCCCCACAGCACAGGTCGGAGGTGTACATGGTGTACGGGATCCTGGCCGTGCTGGGCACCATGGGGGGCTCCTACGTCATGATCATCCTCTCCCACTGCCTGCTGCTCTACACGGTCGCGCTGGCCAGGCAGAAGTGGCTGTGCCTGGTCGCAGGCCTCTGCAGCCTGGCTTCCTTCAAGCTGGAGCCGTTCAGCACCTGGCAGGTATGCGCACCTGGCTCGGCCTGCAGCCTCAGTCCCCTGGCCCTGACCCAACATGCTCCGGCAGCAGTGGGCATGCTCGCCATCCCGCTCCTGCGCATAGGGCCAAGCCACACTGATTGGACGTCCTGGCTCCCGGGGCCGGCTCTCACAATAAGCGAGGGGGCATAGCCTGCCCTGGGTGGGTTGGTTGGTGGGCCACCCACCCACATCGTCCCATGGCAGCTTGGCACAGCCTCTTTCCCTCACAGCCCCCCAGCATGCTCCCTGCTCATATCCCAGGGTCCTTTGAGGGGCACCCCATCTTGTCTCCTCACACTCAGAGCAGAAAACTTCCCTTCCACCTGTCCCGGTGCCTCCGGAGCGCCCAGAGGTGGCCAAGTCATGGGGACCCTCCCGACACACCACAGATCCTTGTGTCATGAGAACTCAGTCCTTGCTTGGGGGGAGACGAGCCTCCAGCATCAGCTGTGGGCTGAGCGTGGGTTGCTGTCTTGTCTGGACTCAGCCACGTCAACTCCCCAGCCATGAACAACCCATGATTTGTGGCTGTGCACTGCACATGGCTCACCGCGGCTTGTTGTTGCAGGTGGACTGACACAACCCCATCCCGCAATAACACACCTTCAGCAGCAACCTGCAACCGGCCCTGTCGCAACCGGCCCAGCTATCACGTTGTCCAAACCCAGCGCCTGCATAACATTTTCAGAGAGGTGGAGAGGTTGCTGTTAACAGGAAGGGGCAGGGAAATCCACTTCTGGATCCAGGGTAAACTGGATCCGGCCAATTTGGATCTAACTGCATGTGGGAGCCCATTTTGTGGGGAAAAGTGGTGCCAAGCTGCAAGCTGCCCAGGTATAGAAACATAGAAACAGAGCAAGTCGGAAGGGGTCTCCCGGACCATCTAGTCTGACCCCTGGCACCAGCCGGCTCTGCTCACGACATGCCCACCCTGGGCATGTCCAGCCTATCCTTGAACACCCGCACCGATGGGGCCTCAACGACCTCGCGTGGAAGCCCATTCCACACCCTCGGGGTCCTGACTGTCAGGAAGTGCTTCCTGGCATCCAAGTTGAACCTGGGCTCCCTGAGCTTTGCTCCTTTGGAGCGCGTCCTGCCTTCCTCTGCAGGGGAGAACTGGTCTCTACCGATCTCCGTGTGACATCCCCTCACATACCTGCATGTCGCCAACATATAATGTGATATATTTGCTCCCCAGATGAGAGTGTGTGACACACAATGGCATCTGTGGGGTCAACAAAGTCCTTTCTGTCCTCTTTCACCCAGAACGGGTTTGTAACGGGCACCTTTGATCTTCAAGATGTCCTCTTTTACGGAGGCAGTGGATTCACCATCATGCGCTGCATGAGCTTTGCCCTGGAGAACTGTGAAAGGAGAGAAGGCAATTACTCCATCTTCGCCCTGCTGAAATACAATTTCTACCTCCCTTTCTTTTTCTTCGGACCCGTCATGACCTTCGACCGATTCCATGAGCAGGTGGGGACGCATGCGGCGCAACGGCGATTGCTTTTTTCTGGGGATGCTTCGGGAATTGTCTCCCACCCCAACCTAGCCCTTAATGCCCTTTCTTTAAATTCATGGACAACTGAATTGAAAGTGTTCTAGTGCAAAGGATGCTGGTGTGGATGCCAGGCGGACCTCGCAGGGAGGGTGTCCCACACTTGTGGGGCTGCTACTGAGACGGTCCATTTCATTGTGACCATCCTCTGAACTTCCCTTCCAAAGGAGTGTGTGTTGCACCATTCACACAGCTGCTGCTGCTTTTGTGCCCTTGAAAATTTAGCCGCTTTTTAACAATTGCAAGATTCACTCAGCTGTGTGTGTGTGTGTGTGTTTTCATTTTTTTTACAAAAAGAACAGAGACAAAACCCACACTATTATTGTCAAGGTAAGAACACAGGAAAGCAACAAAAACATATTTGGTCTTCTTCTTGTTGATTCATTTTTCAAAAACCAGCAAAGGAAGGGGAAAATACATCAAGGTGAAATCAAATTATTGGCAGAGGGTTAGCTTTCCCCCACCTCCTTAACTTTACAGACAGAACGATAAGCAGAATCCACTGGGCAGCTGGAAGATTTTGTTCGGGTTCCTTCTGCGAGCGGCTCGTGAGCTGGGTTTCCGCAGAGACTGCAAGGCGGGTCCCTCTTTTACAAGTGAAGCCGTTTCCAAACATAGATGCCCTCTAGATGGAATGGGATTTTAATCCCACTGGCATCAGCTGTTACCTGCTGTTTGCACCAGTGACATTTCTGGCTGCGATTCACGCCCCTTTATTCCATAGGAATCACCTGGGTGGCCAGGAAAAGCTGCTCTGGAATCAGAGGGGCTGTGGATCGTGTGCTTTCCCGCCTGGAGACGGGGCTTCTGCGCTGTGCTGAAATCTGGGATGGCAACCGGGGTCAAAGAAAGTCAAAGGTCTTCCCTCAAAGTCATCCACAATCTGGATGCTTTTGCTCAAGCTGACGCTAAGGTAGCTTATCCCAACCTAGAGCCTTTCAAATGCTTTGGACTACCCCTCCCATCAGCTCCAGCCAGTTGGCTTGAGGATGATGAGAATTGTAGTCCCACACATTGGGACACTACGCAGCTGGGGAAGGCTGCTCTGGCATTTATAACAGACTAGGGATGATGGGATTTGTAGTGCCACACATCTGGAGAGCATCTCCCTGGGGAAAGCTCTACACCAACTCAGAAGCTTCACACAAATGCATGATTGTCCTTTCTGGACACAATCCACCAACGGTTGCCATCCCAAAAGCCTTGCTCTCGTGTAAGATCTTGCACTGTGCAGTGCCTGACTTACTAATTTTTTCTTAAGGTGCCATCCTAGACATGTTTAGACAGAAAAAAACAAGGGCATTCTGGCAGTTTTAAGCCATTTTTTCTGTCAAAAATGCATGAGATTGCTCCCTCAATTTAATTTAGTTTTACTCCTCACTTGTATGAATTTCCAGGGGAGATTAAATTTCAAATAAATGAATGCATCCATATGGAAAGCGCAAAACAGTGCATCCTCAGAGCCAGAAACTTTAAACAGCTCAGATACCTTTCAAAAAGTTTTTGCCTGGCCCCTAAACAACGATCAATTTGATACAAACATGTAAGCAAACATGTTCAGTGCTGTCTTCCTTCCACTGCATTCCTTCCGAGATCTCCATCACTAGCTCGTCGGCTGAGAAATGAATCTTTTGTGATTGGCCACACCCCCTGGCAGCCATCTTATGAAAGGGCAAACCCCTGTGCCCCCATGGCAGCCATTTTGTGAGAGTGCCCATGGCACTCGCTCAAAATACCGAATGTGCCCAAAGAGTTTGGGGAAGCATATCTGTCATTACTATTGTGAACTTGCCCAGAAATTTTGAATTGAAGAGAGGCATGGAAACATTTTCGCTCGAGAAGTGCATGAAGCCAGGGAAAGTCGAAGGCGGAAGAAGAAAAGGGAGGGCGAATAAGAGCTGGACGACTCCATCAAGGAAGTCTCAACTTTGAATTTTCAAGAACTGAGAAGGGAAGGATGGTTTGGACTCACAGGTAGCTGTCAGTCAGCGATGGCTTCTCGGCACATAACAACATAAAAACATTTAAAATGAATCCCCTGCCCTGTCCATGGGTGTGTGTGTGGGGGGGGTGTGGGCATCAACACCCGCAGTGTTACTTCCACACCTGAACTTGCAGGGTTGTGCGAAGGTGGGTAGACCACACCTGATGAATGGGATGAGGAGGTGCCTTTCACACACACGGTGCAGAGACTGGGGCAGGAGCCGGGAGACGAGGGCCTCCCTGTACATCGTTTCCAGCAGAATCAGGGATGGGACACCTGGCCAGGTGTTCCCTGCTGGCAAACACCTGGCTGGGAGGGAGACCAGTGTTGCTGCTACGCAGGACATGGAGCGTGACTGGAGAAGGGAAACGCCGGTCACCTGGCACTTCCCCGCCGTGATTCCTCAGAGGCAGAGCTTCTGAAAGCGTTTCTGCCAGATCCTTTATCACTCCAGGATGGATCCATCCGGCCTTTTACTTATTTTATACTGTTAATTTTAATTTTATATTATTGTATCTCAGTGTATTTTTTGTATTTTTGTATTTAGTGGTAATTTATTATGTTCTATTGTATTTCAATGTATCTTATTGTGTTGTAAGCCGCCCCGAGGCTTCGGCAAGGGGCAGCATAGAAATGTTATAATAATAATAATAATAATAATAATAACAACTCGTTCAGCCCATTCGGTGATCCTTGACAATTTCGGGTGACGCAGCAGGAGTGAGGGGCCACATGCTGAGCAGGGTGGTGTGCTTCCCACCACTGCTGCGGGAAGAAGGATGCAGAAGCATCATCCAAGGTGGACCTTACTGAAGAGTGGCACTGGCCGGCCTTGGAGCTGAACACAACCAAGGCGCTGAAGTTTCCGGTTCTCCCTTTGCTCCATGGTGGAGTTTCCCCGGGATGCTCTTTGGCCGCGATGCGCACCCCAGGCCCATTCATCCCGGTTCTCTCCCTTTGACGCAGGTGCATGTGAGCGAGCTCCGGCGCAAGGACGACGAGATGTGGTCCATCCGCGTCCATGCCGCCGTCCATCTCCTGGCCATCGTGGTCGTAGACGTCTTCTTCCACTTCTTCTACATCCTAACCATTCCTTCAGACCTGAAGTTTGTGAGCCGCCTCTCGGATTGGGCGCTGGGTGAGTGCCAGAAGAAGTGGGTTGGCTTTGCAGGGGTGCGTTCGATGTTCGGGATTTAATGCTTTTCAGTTTACATAACCTTCCTCCTCCTCCTCTTCATTTTATCCTCACAGCAAATCTCTCCCCAGTAGGTTGGGCTGGGCGCCAATGGCTGCTGCGATATCACCCAAGGAACAATATAGCTGAGCCGGGACTAGAACTCAGGGCTCCCCAGGCCCAGTCCGGTGCTGTAACCACTACACCGCACTGCCATAGCTGAGCCCTCATGCAAGAATCCTGTTTAATGGAAGGCGTGCTTGAGGGGCATTCTACACTTGGCAGGGTGAGGAAGGCCTGGCCTCCTCTCTCGCTCGAGATGGGCAGGTGGACGTGCAGAAGGTGTACTAGATAGATAACAGTCAAAAATCAGCAGATAAAATATTGAAGGACACACTCCTGGGCGGTGGCAGGACTGTTCTGACACTTCCCGGTGCGGAGGGCCAGCCGGGCACATGCGTGCGCAATGCGATCCATGGGAACCAGGTCGGGTTTGGATGCACAGTTACAGCCCCTTGGGGCGAAGGGGAAAGAGAAGGCGCTTTCCTGGCAATGGGATTCTTGAGCAGGTGGGATTTGGCCTCTGGGCCGCCACCCGGCTCAGACCTGCAGAACAGCAGGTTGGCCCCAATCCATATCGAAGCTGCTGCGCCCAGCCTTCCTTGCTGATCTAAGCGCAACATTCTGCTCCTCTTTCGGGCAGGGTCCAGCCTCTGAGTGCGGGGCAGGCGGAGCTGGCCTTCGGCAGAGTGAGGAGCTGCTTCAGGCGGCAGAGCCGGAGGGGCGGCAGGGGGCAGAGCGAGGCGTTGCGGGACAGGCCTGAAGCGAGCCTTCTGCCCTTCGACCAGTTTACCCCATGGGACGTCCTGCAGTCGTGTTGGACTACAACTCCCAACATTCCTGGCCATGCTGGCTGGGCCTGATGGAGTTTGAAGTCCACAGCACCTGTGGGCACCAGGTTTAGCTTAGGGTAGGCCCACTGAAATCAGTGGGACTGGAGTTACAAGTGGCTTGCCCCACTGATTTCAAGCTGGTTCTAAGACCAGTTGGGGAAGGTTGCCTTAGATGGGGTCAGGACACTGAGACAGACCTTCCAATGGATGGTCCTTGAAGGTTGGTGGGCAGCGACCACCTTGCCCTTCAGCAGGTGGGCCATGCCAGGACCCACAGCAGCCGGAGGAAACTTCCCTGGGGCCTGTCCAGTTACGGGGTCTGCCTCCCCGCTGCTTCCCTGCACGGCCTGAACTGGCTTCGATCAGGCTTTGCCCTTGTCCCTCGAAGCTTCGTCCTGAGCAGCGTGACTCTGCTGCTCTCCCCCGGGCCTAATCTTCTGCCCTCTTCCTTCCCCTGTCGACCCACAGCTGGCCTGGCTTACTCCAACCTGGTTTATGACTGGGTCAAAGCCGCTGTGATGTTTGGGGTGATCAACACCATCTCCCGGCTGGATCACCTGGACCCGCCGCAGCCGCCCAAATGTATAACCATGCTCTACGTCTTTGCCGAAACGTGAGTAGTTTGGTGGGAAGCAGTGGGGCTGGAGCAGGGGGAGACCCCCGGATTTCCCCCAAGGCCTACTTGGCACTGGGCAGGGGAGGCTCAGAAGGGCTTTGGAGCAAAGTCTGGCGTGGGTCCATGCAGCGGGATCTTCCGCGGGGAATGCAGCCTTCCCCGGCTTGGTATTCTCCAGATGGTACGGACTTAAATTTCCGGGATACCTGAGCATCGTCTGGAGATGGTGGGAACTGATGCCCACCACATCTGCGTGGAACCATGGTGGGCATTCTTGTCCATTTGATGTTTGGGTTTTAGTGTTTTACTTTTTAGAAATGTTAACTGCCCAGAGGTCTATATTGGGTGGAAGGTACGCAAGAGCTGGAAATGTAAATGATTTTTAAAAATATTAATAAATATGATGGCCCAGCAAAACTTCACGTTAATCCTGGGTTGTCATGTTTTGTGCCCAAGTTCCTATGCTATTCCATCTGGCAGGCCCGGCAGACTCCCTGGCCCCCTGAATTGGGTGTCCGTCTTTGTTATGCATTTCCCCCTCTGAGACTTTTGGTGAAACCAAAGTGCCCTCAAAAAGGACGTTCTTCACCTGGAACTGAAAAGATGGGACGAGGACAAGTGAGAATCCAGAAGTTGGATGAGACAGTCCTTCCCTGGCCTTGGGGGAAAGGTGTTGCTTCTTATTTATTTATTTATTTATTTATTAAAACATTTTTATGTCGCCCCATTCGCCGAAGCCTCGGGGCGGCATAAAAATGTTTTAATAAATAACTAAATTCTTCTGTTTGCACAGTTGCAAATGTGCCGGGAGAGTCTTCTGAGGACCATTTTTGGAAGACGGCTTGGAATTGGAGCAGGGCCTTCTCCAGGGTGGCCCTGAAGTTGTGACCCGAGTACTCTGGGATGCAGTGCCTGTGGTTATTTACCTTGTCTCAGAGCAGCTCAGGAAGTCAGTGAAGGGCACCGTTCTATGGCCGGCTGGGGAACGGTTGTCGGCCCCTTTCCTGTCTAAGCAAGCAATGGATTGTGCAGTGAATAAGCTGAAACTGAGACAGCATTGTAAGCTATTCTGAACCTGGTTTAAACAGAAAGACTGTAAAATAGAATGTACTGCACAAACAGTTAATAAAACGAAGCAATGCAACCCTGGTCGGTAAAAATAGACAGAATAGCACCAGCATGGTTCTCTTTGATGCCCTGCATGTAAGCAGTGGCAGCCCCACTGAAATATGGCTCATCCATCCTGTGGCAAGAACCCATAGAATCACCCCCTAAGTCTGGGTCTGGCTCAGCATCTTTTGCTTCAAAATAAATGTTCCAAGCCCATCTTGTCACACCAGTTTTTGGGGATTAATGTGGTTGCTTTCGCTGCATTTTCATCTTCTTGCCAACTCAAACTCTCCAGGTATTTTGTTGTTGTGTGCGTGGAAAGGGGGTGGGCAGCTTTTTTATTTTCATCGGTTTTTTATTTATTAATTTGGGAAGCCTCTTGGAGTGGTGGGGGAGGCAGCATGTAAGAGCTCCTGTGAAAGGTTTGCTGTATCCCATACCCTCCTTTTGCTCGGAGTTTCTCTATGGAAGTGATGGCGAACTTTTTTGAGACCCAGTGCCCAAACTGCAACCCAAAACCCACATATTTATCACAAAGTGCCAACACTGCAACAAAACTGAAACTGAGGTTTTAGTTTAGAAAAAACACCTCACAGCCAGTCCAAGCAACTATATCTATATCCCTGGCAGCACACTGAAGGGCCATGAGAAAGCTTGGATGAGTTGTGACTAATGAGTCGCGGTCTGTGATGTCATTGCCTGGCACGACTATTCCTTTCCGAGCAGGCGAACGGCCTCTCTGTGCGCTGTATCCGATGCAGGGTGCTGGGGCGATGCTGGGGTGACTTGACTTGCGTGGCGACAGAGAGGGCTCTGCATGCCCACTGTGGCATGCGTGCCATAGGTTTGCCACCATTGGCCTAACCCTGCCCTGGTGCACTCCCTAGCCCTAACATAGGGCAAAAGTTCCATTGAACAGAGGGCGATTCTGAAAAAGTCTTCCCTGGGTAGCTTTTTCAGCAGAGCTCATCCTTTCTGCCCCTTCTAAACACATTCCAACCATCGGAACCATGCCAGGACACCTCGTTTTCCTAACCCTAACCCTACCCTGGTGCACACCCCTACCCCTAATAAGGGGCAAAAGTTCTATTGGAAATAATGCGATTTTGAAAAAGCCTTCCTTGAGTAGGTTTTTCTGCAGAGCTCATCCTTTCTGCCCCTTCTAAACACATTCCAACCATCGGAAACATGCCAGGACACCTCGTTTCCTAACCCTAACCCTACCGTGGTGCACACCCGTAACCCTATTAAAGGGCAAAAGTTCCTTTGAAAAGAGGGCGATTCGGAAATAGTCTTCCTTGAGTAGCTTTTTGTGCACTGCTCAAAATTTCTGCCCATATTTAGCATATTCCGACCATCAAAATCATATCTCGTTTTTCTAAGCCTAACCCAGTGATGCTGAACCTTTCAGTGACAAAGTGTCCAAACCGCAACCCAAAATCCACTTATTTATCGCAAAGGGCCAGCACTGCAATAAAACCTGAAAACTGAGGTTTTCGTTTAGAAAAAGCATCTCACAGCCACTCGAAGCAAATGTATCTATATCCTTGGCAGCGCACTGACCAGCCATGCGAAAGCTTGGACGATTCGCGGCTACTGAGTTGTGCCTTGTGTCCTCACCGCCTGGCACCACTGCTCCGTTCCGAGCATGCGCACGGCCCCTGTGCGCGCTGTAATCCGATGCTCAGCTGCTGGGGCGATGCTGGGGCGACTGGGCTCGTGTGCCGGCGGAGGGCTCTCGGTGCCCGCTGCGGCACGCATTCCAGAGGTTCGCCACCACCGCTCTATGGCATTTAGTGTGCATTTGCGATTCCTCACTCACAGTAGTCGGCGGGTGCATTGCAAGGCCTGGTCACCCCTGAGGTCTTCTCCCAGGCTTTGCTGTCATTCCCGCAGCTTTTTTTGACTGGCAGTATTTGGAAAACTTGCAATGAGAAGCTTCCGTGTTTTTGCAATTCTGCTATGGTGCACCATGATTGGGTGGTGGGACTTGTGGAGAGAACACGGATCAAGGCACCCATTGTAATTCTGCAAGGAATCCAAAAACAGCTGCTTGGGAATGTGGCTGGTTAAAAGCTCCACGCAGAGGAGTGCTCAGAGCACCGGTTGTGCGTGCAGCTTGGGGTGCAGTGCAGAAAGTGAGCAGAACAGTGAATGTAGGGAGAATTGAGGAAGAAATTGCTCCTTAAAAACCTCTGATTTTTCTAACATTTGTGTTGGTCTCACAGGCACTTCGACAGAGGCATTAACGACTGGCTATGCAAGTAAGTTTCTGCCCTGGTGCTACCAGCCTCGCTTGGGGATTCCGGGAGACTCCCAGCTCTCGGAACAACCCGCTGGCAGTCGGCTGCCTGGGAGGAAGGAAGGAAAGTCCGGCCACATGCTTCGGTTTTGACTTCCAGGTATGTCTACAATTACATCGGGGAGAACCACGACAACATCCTGAGGGAGCTGGCGGCCACCGTCGCCACGTTTGCCATCACCACCCTCTGGCTGGGCCCGTGCGAGATCGTTTACATCTGGTCTGTCTGCAACTGCTTTGGACTCAATTTTGAGCTGTGGGTGCAAAAGTTCTTCCAGCTGGAGTTCTTTGCCGCAAAGGAGGTAAGAGGCCGGCTCTGCGGTGGGGAAGCCCCGGCTTCTCAGCTGGAAAAGACTCCCCACTCCTGCTTTCCACAGCTTTGTGGGGCCCACCCTCCAGGTATTCCAGACTGCAACTCCTACCAGCCCCAGCTAGCCAAGGACGGTGGGAGTTGTAGTCCAAAGCAGCACGGGAGCACCAGGTGGGTGACAGCTGCTGCATCGTATCTAACAATCTCGTTGGAACTCATCTTCAATCATTTTCGTTGAATCGCCGTCTGGGCTGATTATTCATATCTCACAGCAGGGGGTGGGCTGATGGGACCCTCTCCCAACATTTCAGACACCAGTTGCTTATCTTTGGCCACCCTGGTGGGGCCTCACGGGAGCTGAGGGCCAAAACATCTGGAGATCTTCCTTCTGCGGAGCCTCGTCCACGCCACCCGGAGCGTTTGCCACACTGAACTTGGTGTTTCCTCCAGGGAAGGCACCAAAGGGAGATACATGGATCCGTCCAGGAAGCCGTGGCCTTGCGTTTGCAAGAGCTGAGCAGGAGGCACTGCTTGGAGGCCTTATGTTCCAAGAGTTACCATGAGTTGGAGACAACTTGATGGCACATAGCAACAGGAACAGAGAACGCCTGAAGTATAAAAGAGAGACGTGCATTTCCTTTCGGCCTGAGGGGCAATTTCAATTTCAGATGAACTTTTGTGGATGCTCAGCAAAAGTAACCTGGCCAAACCCCCCCGCCCCCGGCATATTTTAGCTACAAGCTCCTCCTCAGCCCTCAGGAGATGCAGTCCAACAGTCCGGAATGCATGGAAGCTGCGGAAGCACCAGACGGGGAGAGGACCAAGGGGAGGACTGACAGCTACCTGAAGGACCATGGAGGGCCAGATTTGGACCCGGGAGGGCTGGATTTGATCCTTGAGCTCGAGGTCCTGCAATGCTGGCTTAGGACGTGTCACAGCAGGACTGGAAGACCAGGCGGATCCCTTCCAGCCCACTTACTCTGGATCTGCCAATGTTCTGAGGAGCATTGCCAGAGGTCCTTGGCTGTGGTGAGGGTGGGAAGACCCAACCTGGCTTGGAAATGTCCTGCTGCCTGGGGCTGAAGCCCTGAGGAGCCCGGTGCTCTCAGGCTGAGCAAGGTTCGAGCCGCCTCCCCTCCGTCCCTACTCAGAGCCTCATCCCGCTTGTCTTTCCTTCGGCAGGCCAATATGTCAGAAGCAATGTCCCGCCGGATCCGGGCCTTCTTTGGGGCAGCCAACTTCTGGGCCATCGTCCTCTACAACGTCCTTGCCCTCAACAGCTTGGACTTTGCCCTTCTGGTTACCCAGAGAATTCTCTGGACAGGTAAAGAGCCTGCCGTTGAGTGGCCCGGCCATTTTCGGCAGCCAGAGAGGCGTTGCCCTGTGGCCATATGGGCAGCTTCGTTGGGGTCAGCTAAAGGGAGGGCTCCTGCTTTGGGATGCATCTTTGACGTTCAACACCAGCCCCATCTCCAGCCCACTCCTCCCCCCGCCCCCCATGCGAAGTTGTTGTCCATTCCCGCAGGATGCCTTGCCCTTCCCTTCCTCCCTGGAAACCCTGCCTACCCACCAGGTCTGGCCCAACGTGCTTTCCTTCCTGGGATGAAGGACGGTGCCCCCTCCTATCCCGCATGCAAAGCCCTGCCAGGCTGGCAGCTGAATCTCACTGTAGCACCGTCGATCAGGAAATTTCCCCAGGTGCCCACTCCTCTGCTCCCACCCCCTGCCAGCAGCTGCTGCCTGAAGCGGCTGCTCCACCCTGCCTAAGGGTAGGGCCGGCCCTGCCTCCTGTCCCTCACTCAAAGGTCCTTTCCTCCTCCTCCTCCTCTGCGTTCCTTTCCCTTCAGGTCTCTGGCTTGCCTAGCTCTTTCACCTCTTTCAGGCAGCTCCTCTCTGCCCAGCTGCAACCTAACAAAGATTAGATGCATGTAATCTTCATGCCAGAAAAGCAAACCGTTGTGGCAAGTCCGTGACTTCTGAGCATATGTAGAGGGCGGCCACAGACGGAACTGGGGGAAGTGGCTGCCAGGGCAGAGCGTGTGGCTGCTAGGAAAGAGCGGAGGTCTGGCCTTTGTCATTCTTCGTTACCTTAAATACAAATGGATATTTACATAACCACAATGGAGTGGGGTAGAGAACCTGTGATCCCGCAGATATTGTTGGACTCCAGTTCCCATGAGCCCCAGCCAGCAATGCAAAAGGCCAAGGAAGAGAGGACTTGTAGTAAAACAGTATCGGGAGGGCAGCAAGCATTTAGTCAGAGCAGACCCATTGAAATCAATGAGCCTTACAGTAAATCTCTGCCATCAGTTCCCATTGATTTCAAGGGTCTCTTCCAAGTTTGGCTACAGTGGGATCCAAGCCAATATCTTAGACGGCACATACAACAACCCTGTGAGGCAGGACAGTCGTAAGGCCTGGAACATACTGACTTGCCTGAGGGAAGCATTTGAACTTGGGAACGTATTTTCAGCCACCCTACTATATCCGCTTAATTAAGATTTGTTCATTGTAAGACGAATGGAGTTAAGAAAGTCAAAACTGGCTTTAGGAGCAGCACCAGAAGTTCAGGCGGGTGCTTTGAGAACATACCAAGCCTTTGAAAAAAAATTAGTCCTGTTTAATCGTCGCGGCGCTTGACAAGAACCCTGGGAACGGTAGTCTGGCATGGACTACGGAAACGTTTCTGCGTCAAGGCTCTCCCAGGGTCCCCTGGTGTGGGGTGGGGCGGGGGCTCTTTGGTGGGTCCATCTCTCCAGGGACGTGGGCTGTAATGGGTCTACCGAGGCCGGACTGGTTGCTTCTTGCTCTCCTCTCCTTCTCAGGTTTTCCCATCAGCACGTTGTCCATCTGGTTCATCACTTACTGCGGGGTGCAGCTGATCAAGGAGAGGGAACGCATCCTGGCCATCCGCGAAGAGGAGAAAGCGGAGAAGGAAAAGGTGCACTGAAAAGAGCCAGCAAAGGGGCAGTTTTGGCTCCGTGGCCCCAGGCTGCTCAGCCAAAGCGCCAACCTCTCGCGCCCCCAGCCAGCCCAGAAGCTGCACCTTCACTGTTTTCCCTTTCAGCCCTTTTCCAGTTTAAATAAAGATTATTTTCTATAACACAGCTGGTACCAAAGTTACTGCGCTAGTTCACCCTCCGTGGGGCTTGTGTCTTCTCTTTTGGCGGTGCTGGCCTGCCCCTTCCAGATGTCCCAGCTCAAGTGCGAAAGGGGAAGATTCTGCTGCAAAAGGGGTGCAAATCCCCAAAACAGCCTTTCAGCAGCAAAGGTGCTCTTTCGCTGCATGGGGTGCATGGGGGTCCCTCCCCTTCCAGTGCTCCTCAGAGTGCGCCCTCTACCCAGGGACCTGCAAGGGTCAAGCTGCTGCTTTCAAAAGAGAGAAAGGATTAAAAGCGGCGCTCATAAAGCACTTCTTCACAGTGAGGATGGTGCTGCTGACGGCTGCGGGCAGTGGGTCCCTTGGCGAACCTTCTGCCTGACTCGATCTGGGCCGTCCCCGCCAAGGAAACTGACTCACCCAGTCCCTGACTGGAGGGCGAGTGCGGTCATCTGTCGCAGCCTGACGACCGAATTCCACGCCCTGTTCCAGGAGACCTAACTGTCCGTTCACAATGAGCCGAAATCTAAACAGGCCACCGGACCTTCTGGAATGTGACGGGGGATCTAAAATTAGGCGCCAGCCGAGTGACCGGCAGTCTGCCGGAACTGCTCAATGGGAGACCAGCCAGGCCCAGTTTCCATTGTCCGAACTTGGCGTTTCTTTGGTAAGAAAGTCAGAAAAGCTGGGGCAGCATTCTGCTCACGCAGCGGCCAGCCGGCTGCCCACGGCAACCCAGCAAGTGCCACGTCCATGCAACAGCCCACCCATGTTCCCCAGCAACTGGGGCACAGTAGCACTGCTTTTCATACCAGAGGTAGTCCAGAACCATTAGGATTTTTATTTTATTTTATTTTAATCCTTCATTTCTATGCTGCCCCCATCGCAACAAAGCCTCGGGGCGGCTCACAACAAAAACAAACAAAAGCATATAAAAATTATACAATAAAAATATTAAAACCCGGTGCATCTCAGCTTAAAATTATTTTTTTTAAAAAAACCTACATAATAAATTAACAATTAAAATAACTTTTAAATAAAAAGGTCTTAGCCTGGCGCTGAAAAACAAATAAGGACGGCGCCAGGCGGGCCTCTCTGGGGAGCGCATTCCAGAGGTGGGGCGCCACCGCAGAGAAGACCCTCCTCCGGGTGCTCACCCTCCTAATATCCTTCACGGAGGGCTCCCGGAGAAGGATTACTGGCCATAGATGGTCTTCTCCTCCACACTGGTGGCCAGTATACATAGAGAAGGTGGAGAAGATGAAGAGTTCATTCTGCTTTCCATGGGAAGAAAGGACCTTCCATGAAAGGAAGGGCTATACGTTTGGAAGGTCTTGCTCCCAGCTTGTAGGGAGCAAGACCTTCTCCCACTACACCCACTACACCCATACCTCACCCCATTGATGTTGCTGACTTTCTAAATCGTATTTTCAGGTGGCTTGAAGGGCTGCTGTGGGTGGGAGTCCCTTTTTTCCAGTGCGAGAGCTCGAGTCTAAATCTGGACCCAATGGAGAACTGACATTGGGGTTAGTCCAGGAGATAGAAGCGGGGAAGACAAAAGCATCACTTCTTAGCACTCTGCCGTCCTTCCTGCAACTAAGCTCAAAGGGGCTGCCCACCAAGTTTCAGTTCCACACAGAATTCTCCTCCACATTCTCGGCTACTGAATCTGTCAGTTCCTTCTCGCAGCCTGCACTGGAAATGGAGAGTGAGCTAAGCAGTGTTGTTGTGGCTTGGCTGGGGAACCGGCCACCACAAGCCAGATGAGGCCCACCAGGCTTCCTCACCCGGTCTGTGAGAGCCTGAGAGAGGCCAGCAGTCATGGGAGAACAACTCCAGGTGGCGCTTCAGTCCGGAGGAATATTCCTGCACCAGCAGGGGGTTGGACTGGATGGCCTTCATGACCCCTTCCAACTCTACTATTCTATGATTCTGTGATTCCTTGAAGCTGCATCTCAGGTGGCTTTGCTCCTTGTTTACCTTCCTGAACAGGTTAGCAGGTACTGGGAAGACAGTGCCAGCTTCCATCTGGGTTGGTACCTCCAGGAGTATTCCTTGATGTATTGACTCACTTTCCCTGCCTGGAGAAACACCAGGTCTACTCTGTGTGTGTGTGTTTCTGTGTGAGACACACCAGGTCTACTCTGTGTGTGTGTGTTTCTGTGTGAGAGAAAGGAAGGGTTGATGGTTCCTTGTATGTTTGGTTGCACTTGTGAATGGGTTCATGCACATCAAACATGAATGGGGCGTGTGAATGTGAATTAACTCAGTGGAAGGGAAGATATGCAGGTCAGAGCCCTGTGATGGCAGGGGTGATGGTCTTCCCATTTGGGGCTCCAGCCAACGCTGGCAAGTGGCCCCTGATGCCCTTGCCCAGAGCCAACGTGGCCTTTGGATTGAACTATCAAACCCATCCAGCACAAGGCGAGTGCTTTCTCCTCAGCTTCGCATCCTCTGTCTGTCCTGAGCCCAGCAGCTTCTGCTCTTCCTTTGAATATAGAAATTCAGCTTTATGGCTGAGTGTAGACAAACCGTGGTTTGTCTTAGCTAGGATTTACTGAAACAAGCCAACTTCAAACTGTGGTTTATTAAACCAGCTTGTTTCAATAAATAAGCTTTGTTAAGCTTAACCACGGTTTAGGGTGTGGATGTAAGATGAAGCTGTGGTTAACTGAAATGGGCTGCAAAGATTCCCATTTCCTCCCGGTGGCTGTTCAAGGGAGGAAAACAGGGCACTTGTGGGTCTCCCTCTTGAGCGGGTGGGGTGCCAGCCCGGTGCATAGGTCAAGGTGGCTCGATGCGGCCCTTGCACATGAATCTTGCTCATGGTTTGCCTTTCTAGCAGACCACAGAATGCCTGAGCCTTGTGTGGAAGATTAAAGAGACAGTGGCATGTTAATTCCTCCAGGAGAGGGACAAATTAATACGGATGGGAAAATATAATCCACAGAAGGAGTGGGGATTAAGAACATGGGCTCAGAGGCAGGCGAGTGCGCTGCTCTGGAAAGCTTCCCTAACCCTTTCGGTTGCTGCAAAAGGCAGACCGAGTCCAAACAGGATTACACCTGTACCTTGGGCTCACCCAAGATCAGCACCCTGCGGAGGTGCAGTGGGCTTTGACAAGAAAACCCCAATCCACCCTAATAAAACCTTAAACAATTACATAATCTGAGAAGAAAAAAAATAGGCAGATCCTTCTTGTCTTGCAAAGACCAAGCACTGTACACTCATGTGTTCCCGCTTCCTCTTCCTCTTCCTCTCCTGAAACAGGGTTTTGATAATTCCTACCAAGGACACACCAGCTTTCAATACTGAATCGGCATCTTGTCACCACCCCATTCACTGGCCTCCCCCAACCTGGGGCCATCCTGAAGTGTGGGACAATGCCACCCATCATGCCCGGTCAGCACGGGCATACTTGGAGTTGCTGGCTGGGGATGATGTGGTTTGTGGTCTGACAGCCAGAGGGTGACAAGCTGGAGTTTCTTAAAAGACTGTGTGAACAGCTAGCAAAAGGATTCGCTTTAACTCCCTGCTTAAAAAGTGAAGCCTGTCCTTTGTCACTATGAGGGGAAGGATATTATCTGGGATTTTAAATGTTGGCGTGCTTTTGTGTGAGTGCGTTTTGTGTGAGGGTTTGTGTGAGTGCATGTTTGACATTTATTCCTATGGATTTCCTGTCCCACCCTTCCTTCCAGAAGCTCAAGAAAGCGCATGAGACGGAGCTCTCTGGTCCTTTCGGGCCGGTGGGCACAGGAACTGCTCTGGGGTCCACCTGAGAATGGTCCCTTTGAATGAATGGGAATGAGAGACCCTGTGGGCCTGAGGCTGAGAAGAAAGTGCAAAGCAAAGTGCCAGAGGAGAGGGAGAAAGCGTCAGGCTGGAGGGCAGGAAAGGAGAGAGACCCTGAAGTTTGCCGGTATTGTTTCCTGGGAGGTCCCTGAGGAGCCGTTCACCCTTCCGATGGTCTTCACAACAACCCTGCAAGGTAGGTTAGGTTAAGAGACAGTGCCTGGCCAGGGTCACCCAGTAAACTTCATTGCTCAGTGGGGATTTCAGTAAGAGAGAGGCTCCCTCTAAGAAGAGGACCAGCAGGCATAGTGGTTAGAGTGCTGGAATGGGACTCAGGAAAGCCACCTGGCCAGGAAGCACAGCGGGTGACTTTGGGCCAGTCCCTGACTCTTAGCCTTGCCTACCTCACAGGGTTGGCGGGGCAGCTGGTGTAGCAGAGGGGGTTAGCATTTTGGACTGGGGACATGAGAGACCTCGGTTTTAGACCCTCCTCAGCCAGAAGGCTCGCTGGGTGACTTTGGGGCAGTCCTCAGCCCTCTGCCTCGCCTACCTTGCAGGGCTGTTGTGAGGATAACCTGGGGAGGAAGATGATTATATAAGCCTCCTTGGGTTCTTTGCAGGACTACAGAGAAGAATCATCATCATTTTGATAAAATGAGAAAAGCTGAACCAAGTCGACCCTGACTTGGCTGAATGCAGCCTTCCTCTGCCTGGGGCCCTGCAGAGGTGTTGGACTACAGCACCCATCTTCCCCAGCCATGGCTCACTGCAAAGATGAGGAGGAGGAGCCATCCCAGCTTGGCAGCAGAAGCTCTTGAGATACATGGTACTTGCAGGACAGATGCCGCTCAGCGACCGGGACTGCTTGTTCCCCATCAGCTCAGCCCTTGTGTTTGTAGAGAGGTGAACGTAGCTTTCAAAACATGCCTTCCCCTTCAAGCCCCTGAACCTATTCATGGCTGCCCCTGGACAACTTGATTCTGGAAAAAAAGGGGAGTGCAGAGCTATAGACTGAATCAGCTAAACTGTCTTGGGGAAACTGAGGCCTAGATTTCTTTCCGTTGCCGCAAATGTCAGAAGTATTTCTTTGCTGTTGATTCAAACTCTGACTTTGCAGTATATTTTTAGCATGTTAAGCTTTGCTCTGGATTTAGAAGAGGAGAGTGAGGCTGTGGCATCTGCCTGTGTTGGGGGTGGTGTGTGTGTGTGTGTGTGTGTGTGTGTGTGTGTGTGTGTGTGTGTGTGTCAAAATAGTCCTCATATCTCCTGAGGCTGATTTGGGAGGATTTTGTTGGTTTGATTCAGTCCGAAACATAATCTGTTTCACACACGCCGTTACTAAGGCAGAACGGTCGCAAGTCACTCTGCTCCAAGTCCTTCAGGAAAAGATCTCTTGGAAATGAATCATAGCATCTTCTCCATGGATCTAGAATTACACGGACAGCTGTCCCACAGAAGCCTCATCATTCGCAGCCCCCTGCCCACCCCCCAACGCACCAGTCATCCCTCCCTGGCAGGCCGGTTTGTCATATTAAATGGTGATCGGCTTACACACACCCTCGAGTGGATTCCCTAAGCTTCGCAGCGCTGCAGCTATATATAAAAACTCTCCTTGCTGTGGAAACCAAACCCTACAGCCAACTGCACGGGGCAGCGAGGAGCTCCTATTCTCAGCGCTTCTTCTAGGAGTAGAAGGAGCCGCCGGCATAAGCGGCACTAAAAGAGCTGGGCGTCCCGCTCGGAGAAGAAGAGAGAGCGACTCCAGCCATGGCCGTACCCCTCGAGCAGGCCGAAGAGTTGCGCCTCTACCAGCAAACTCTCCTGCAGGATGGCCTGAAGGACATGCTGGACCACAAGAAGTTCCTCGACTGTGTCTTGAAGGTGAAAGGGAAGGAGTTCCCGTGCCACCGCCTGGTCCTCGCAGCCTGCAGTCCCTACTTCAGGGCCATGTTCCTCTCAGAGATGGAAGAAAGCAAGAAAAGGGAAATTGACTTGGAGGATGTCGATCCAGAAGTCATGGGAAAGATTCTCCATTACATCTACACCTCGGAGCTGGAGATCACGGAGCAGAACGTCCAGGACATCTTCTCTGTGGCCAACATGTTCCAGATCCCATCCATCTTCACGGTCTGTGTATCCTTCCTTCAGAAGAGACTTTGTCTCAGCAACTGCCTGGCCATTTTCAGGCTGGGTTTGATGTTGGACTGTGCCCGCTTGGCGGTGGCCGCCAGAGACTTCATCTGTGACCGCTTTGCCCTGGTCTCCCGAGACGAGGAGTTCTGCCAGCTGTCCCCAGATGAGCTCATCGCCATCATCTCCAGTGACTCTCTGAACGTCGAGAAGGAGGAGTTGGTCTTTGAGGCTGTGATGAAATGGGCCACAGCGAAGGATCGGGACAGCCGGGTGAAGGCCCTGCCTGTGGTCTTTGAGAGCATCCGTTTCCGCCTCATGGACAAGGGTTACTTCAAGGACCATGTGGAGAAGCATGCTATAATCAAGTCCAGCCCGGAGCTCCTCAAGAAGATCCAGATGGTGAAGGACGCCCATGAAGGGAAATTCACTGTGGTGAAAAAGGCTTCTGGGAAGAAAAAAGGGGCAAAGGAATCTGGGGACAGTGTGATAAACGGAGGGGTGGAAGAAGAGGAAGGGGAAGAGGATCAAGATGTCCTCCCGGGGATCCTAAATGACACCATGCGCTTTGGAATGTTCCTTCATGACCTCATTTTCATGATCAGTGACTCGGGGGCAGTGGCTTATGACCCGAGTGCCAACGAGTGCTACTTCGCCTCGCTCTCTGCCCAGATTCCAAAGAATCATGTCAGTTTGGTCACCCGTGAGAATCAGGTCTTCATAGCAGGTGGACTTTACTACAATGAGGAGAATAAAGAGGACCCCATGAATTCCTACTTCTTGCAGGTAATGGGCTTCCTTATTCTTTGGCTTGGAAATGGTAATCAGCATACAGCTGCTAAACTACAAGGCATACGAGTCTCCATTTGGAGTGTGGCGTTAATCCAGTTCTTGCTTTGGTCCAGGCGCAGCTCAGTCCTCGTTCAAACTGGTTTGATTCCCCAGGTCGAGTGTGCAACATAAGGGGTGGTGATGTGCCTTGAACAGTTAAGGGGATGGCCATCTTCTTGCCCTTTCTCCTCAGCATTCAGGTTGATCTGCCTTGGTTGATATCACGAGATTAAGGAATACAAGTTAGGAAGGCCTGACAGAGCTAGGCGCAAACTTAGGAGGAGCCACTGGGCCCAGCACAGCAAACATCCTGGTTCTCATGGCTGCCCGGCTGTGGTTGGCTCTCCTCCATTGGATGCATGGAAACAGAGGGAGGATGCTGCTTCATCAAGGCGGGTGTGGGGCTAGATCAGCATTCCCCCATCTGGGATCCCCCAGAAGTGCCAGACCAGACCTCCTGTCAGTCCCAGGCAAAGCAGCCAATAGTGAGAGATGGTAGGAGTCGTACTCCAAAACATCTGGAGGACATCAAGGTGGGAAAGGTTTAACCAGAGGATTTGCAAGTTCCCTTCCAGTTCTGATTTTAAGCTTCCAGGTGGCTCCCAATTAGCCATATCTTTCTCTTTACATCTCACCAGTGGCCATCAGAAGTCAGAATCATCAGCTTAATGGATCCATTGCTTTGACCTAGCATGGTGATCCTCCAGATGTTCTTCTTGTTGATCATTGAGCTAACACTTATAAGATTAATAATAACAATTATTCAGGGGTTCAGAAGCTCAGGCACAGCAGCCAACAGTGGCCCATGGGAGTTCCCAAGAAAGCCACATCTCCCCCTCCGGGCCCAACCCCCTTTTTGTGAGTGACCGCCAACGCTCCTTCAGGCTTTCGTGGATGCTTTGCCATTTTGAAAGGCTGACATGCCACTTCCAAGGCTGAGTTGCTGCATTAAGCTTTGAGTTAAATTCAGGGGCGTTTTGGCCCCTCCTGCCTGGGGTGAAGCCCCTGGGAACTTCCGGGAACCTCAGCTTGGCCCTTGGGCTGAAAGAGGCTCCGCACTCCCGTGACAGGTGGTCCGGGGTGTGTTTCAGCAAGTCTTGCCACTCGATTCTTGTAAGGGGAGCCTTTAGGGTCGCACTATTGGGGGCTGGGAAGGGCTGCCCTGTGTGACGCCAACTGGCAAGTTTCCCCGTGAGTAGAGAAGCTTTTGACGGGCACCTGGGAAGATGGGAAGCGGTGCAGCTGAACCCAAATGGGTTCAGCACTGTGGATACACCCCTCCTGCAGCGGACACCGAACCCCGTGGACGTGGCGCCAGCAGCCACTGCTCGTGAGAAGCTGCCCGCTGCCACCCACCCGTGGGCTCATGCAACCCAGTGTTGCTGACACGGGTTGGCAGAGGAGGCCAGATTTTCCAGCCCCACCAGGAGAGGCCGGGAATCCAACCCGGAAGTTGCTGCTCAGAGCATCCACGCTCGCAGGCAAAGCCGGTGGTCAACCGAGCTTCCTAGCTCACTCAGGGAACATGCCGCCTGGGGATGATGGGAGTTGCAGTCTGACACATCAGGCTGGAGAAGCCTTTACTGTGCTGCCGCACACACTGCTTTTCCGTTTGCAGTCACTCGCCAGTTTATATGTAGTTTATATGACTCTGCCGTGCCTGCCAGCTTGGATAAGGGGAACTGCTATCTGACCCTAACGCCAGATCCCTCCATCTGCAACTTTTATGGGGAGAGAACTGGGGAATATTCAGGATGTGGGCTGAAGAGGGCTTTGGCGAGAGAGCTGCTCTTAGCTCCCACCGCCAGGAGCAGCTTCCTCAACGTGTGGCCTACAGCTCCCATCTTCCCCACATGCTGGTCAGGGCTGGGGCTGTTGTGGCCTCAGCAAGCCCAGAGGGCTCCCCCCGAGTCCTTGTCCTAGGCACCGTATCCGTGTCTTTCCCAGCTTGGGAGGGATCGGCTGCTTCAGGGAAGCTCAGGCTTGAACCCAGAAGCGCTGGGCAGGGCTGCCAAGGCCCGGAGGCCCCGGAGGGCTTTCGCCAGGGCCGACCCGACGGCATGGCCGCCCCTGACCCCCTGCCTGGCGTGCTTGCGTTTCCCTGCAGTACGACCACCTGGACTCCGACTGGCTCGGGATGCCTCCGCTGCCCTCCCCGCGCTGCCTCTTTGGACTCGGCGAGGCTGAAAACTGCATCTTCGTGGTCGGGGGGAAGGAGCTGAAGGAGGGGGAGAAGACGCTGGACTCGGTCATGTGCTACGATCGCCTGTAAGCGCCACAGGGATTTTGGGTGGGAGGGCTCCTCCGGCTTGTGCCGCTCCAAGGAAGCAGGACTTGTGTCCGGCGAGCCTTCTAGATGTGTGGGACCGCAATCCCATCCCCACTCAGCACGTCCAAGGGCTGCGCTGACCAGAGGATGATGGAGGCTGCAGTCCAGAACATCTGAAGGGTCCCATGTGCAGGGAAGGCTGGCATCAGTTGGACCTGGCCAAATCTGGTGATCTTTTCGTGGTCCGGGTTGATCCTGGGAACTGGCTCTTGATTCTGAGCACATCCAGACCGTCCAAACCAGGGCACTTTGCACAAGACAACCAAACCAATAAGCAGTGAAACAGTGGCATGGTGGCCTAGTGGTTGGAGTGTTGAGCTGGGACTCCTCCAGAGGCCTGGGTTCTAATTCCCATTTAGCCATGAAGCAAGCTGGGAGACTTTGGGCCGGTCCCTGACCCTTAGCCTGGCCTACCTCTCAGGGTTGTTGTGAGGATAAAATGGAGAGGGAAAGGACCATGTGAGCCTTCTTGGTAGCGGGGGAAAAAGGGGGGGGTATCAGGGCGATAATATAATGCAGAGCAGCCCCATTGCAATCAATGGGGCAACTTAACCAGGACCAATGATTCCCACTGAGTTCAGTGGTTCTAATCTAGGAATGACTAAAATGGAGTTCCCACCCATTCTGTTAATCATGTTTGGAAAAAGGAAGAAAGGTACTTAATGCCACCATGTTTGTTTTGAAGGAAAAGGGGCTGCAGGGCCCCGATCCGGGGTGAACTTGCGAGCACCACTTCTGGTGCATCCAAATCGGAAGTGTGGGTTTGGGTGGGTACCTGCAGCTGCTTTTCCTTCCAAATAAGACCATGAGTGTTGGGTTATGCTTGTGTTTGTTTATTTTTAAAGTGTGATTAATTTAATGTGCAATTCAGCCATATGTTCCTCTTTGGTGTGACCACTGGATGAAGAAAAATTTTATTGGCTTTAAAAAGAAAGCTTTTTGGATTATTAGCTTCCTCGAATGTCACTTTCTTGGTGGAAAGGCAAGCTATGAATCAAATAAGTGTATATGGGAGGGAGTGAAGAGCAGAGAATTGGAGGAACGGTGGAAAGACGGATTTGTGCCAGGGCAAGAAAGCGGCTCAGCTCCTGCACTTTTAGCCCTGCTCTGGCAGCCTGGAGTTCAACAGGCGCATCTTTTCCTAATATGGAGATGAGGTGATGGGAAACTCTCCTGTTGGATGCTTGCCTGTCTGGATGCTGCAAAAACCATAAAAGAAAGATGTCATGGGCATGGGCAGAGATGCTGGGATGCAGGACAGGAGACCGGATGGCTGAGTCCCCAACAGAGAGGGGTGCCGTATCCAAACTCGAGCTATGGGAATCTCCTGACTTTCCTCTCCTCAGGAACTTCAAATGGGGTGAGGCGGACCCCCTCCCTTACGCAGTCTATGGGCACGCCGTGGTGTCCCACAAGGACCTCATCTACGTCATAGGAGGAAAAGGAAGCCACAAGTGAGTACAGAGAACCAGGGAGCGTGTAGTGCACCTTCCATTTTTAACATCTTCCCCCGCAGCAGACGCTCCCCAAGAAAATCGTGTATTTTGCCTTCTAAAATGAGTGTTCCCAAATGGCGTCATGGGTTCCTCCTGAGTAAATGCTATTGTGCAGCAGTGCAGCAGTTGAGAAGACACAGTGTGGCCAGGGAAAAGTCAAGATTGCCCCCCAAAAAGGGGGTGGGGAATGCCAGACAGGAGACTATGCCAGCCTGCCTTTCTGGTCCCAGAGCCTCTGCCTGTCCCACCGCTGGGAGGTGGTTCCCCAGCCAGGGCCTGGGCGCCATCAAGTGGCATCAGGTGCCATCAATAGGTGCCATCAAGTCATCCCCACCTTATGGTGGCCCCACAAATGGGCCCATGACCGCTCTGCTTGGCTCTTCCAACCTCAAGACTGTGGCTTCCACTATGGGGTGGAACATCTCCAGTTGGCCTTCCTTGTCTTCAGTTCTCCTGAGCATTCCTGCAGGGACATGATCACCCACACTCTAAATCTAGTGACCCGGAAGGGGTCCCTATGTTCACATGACTCCAGTCCTCCGTCAGCTTCACTGGCTCCCCAATGAAGTCCGGGCCCAATTCAAGGTGTTGGTGATGACCTATAAAGCCCTAAATGGCTTGGGTCCTGGTTACCTGAAGGAGCGCTTATGGCCCACCTGCCCCTTGAGATCAGCGGGAGAGGCCCTTCTCCGGGAACCCTCCGTGAAAGAAATCAGGAGGGTGGGTACTCGGAGGAGGACTTTCTCTGCGGTGGCACCTAAGCTATGGAATGTGCTCCCCAGAGAGGTCCGCCTGGCGCCGTCGTTATATGTTTTTCGGTGCCAGGCAAAGACCTTTTTATTCAAACGTCAATGTAATTGCTAATATTATTTATTTATTTTATGTCTTTGGCCAGGTCGTCTCAAATTATATTGTTATTATATTGTGATTATTCATTTATGGTTGTGAGCCGCCCCGAGGCTTTGGCGAATGGGGCGGCATAGAAGCTTCCTAAATAAATAAATAAATGAGGGCTCCTTCTTGAGTGCATGCTAGGCAGAAGCTGGGCAGAAGCAGAGCATGTAACCTTCCAGATGTTTCAGACTATAACTCCCATTAAGCTTCGCTGGGGTAGGAATCATAGCATTTCTAGACCTCAACATCTGGGGGGACACATGTTGCTTACCCCTGGCCTTGAGGAATGCTAGACAGTTGACCCATGAGTGGTCCATGCACAGTTCTTAGCACATCACTGGCTGAATTGTTCTCATCTTTTTCCTACTGCAGGAAGTGCCTCAACAACATGTCAGTGTATGATCCAAAGAAGTTTGAGTGGAAAGAGCTGGCTCCCCTGAAATTGGCCCGTTCGCTTTTTGGGGCAACCGTTCACAACAACAAAATTTATGTAGCAGCTGGAGTGACCGACTCTGGTTTGACCAACTCGGTGGAAGTTTACGACATCGCAAAGAACAAGTACGTGCGCCACTCGGAAAGATCTCCTCCTTTCATTTGTGTACTCTGTATCGAGTCATTATTATTTCATTTCCATGCCACCTTGTAGGTGAAGCTTTCTGGGTGGTTTACAGCTCAGGACTCCTCCATCCATGACTTTTCTCCCCCTCCCCGAATTTAGAGCTACCAAATTTTGTGAGATGGGTTTGGCTGAAAGAGTGGCCAAGGTCACTCCTGGTGCTTCTGGTTGAGTGAGAATATGAACCAGGGACTTCCCTCAATCCTAGTCCAAGACTTGGCCTTCTCCACCCTTATTGCCCTGCAAGATTTAAGAAAGATGCAGGAAAACTTGAAAGGGTCTAGAGGAGGGCAGCAAAAATGATCCAGGGGTTGGAGACACTGCCCCGTGAGGAGAGACTGGGAGAACTGGGCATGTTCAGCCTTGAGAAGACTAAGAGGGGACATGAGCTCCCTCTAGAAGGACCTCAAAGGCTGTCACAAAGAGGAGGGCCAAGATCTCTTCCTGCTGATGCCAGAGTGCAGGACACGGAATAATCAAGTCAAGTTGCGACAACCCAGATTCAAGCTGGACACCAGGAAAAGTTTCCTCATAGTCACAGCAATACGACAGTGGACCAGCTGCCTGGAGGGGTGGTGGCTGGGTCATTCAGACATTCAGAAAGAAACTGGGCAGCCCTCTGAGTGGGATGGTGCAACGTGGTGTCCTGCAACAGCAGGGGGTGGACTTGATGGCCTTCATAGCCCCTTCCAACTGTGATTCCATGATCAAAGCCCGGCCATCACACAGAGCAGTGCCAGGAACTCTGCATCCTTCACCGAGTCTTTATTGGTGCATCATCACAGAATAAGCGCCACCCCAGCCTTCTGTAGGGCCCCTCTGGGTACTGAGAGAGGTCTGCGCTGGGGTCTGTTCTGCCCCCAAACACTGCCGGTCTTCTGAACCTTTGCAGATGGGAAGCCTTCACCGAATTCCCCCAGGAGCGCAGCTCTGCTAGCCTGATCAGCTTGGCCGGCACCCTCTACCTGATCGGAGGCTTTGCCACTGTGGAGACAGAGTCAGGGGAGCTGGTCCCCACGGAGCTCAACGACGTCTGGAGGTAAGGCGACCATCGGCCCCTCCGTCGGGCTTGGACGGGAGCCAAGGCAGCCGAGCGGGTGGGTTTCTGTGCGTTCTTTTCACGCACCAGGAGCCACCTCGCGTAGGCCACACCCAGCCAGATAGATGGCTGAGCTTGGATCACAAGAACACAAGGAGGACCACAAGAGCACAAACATGTCATCTCATGTTTGTCTCTGTCGATGGATTTTGCCTCATTTGGTCTTCAGCACAAGGATCACAGAATGTGCCGTCTTGCAAGACCTCCAGAGTCTCTCTCTACCTTCTCAAGAGTCTGGACCATCCAGGCATCCAGACAATGGCACCCAGTTGGTCTTCTTCCCATCCTCCTTTTTGTAATATCGCATTCAGTGAAACCCTGGCAAGTTCAAAAGATTGTACATTTTTGTGACCCTTGAGTTGGTCTAATCAAGCTGGATTTTGGGATTTTTCTTACGGCCAAGACAGCGGCCACATTTCCTGCGGGTTCTTTAAATCAATTTAGTTCCCTTTGGGGGCATTTTTTGAGTTGGGAGCAATGACGTGTACCTGCACTGACCTGCAGTAGTTTTGCCTGGCAAGGGTCTTTTTGGAATTCTTGATCCATTCACCTGAATAATTTGCTGTCATCTGCAAATGAGACCATCTGACTCCTAACCCAGGTCACAAAAGAACCAATGAAAAGGCACCCGTCCCAAAATTTAATGCTTATTTAAAATTATTTGTTGCCTGTCATTAATGGTAGAAGTGTCCCAAAAGGCTGAGTAAAGGATGAAGGAAATGAGTTGTACAAATTTCTTGATGCATTAAATCAAATTTCCCCATCCTGGTGTTGGGTGACAACTCCCAGAATCCAAGCTTGGCTGGCTCGGGAATTCTTGGAGTTGCAATCCAACAGGCACAGAGCTGGACAAGGCTGTACTAACATCTCAAGTTTTCGCATCTGTGAATGGGATCACAGGAAGTTCATCCCGAACTCATCCGACTTTGTGGGGGCTTTTCCAGGTACGATGAAGAAGGGAAGAAATGGGAAGGGATCCTTCGAGAGATCCAGTACGCATCCGGTGCCACTTTTCTGCCAGTGCAGCTCAACGTCTTGCGGCTGACCAAGATGTAATCGGGACGAGGCGTCGCTGCTTCTCTCCGCTTTCTTTTGTACCTCTGCATTTGAAGATTTGAAGATGCTGTGCTACTTCTCTGTTTTGTTAGATAAAACGGAAAAAGATGCGACATTTTGTGGTTCTCTGACTAAGAAAAATCATGTGTGGGTGGGGCAGCATTCAGGAAAGGAATACTTTCTGACTGAAAAGGGAGGGAGGGAGGACGGATGGACGGACGGACGGCAGGAAGGCAGGCAGTGGTGATGGCCAGCCCTTTTGGCAGGTGGAGTGCTGGTCCAGTTCATTACAAGCTGAGCCCATTATGGTATTCTGGAGTCCTGGTGAGTCTTGGGCTCTGGGTCCTGGCATAGGGTTCCCATTAACCCAGCTCTGGAGATCGCAGCAGCCCCACATGGGCGAGACACACAGGTTCCCGTCTCCTGGGCTAGGTATTCCACGAGCGACCCTTCCCACAGTGCTCGAGCCACATGGGGCAAACAACTGGAATTCCATGGAAGGCTCAGATGGGTTCCCAGCGGCCACGGCTCTGAGCTGGAGATTCAGAAGGCAGAGCCCTGGGTGCAAGAGGAGGGGTCTTGGCAGGGCAGGGCTGTGCTGGCTGGCTGAAGCTCCATGCAACAAAGAATTAACAAGCCAGGCAGAAAACTGGCCTTCTTAGCGCATCGCCTCCTCCAAAGATCTCGCTCCTTTCCCACAGAAACCCCCAGACTTTGGATTTGCTGCTGTGATCCAGACAATGCTGACTGGAGACAAAATCTTTTCCCTGCTAAGCATGGAGAAAATGAGCCTCATTTGGCATTTGGAGTGACCGACTGGACAAAAGGGCTTTTCCCCTACTGGGAGAGGAGCACGGCTTGAAAGTTGGTGGTGGGAGGGCTGGGGATCCCCCTGCCCCGCTCCGCTCCGTATCTGCACGGCAGAAGCTCCTCGCACTTGCGCTGGAATTGCTCATCCCAGTCCTGAATGTTTCTGACTCTCCAAGAGCTAGATTCGGGGTCCCTTCGGAACAGGCAAGACACTGCGCTCCTGGATCCAGAAAGCTCTGTTTAATTTAAGTGTGTGACTTATAGCTTTCCATTCGTGGAAAAAATATCCCTAACAAAACAGAAGATGCAGGCGAGTGTTAAGCTGGAGTGCAACATGCTTTGCCGTGGAACATTTTGCCTCTCCTGATGTAGGATGGATCACAGCTACGAAAAGAATTAAGATGGGGAAGATGGTCAAGGTCCTTTGCCTGCAAATAGCCTGTGATTATCAAACCTTGGACAGACAGCCATCCACTGGAACGTGCCCATATTTGCTTGGCAACGTATGGCTTCCCAGAGAAACATCAACAGAATTTCAGAAAACTTGCAGTGATGGGAGACCCCTGAACCACAGGCCAAAAGTGGTCCACAGGTAGCTTTTCCCTAGCACCGGAATGGAAATGGAAACCCCACTGCCATGGGCTAGGAAGAGCTGTGTTTTCATGCCAAGACGGCAGGCACACGTGCTCTCAGCTCCTCCCTGCCTGTGGACACAGACCCCTGGGATGGGAGGGGCAGGGCTCTGGAACGGAGCCGTTCCTGGATGCGATCTGCTCCCTCAGCCCTGCCTCTTGGGAACCGAGCTGAATAGTAAAAACCTTCCTCTGAAAAGGGAAGCTGCCCTAAACGGGTTGGCCCAAGGAAACAGCATTTGAAAAGATGCACGCACTGCAAATACCCCCCGAGGCACCTGCTCCTCCTCGATGCAGAAGGGAAGAACCTCTGTGCCTTATACAGAAATGCAAATAAATTCATGCAATGATTTCTGTCCATAAGCCCTCCCTGCATTCATGCCGATGCGTGTAGATGAATATACAGTATTTATGCATCGCTATTCAAGGAGTCTCATTTCAGCGTTGCTGCCTTCATTCTCCTTTCAACATCTTGGAGAACAGACACTCGGCCACAGCCGCCATTTCTTGTGAAGGAAATCCAACCCAGGTGTGTTGGTGTTTGTGTCACACCGCCATCAATGCCACGTTCCACGTGGGTCGCTTGGGTTTGCCATAAACTGCACTGGAGGTTGGCCAAGAGAGCCGATTCACACTTGACTGGACACTCCAGCTTTTTGTAATCCTTACAAACAACCCTGCAAGGTAGGCCAGTATTATCACCGCCCCATTGCACAGAGCAGGGAGTTTGCAGATGAAGCCAAAAGACGCTGACACAACAAACTACTAATTTCAAGGCAAAGGTGAGATACCACCACTCTACACGACTCTGGTGCGCCCGCAACTGGAGTGTTGTGTTCAGTTTTGGGCCCCTCGTTACAGGAAGGATACAGCCAGGTTGGAGTCAGTGCAGCGCAGGGCCACAAGGTTGGTGGCCGGTTTGCAGGGGAAGCCGTATGAAGCGAGACTGAGGGAACTGGGTCTCTTCAGCCTGGAGAAGAGGAGACTCAGAGGGGATCCGTTGGCGACACACAGGCATGCGAGGGGGCGTCACACGGAGGTGGGTAGAGACCTGTTCTCCCCTGCAGAGGAAGGCAGGACGCGCTCCAAGGGAGCAAAGCTCAGGGAACCTAGGTTCAGTTTGGATGCCACGAAGCACTTCCTGATGGTTAGGACCCCGAGGGTGTGGAATGGGCTTCCCCAGGAGGTGGTTGAGGCCCCATCGGTGCAGGTGTTCAAGGATAGGCTGGACGTCCACATGGCGGGCATGTCGTGAGCAGAGCCAGCTGGTGCCAGAGGTCAGACTAGATGGCCCGGGAGGTCCCTTCTGACTCGCTCTGTTTTCTCTGTTTCTATTTAAACTGCCAACATGGATAGCTGCAAGGGTCTCCCAGCTCCTGGAAAATCTCGGTCCAGGGCAGCAGACAGCAGCTCCTCTTATCTCCTACGTGCAACCAGAGACGACAAGACTGGTGGTTCGTGCAAGACACCTTTCTGAAGTGTGTCCACCATCACTTTTGCAGAATATTATTGCTAGTGCAAAAGTCTCTGTGTGCGCCTCTGTAAGTTCTTCTAGTGGAGAGAGGTCCCACGTGACCCTCAATGGGTCGCCATGGGTCAGTGCAAACACAACAGACATCAAGGAGTCGAATGAGTTGGAAGTTATTTAAACCAATTTTATTTATTTCTTTTTTAAAAGCAAAGTGTCACCACTTCTGAGAAGGGTCAACCTTTTTTGGAGTAACGGGGCTACAGGCCTAGGAGGAGAAGGGGAGCTGGATGAGAGGGGCTCGGAGCATCTCCGAGGGACCCGAGCTCAGGCAGGGAACACCTGTTCCCGGTGTCTCTCTGCTGGCTGGACAACGCTTTCCAGAAACTTCTGGAGCTTTGCTGGTTAATGCTAATAAGCAGGTGGGACCAAAGGCAAGGGGAACATCAGGCAGGGTGCGGGAGATTTTAAACCCTTACCTGATATGCCCCCAAATCCACATGCTGCCTCCGCTTTTCCTCCTAGCAGCTCCCCAGTTGGTTTTAGTGGCGTCTCAGACCCCAGCCGGAGAGGTCAGAAAAGCGGAGAGGGCTAGAAGGAAGTTTCTGGGGGGTGCCAGTGGGTCCCCAGCATCACCCAGCCTGCTGAGGGCTGGGTGGGAGATGCGACCCTCTCACTCCAGATCAGTCCCCCACTCCGGCGGTAGTGTTACTCGGCAAAAAGGGGAAGAAAAGCGGTGACCCCAGTGAAGGGAAGCACCCTTGGTACCAGGGTACCTCCCTGCGGGCGTCCTGAAGGTGATGCTGGAGAAATACAAGAGAAGCCAGAATGAGTTCTGGTGGAGTACCGCTTCCCCCACAGGTTAGAAATAAAAACATATGCAGGTTATATGTGTGATTGTTAAAACGAAAAAATGCAATATATTTTCTAGAACATTCCTTAAGATGCCTCTTGAGCAACAAAAAAGGTCTCAGAACTCAGCTCCACCTTCCCGCCCATCTCAGTCCTTCAAGATCCATACAGAATAAAGTGCTTCGTTGTGATTTTTTTTTCACACTAGAAGAGAGCCACCAATACACAATTCCCACCCCACCCCCCTTCTTGGCATATCTGGGCAACTGAGAACGAATGCCAGAAATCTGCTACCCCTCCAAGTATCAGGCATTCAGAAAATTAGCTTGAGGCATGTGAAATAATTGTTTGCTTGTTTCTTTGTCATTCTTTTGGGCTGATACATGCTACTGACGTTTTGAGATAGAAAATGCACTCTTCTTCTCCCAGTGTTAACCCCCGCTCTATAGTCTCTTGAAGAGGTCTATCCAAGGAGGATCATACTGGGCAGCCTGCTTTCAGGCTAGCCGAAGGCAAGAGAAGTCAACGCTTCTTCCCCGAAGAGTTCAATCCCGTGCTGTCTGTCTGTCCCAACACCCTGCCACGAGACTTCATTGCACCATCTCGACCTTCCTGCTCCAGCCACAACGTCTTCGCTTCGTCCTTCCTTGTCCGTGCACGTGTTATGGCTGTTATTCCAGGGACCAGCCCTGCTCGAGTTCACAGAAACACAACAAAACATACGTAAAGAGGCAAAGAGGTCTGGATGTCTGAGAGGGAAAGGATTCCCAGGTTCGGGGGGCGGGGGAAAGAGGAACAACACCAGCCCTCTGCCCCCAAAGCAGATTTCCAATGGAACTCCTACAAGGTCCATGCGCACGGACAAATTCCGCGCACTGTTTCTGCAAGCTGACGGGACAACGCCACCCTCGTGCTGCTGGGGCTCAAGCTCCGCCCACCCCCGCCGGGTCGGAAGGGGCACACGCCACAGAAGTGAATGGAGCTGGCTCAACAGCGGCGCTCCGGGGAACTGGCCCCGAGCCGATGTTCCGCCAGCTGCCACAGAGCCTAGAATAACTTACGAGCATCCTATTGAGGAAGGGTTATTATGATGGATTAATAAAGTGCAAAGAAGGTTAAAATAATAGATTCATAACTTTTTTTAAAAAATTAAAAGGCCAGGCGTCTTTCCCCCAAGCTGGATCAAGCAAGTCCATCGGAGGAAACCTAGGCGTGGGATGTGTCCAGAGGCGCTTTCGTATGTTAAGGCCCGGCAAGGACAAGATCCCTCTGCTGGAATCCAGGAAGGATGTAGACCAAGTGCTGGAAGCGGATCCCTGAGCCCAGGTCTGTTTCTCTTTACTCTAAACCTTTTCTCAACGCTGAATCGGACGCTGCTGAATGTGCCATTCAGTCGTCTCTTACGGCAACCCTATGAGCAAGAGCCCTTCAAAATGCCTTATCCGTGACAGCCCCACTCAGCTCGCCTCAACTCCAGGCTGAGGCTTCTTCTCTAGAGCCAGAGCATCCGGGACGCCTTGCTCGAACCTACGCAGGCAGGCAACGGCTTGGGCGCACGGACCAAAACGGAGACGACCGAGGTGGGGCGGAGACCAAAGCCTCTGTCCTTTTTGCTGCACAGGCGGTTCAAAAAGGGAGTAGTTTTTTGCCGGCACCCGTTCCGTCAGTGCGCAGCAAATACGGCAGCTGAGGAACGGCAGGGCGTGCTGAACAGCCGGTGATCCGCTGCGCCGCGTGGGAACGGAGGCCTGTTTCGGGGGCAAGCAAACGTTTGGGGTCGTGGGCACGGCTGCCATGCTGCTGAGATGCTGCCCCGGCTACCAACTCAGGAGGGCTGTCACTGGGAGCACAGCAAAAGAGACGGAACTTGTCCCAGTTCAAAGCTCTGACTTTATATGGTGAAGGGAGGTTTCGAAGCCCAGCCAGTGAAATAGCTCCTTTAAGGAGACTTCTTTGGGCCCCAACTGAATCTGGCCCTACCTCTGAAAAACCTGCAGTCTTTACTGTCATTTAGTGCCCAGCACATGGGGTCAGATGGACATGTGGTCCAACGTGCTGTAGGGTCACCTCCTACATCAACCGGGTTAATTAAAAATAGTATTAGGAAGGGGTAAGATGCCGAGAAAGGAGCCTGGGAATTTTCTGCCACCTGTGGGCATCCATTCGCCACTGCTCGCCTGTCAAGTGCCCATGGGAAGTCATTTGCAACCAGGTGCTCCTGCTTGCATGCCCCAGCATACTGCCTCCGAGAGGGGAGGGCGCATGGAGCCTTCACAATCAGCCACTGGTGCCATGAGGAGCAGCCTTTCTCTGCCACGAATTTGTCTAATAAAAAGCGATGGAGAGAAAGGGACAAATGAAAGGCTGGTCTTGAGAAGACGCGAGGACCAAATCGGAAACCTCCGTGGCCGCCTCATGACCTTCACTCTTCTCTTCCACTTTTTGTGCTTCCCTTAAACAGAAAACATGGAACTACGTGGCTTCCCTGCTAAGCTTTTTCGCTCAAACCAAGGATCCGTGGCCACAAGCTCCAGAGGAAACACACATGCTCTTTCTATGCCCCCCAACACACACACCTGGCGGGACAGGTGAGGAAGAGAACGGCTTGCCAAACAGCCTCAGCCCTTCCCCAATTCGCCAGCACCAGCACTTGGTCTACATGCTTGCAAGATGCGGCCTTCCGGCCTTGAGCAGCAAAGACGGCTCCTATTCCGGGCTGAGCGGCTCACGCCCTTCAAGCTGAAGACGGAAGATCACACCTGGCCAGAACACAAACGAGACCAAATAAAGAAAACCCGATCCAAGCTCTTCCCCCGGGTGTCAGTGGTATTTGTGCCGGAGACGCCGGACAGGCCCTTCCGGAACGGCAGACCAGTTTTATGCACGCTCTCGGGGGGGCCTAGTTGTTCAAGTTCACGCGGCTACCGGAGAAGAGAGGTGGCGGCGGCGGTAAGAGAGGCGGCGGAGGGACGCTCTGTGCATGCACAGGCATGTGCGGCAGGGGGAGGGCATGGGCATGTGGCGCTGCGGAGTGGAAGGGGACCCCGGCCGGCAGCTGGGGCGAGAGAGCGCTCTGGGCCGCGGGGAGCCCCAGGGAGCCGGTGTCGCTGTTGGTGCCGGGCTCCGCGGGCCCGGAGCTGCTGACCCGGAAGCACTTCTCCTTGTGGGCCTTGAGCATGTTGGAGAACCGGAAGCGCTGGCCGCAGGTGTCGCATGGGTACGGCTTCTCCCCCGTGTGCGTCCGGCGGTGGCGCTTCATGTTGGGGCGGCTGGTAAAGCTCTTCCCGCAGATCTCACAGATGTACGGCTTTTCGCCTGCGGGAGGGAGAAAAGGGTTGGCGGCGCTGCCTCAGGTCTCCCACACACGCCCTGCGATTCTGACCCCGCGACCACTATGAGGCCGAGCGCAGACAAAATATTACTGCAACCGTGTTTTCAAATATGTCAAATGGATGTTGGAAATGCAAACATAAACCGGGTACCTTCTATCGTATGTGGTGGACTTGTGATAAGGCAAAAAAAACTGGGCGAACATTCATAAATGGCTTGAGGAAATGTTACAAAAATCTTTAATATTTAAACCTGACATCTTTTTACTAGGTATTGTACCTGATGATGTTGATAAACAAGCTATGCATTTGGATTTTGGTAAATATGGTGGCAAGGATTGCATTTGCCCAACATTGGAGGAGTGAAGGACCACCCACTGATGAACTGATTTTAAAAAAGATTCTGGACTGCGCTGAAATGGACAGTCTGACTTTGTCTCTGAAGGAGAAAGAGGATACAGACTTCTATCAAACTTGGAACTCTTTTTATCATTGGCTAGAGAAACGGGACTATGCATAGATCTGAATATATTTATGGATTGCTATAAAAAAAATAATAATGGGGGGCTGACCCAGCAGGTCTGATGGTTCTGATGATTTTTTTTAATTTCTTTTAGTTTGTAGAAAATAATAATAAAATTTATTCAAAAAAAATTAATGCAACCGCTGGGGGCAAGTCTTCTCCCACAGTGTGTGCATGGGGCACAGAAACCTCCCCTTAGTTTAGGAGATGCTTTCGATGCCCGCACCCCCAGGACTTGTGGGGTGGCATCTCAGGGGCACGACAGAGAGAATTTCTGCACTGCGATTCACCAGCGTCGGCCAATGGCGATGTTTTTTGCAAAAATGTTTCCCAATAGTCAAATGATTCGTTATTATTTGGTTTGCATTTTGTTTCATATTTTAACATCGGCTGCTGTGCGACTGTGACGCTTATTTCTATTTTATTTTATTTTATTTTATTGATCTGTTGTAAACCCTCCCGAGACGTCTGTGTTGGGAGGGTATAGGAAAGTTTTAAATAAAATAAAATAGATTCAATTGCCATTCCTCAATCAGGCAAAATCTAGGAATGACCGGAATCCACAGGCAGAGTTGCAGGTCACAATCAGCAAGAAAGTTCCACATTTGGACAAAATTGTGAATGCGAAACAGGTAGAAAAGTGTCATTGAATTTTCTGTTCAAAACTGGGATTGACATTACATTTTTTTTAAAGGCTCGATTTATATTTTAATTTAATGCACTGGGTTAAAAGTTTGAGGTTAGCTTATTCATCTGCAGTACTGTATGCAGTTCCATTTGTGGTTCAAAAATTAGAAATTGGATGTGATATTACTTTTGTAGGGGCTGTGAACATAAATCAAATTTTTTTAGGGGTGCGGGGCATGGAAAAGGTTGCGAACCACTGCTTTAAGGAACTTATCTGCCTTTTCTCTAAATATTTGCTTGCTGCGATTTTTACAAAAAATTCCATTTTAAAGAGAAGAGTTGTGAAACTGCACCACAGATGGGATACAACACAAGGGGCGGTTCACAGGGTCCCTGACACCAGCTGGTCGTTATTGTGCAGAGCTAATGCCCACTCTAAACTCTCAGAAACCGTTTCTCTTGTGCTCAAATTCATGAGAGGTCCAGAAAATGTGGAGCGTGACCGTCCGCGGCACCAGACGCTCGACTCTGAATGCACGAAGCTTCCAGTTGTGGGGAAACGGCCTGGACAAGCCAGAAATGCCCCCCACACAGAGTAAAATTACTCCACAGCTCTCCTGGCTTCCAAGAAATCACGGAAATGCGTTTGTAAGAACCTCCACCTGCTGGCAGTGAGCTTGTTAAAGCCCCCGTCCAAAGTTTTCAGTAAGAAAATAAAGTTTACTCACCAACGCAGTTTACATGGTGGGGTGTGGTCGGGGGCGTTGGATTGGGACCCCGGAAACCCAGGTCCTAGTCCCCACCCAGCCATGAAGCTTCTGGGTGACTTTGGGCCTGGCCTTGACTTTTGTCCTAACCTACCTCACAGGGTTGCAGTGAGGATAAAATGGGGAGGAAGAGGAAGAGCAGGATTATCTAAGCCACCTTGCTTTCTTCGCACAGGGAAAAAAGCAGGGTATAAATAACACGGAAAATATAACATCCTATCCCATTGCAGCGATTTGAAGCATAACAACAAACCCAGCCAGTCAAAAGCCGACTGCTTTTGTAAATAAACATGTCTTTAAACATGTGTTTTAGAAGAGACACAGCAATTGCTGCTCTCCTTGACGGCGGCTGCATACAGGGGCAGAGGCTACCACCGAGAATGCACCGCCTCATGTCCAATTCCTCCTCTTGCTTTGGCAGTGTTGGAAGGGAAACAGGCAGGGCATCCTCTTCAGATCTCAGAACTGCCTCATGGAGGCGCTACGCTGGCAGGAATTTCAGATTTTTCTTTGCGTTCGAGCAGCTACCTTCTTTTTGTTTAAACTTGTTATACAGAGACCGTGTGGTGGGGTAGCGAGAGTGCTGGACTGGGGAGATCCGGGTTCTAGTCCGCACTTGACCATGAAGGTCGCTGGGTGGCTTAGGGGAGTCACAGGCTCTCAGCCCAACCTACCTTACAGGGTTGTTGTGAGGATAACATGGAGCTATGGAAGCCACCGCCGATCTCACAGGAGGGAAAAAGGCAAGGGACACATGGCATATTAAAAGGAGGAGGAGGAGGAGAGGCACACACCAAATTATTATATTGCTATGATAATAAGAAAGGGCTTGCCAGGGTCCCTCTGACGTTCGGGCTGGGGGAACGGGGCAAACCGCAGTGTGCAGCTGATGCGAACAACCCACAAATTTTGCACACACGTTGCAACGGCGACCGTGGGAAAGCGGGTTGGGCTGGTGGGAGGAGTGCGCACCTGTGTGCGTTTTCATGTGCTCGTCGAAGTACTGCTTCATGTTGAAGTCCTTCCCGCACCACTGGCACATGAACTGCTTGTGGCCGATGTGGATGCTCATGTGTGAACGCAGCTGGTACTTGTACTGGAATCGCTCGTTGCAGTTCTGGAAAGAGAAGGGACGGTGCGGCAGGATTCAAACGGGAGAGACGCTTGCAGGGAGAGCGCGCGGCGCGCACGAGTGTGGGCCCTCCTTGCTGGAATGCAGCCCCTGCAACTCACATGCGCATATCGTGCCGTGTTTCGATTGGGTTCCTGCCTCTTGGCATGTCTGCCTGTCTTCCCACCTCCCCGCTGCACCCACACAACAGTCCTGCAAGGTAGGTTAGGTTGAGAGAGTGGCTAGCCCAAGTTCACTGAGGTGACCTTCCACCTGGGACTCCGGTCAAGCCCGAGAGCAGAGCCGCCACAACACGCAGGCCCTGCTTCTAAAACCAGCGGGTGAAAACACACCGCTCCCGTCTGGGTTTCAGGAGGAACCTGGGGCAAGTGTTTCACCACACCTCGCTGGACATCTTGGCAGGGCCACTGGGAACCGGAAACATTGGCTTTCTGGCCCAGGGTGGCAGCCCACAGACCGCCAATGGGGCAGCCCCACGGTGCCGGGATGGCAACTGCTTCCTCTGCGAGAGTTTCTTTAAACAGAAAGGGTGGATTCACACACAGGAAGGAGACACCATGCAAGGCTGTCCCTCCGGCTGCGGCAGCGGCCGCCATTTTGAATATTCGCGCTGAGGAGGGGAAAAGGGGACGGCTTGTCAGTACATGTGAGCCCAGCAAGGGTAGGTGACTGCGGGGCTGGACAAGTTATCCATGGCCCTAAAGCAGCCGAGGGGACCCCGGTGCCTGGAAAGTCACAGAAGAAGCAGTGTTGCTGCGGCCGGACAGGGTTCGCACTGGAGTCTCCTTGGGACCGCTTCCTGAATGTTCCTCACGACCTTTTCAGACGGTTGCCCGTGATTTGCTAGGAGCATTTGTAGTATATGAGTACAAACGTACGAACAACTAAACCGGGGTAAACACCAAACCTTTGAGCCCAAAACCAGCGGGCACCTCAACCCCGTACCTGCCAAAGGCCAGTGGGCGGGGGAGGTGGCAACGGGCAGTGTGTCCTTGTACCCCAGTTGCTGCGCTCGCGCCCTGCCCTGTGGTCTGGCTGAGCGGGGCTCTTCGGCTCTTCAGCTCTTGGTGTGGGCATCGTGCTGAGATGGAACAGCCAGCGGCCGAAAACCACGCAGTGGCAGCACAAACAGAGTGGACCGCCAGCAATCGGGGGCAGAAGAGACACCTGATGGGGCTCAGGGCCAACCGAGGGCAAGTGCATTGCGTATGGTTAGCAGTTCCATGAAACAAGGACCGGAGTCACGGTTGGGATGTTAGAAGGGGCAGCCATTTAGCAGTCCTGTCTGGAACTGCTTTTTCTCCTCTGCCCTCCCCACCTGCTTTTCCTTGTGTGTCATGCCTGCTGGGAAGGGACTGTTTTGTCTTTTCTAGCCTTTGTGGCCCAGGAGCAGGCTAGAAATGCTTTCAACAACTGATAAAGCCATTTGCTGAAGAACAAGCCAGGAAATCTGAGATCAGACATACATTTTAGAGCTGAATGGCAGGCGTGGGGGTCCCAGTCCCGATCTGGAGTGCAGATGGGAGTAAAGACTTATTCTCACTCCCCTTCTTCTATTATGGGTCACGGTCCCAGCAACTAATCTTTCTAAAAAGCCACGAGTGCAACTGCGAATTGCTAAGTGTTTTGGCCTGGGGGTGGGTCCTTAAAAACAGATATTTATTCTCACCTCACACTTAAACGGCTTCTCTCCCGAGTGCTGGAGGGAATGTACCTTCAGGGACATGCTTCGTTTGAACGACTTCCCACAGGTTTCGCAGGTGAAGGGCATGTCCTTGGTATGGGCTAGAAAAGCAAGGGGAGGAGCCGCCATTACTTTCGGAAAGCCAGAAAAGAACAGACCACGTGAGCACGAGATCCATGTGCCTCAGCTCTTGCTAAAACAAGCAACTTCTGGGCACGGTTACAAGGGAGCACAGATCTGACAGACTATGTGACAGCTTTAATCCCTGACACACTAGCTTTCTCGGTGCGGGGAGAGCTGCTTTTAAAAACCACAGGCAAACTCTTGAGGATGGGATTTCTTCTCCCCATCTTGCTCGATTTCACCATTTGGGGCTGCCAGGGAACCCCCAGGCGATTCTAAGCACATCACTCAGCTCAAAAGGGATTCAGGCCACCGGGAGAGGATCCAGAGGTCTCCATTTTCCCCAGAGCAGGAGGTTCCCAAGCAGTCATGCACCAAGGCCTAAAAACTGGTCTAGATTCACCAAAGGAGCCATGGAAGGTGGGATTTAGACAGAAAGAAAAGCGTGCAGGGCAAAGGAAAAGGACCCAAAATAACCCAAATTATCCCCAAGGTCAGTGGGGCCGTTTAGCTACTCTGGTTTTCAGGCTGACTATTCAAGGACTCATCCATGAAGCTGAGCAAACTCGCCAAATAGGTTCAGCACTACGGTAGCTCCTTTGAAGTCCAAACTGGAGCCCAGAGTGGATAAACCGTCCCACTGGCCTCCACTGCCTACAGTCCAATTTTCAGAAGGCCATAAAGCTCTTGGCCCCAATTACGTTTCTCCAAATTTTCTCCTCGACTCTGCTGGTTAACCAAATCCATCTTCAGTCATCGCCCAGTGTCAGCATCCTTTCGTTTTATCGTCTGTAGCCAACGGCCATTACAACATAAAGACTTACATCAAAGGCACAAATCATAAAAGAAGTAATTCCATTAATACATTCATTAAGGCTTCCTCTTAATTTTTATCACTGATATTATTCCAACTGGCTGTTCTTACCTTCACAGCGACTGGCGCAAGCAAGGTTACTTCATGGGTGGCAAATCTGTTTGAGCCCCTTAGCTTCCGGGGCCTTCCTTCAGCTTAGAGGTGGCAAATGGGGGAGGGCCTTTTCCGTGGTGGCCCCCATCTTTGGAACAGCCTCCATGCTGCAGACCACCTGGTGCCAAATTTGCCATCTTTCTGGCGCCAGGTTAAGACCGACCTCTTTGTGGAGGCCTTGAATGGCCCTTTCATGTTCTCTTACGCTATTTTAAATCCATGTTTAATTCTTGGGGCGAGTTGTTCACTCTCAGTCTAACCCACCTCACAGGGTTGTTGTGAGGATAAATGGAGAGGAGGACTCTACAAGCTGCCTTGAGTTCCTTGGAAGGGGAAGGACGGACGGACGGAAGGAGGGACATAAATCTAAGTCAGAATATTAAGATGAATTCTAATGTGGTTTGGAAAAGGGAAGTAAAGTGAAAGATACAATGAGCAATATAAAATCTATTGCTCCAGGTCTTCCATTTGGCCCTTCACCGGCATCTTGAGGGATCTGACAGCCAATTATCCGGTGGGCATTGGTGGAAACCGGAGCTGACTGAAAGCACACGTTACAGGCAAGAAAGTTAATTCTCGCAAATAACCAGCTCCTTCATGAGCTCATTTAATTTTAGTGGAACTGCCGTTTATAGATTCTCTTTTTGCATCTTCAGCAAAAATTATGCCCCGGTTCTTCCAAGCAGGCGCATCATGTATGATCGCTGCTGGAGAGATGAGTAACTCAACAGCAAACCCCTACATGTGTGTGGCGTCTCCTGCTCTGTAGGTCCGGAAAACACAAGGGCTGCTCTTCATTTCTGCAAAAAGAACCCCAAACTGCTGCACTATCTAGCAGAACTGGTACAGTCTGAGCCACTAAGACAGTCAGCGATGGTTCAACTCGATGGGACACAGCGGCTTCTTTTGGGGGTTCATGGAAGAGTCAAGTTGGAAGGGGCCAAAGGAGGTCGGTCTCCTTGTGTATCAGGTGGCCCAGGCCCAGTTCTGGCCCCACAGCTCATGCAGGTGTGCACAGAAACATAGAAGCAGAGCGAGTCAGAAGGGGTCCCCCGGGCCATCTAGTCTGACCCCCGGCTCTGCTCATGCCATGCCCACCATGTGCGTGTCCAGCCTGTCCTTGAACACCCTCACTGATGGGGCTGCCACCACCTCCCGTGAAAGCCCATTCCATGCCCTGGGGGTCCTGATTGGCAGGAAGTGCTTCCTGGCCTACAAACTGAACCTGGGTTTCCTGAGCTTGGCTCCGCTGGAGCGCGCCCTGCCTTCCTCCGCAGGGGAGAACAGGCATCAGCAGTGTGGCGGGAGGGGAAGCAAAAGCCCCCTCTTTAGCCATGTGATTTGTATTACGATTACATATTATTAGGAACATAGAAACAGAGCGAGTCAGAAGGGACCTCCCGGGCCGTCTAGTCTGACCTCTGGCACAAGCTGGCTTCGCTCACAACATGCCCACCATGTGGACGTCCAGCCTATCCTTGAACACCCGCACCGATGGGGCCTCAACGACCTCCCGGGGAAGCCCATTCCATGCCCTCGGGGTCCCGACTGTCAGGAAGTGCTTCCTGGCATCTAAATGGGACCTGGGTTCCCTGAGCTTGGCTCCGTTGGAGCGCGCCCTGCCTTCCTCTGCAGGGGAGAACAGGCACCAGCAGTGTGGTGAGAGGGGGAGCAAAAGCCCCCTCTTTAGCCATGTGATTTGTATTATGATTACATATTATTAGAAACATAGAAACAGAGTGAGTCAGAAGGGGTCTCCTGGGCCATCTAGTCTGACCCCCGGCTCCAGCCAGCTCCGCTCACAACATGCCCACCATGTGCATGTCCAGCCTATCTTTGAACACCCTCACGGATGGGGCCTGAACAACCTCCCGGGGAAGCCCATTCCACACCCTCGGGGTCCCGACTGTTAGGAAGTGCTTCCTGGCATCTAAATGGGACCTGGGTTCCCTGAGCTTGGCTCCGTTGAAGCGCACCCTGCCTTCCTCCGCAGGGGAGAACAGGCACCAGCAGTGTGAGGCGGAGATCAGGTTGGACTGCTCTGCCACGGCGAGCTGAAGGGCTGCACCTGAGCAGCACGGGGTGGACACCGCCCTGGAAGCTGGCTGGAGCAACGCCTCTTCCGCATGCACCCCACTCCCGTCACCACAGCAGACCTGCGACCGGATCGAGCGGGAAGCCGCAGCCAGCACCGCGGCGGCTCCCGCCTCCCCAGGCCCCACTCACCAACCATATGTTTCCGTACGTGCGCCATGGTGTAGAACTTCTTCTCGCAGATCTCGCAGGAGAACTTCTTCTCCGCGTAACCGTGGACGATTTTGTTGTGCTCGTGGAGGGACCAGAGCTTCTTAAAAGCTTTCCCGCAAGTCACGCACTGCAAGGAAGCAGGGCCCCAAAATGGTTAAGCAGGCCTAACACAGGGGCCTCTCCCGGATCTCATAACATGATCTTGACCCATGCAGACATCTAGGAACCATGGATCCAAAAGAAAAACAAAATATAAAGGGGTCAAGATTAGCTTGCAAAAAGTAGACGTTGACCCTTTGGACACTCAATGGTGCTACGGATGCAATTTTTATCATTAAGGAAACCCTTACTCTAAGCCTAAGCCTAAGCACCTTCCCGTCCCTTAAGATCTGGGTCGGGGGTCCTTCTTCGGGAGCTCTCCCTGAAGGAGCTTAGGAGGGTGGCTACCCGGAGGAGGGCCTTCTCGGTGCTGGCACCCCGGTTCTGGAATACGCTCCCCAGAGAGGCTCCTCTGGCCCCGGGCTTGTTCTGATTTACCTAATATTTTAAAAGCTGGTTAGGTTTTTAATGTATGGTTGTATTACTGGAGGCTACGCTTCATTTTCATCCTGCTTTTACTGAACGACCGTCCCAAGACAGCAGTAGTCGGACGGTGCACAGCAGCCTTAAGTAAATAAATCCACAAGCCTAAGCCAATTTCCGTGCAGCAGAGGAGGCCGGGGAGAGGGGGAGCGCACAGCCCGCAGGCTCACCTGGATGTTCTTCTCGCAGTCCGTCTGGTGGTGCAGCAGCAGCTCGCTCTCCAGCAGGAAGCGCTTGCCGCACTTGTCGCAGATCTGCATGCGGCTGTGCGTGACGTTCATGTGCTTCTCCAGGTACCAGCGGTTGTTGAAGACGCGCGGACACTTCTTGCAGGGGTAGTGCTGCTTCTCCTCCAGCTTGACCTTCTGGCCCAGGCCGTCGGGCTCCTTCTTCCGCTTCCTGCCTCGCTGCTCCTCGCCTTCCTCCTCGCCTTCCTCCTCGCCAGCGTCCTCCTCCGTGGCCACGGCTACGGTGGCCGTCTCCTGGGACCTGGTGGACATGGTTTTGGCGGCCTTGGGAGCCCGGCTGGGCCGATGGGGTAGCCCGGGCTGCGCCTCCGTCTTAATCTCTGCCACCACCTCCTCCCCATCCTCCTCCTCGTCTTCCTCCTCCTCCTCGTCAGTGGTCTCTTCCACATCCTCCTCTTCCGTGTGCTCCTCCTCCTCCTCCTCCTCCTCCCCCACGTCTGCGTCGTCGTCCTCCTCCTCCCCGTCCCCATTCTCCTCCTCTCGGCCCTCCTTGGGGGGGCAGCCCTCCCCTTCCGACTGCCCAATCACTGCGGTGAGGGCAGCTGCCGGGGGCGTCCCGGGAGGCTTCCCTTCCGTCCCCTTGGAGACGTTGAGGGTCTGGTTGTTGAGGTTGACCTCCACAATGATCTGCTCGCCACGGTTGTAAGAGCCCCGCTCGCCCAGCTCCACCTCCTCGCCCTCCACTTTGCAGGCAGGTGGGCCGCCATCTTTCTCCTCCTTGTAATACTTCTTGCCAGCTACGGGAGGCAGGCTCTGGTTGCCCCCGCAGGCCGCCCCATCCTCCACCCGCACGGAGTACGGCTCGGTCCCCTCCCGGGCGTAGATCTTGGGGTGCGGGGAATCCACCTCCTGCTTGATGTCGCAGTAGCACTGGGACCGGACGCTTTTGCCGCAGCCGTCCAGCGTCAGGGCCACGTTGCTCGCCATGGCCAAGCTGAGGGACCGGGTCTGGATGAGCTCCTGGCAGGACGTCGCGATGTGGGTCATCTGCAGGACGGCCGCCGCGTTCAGGACGTCCTGCACGGTGCCGGCGTTGACCAAGAGCTTGGAGGTGTAGATGAAGTTCAGGATCTGCTGCAGGCCTCGCGAGGTCAGCGCCTCCAGGGAGAGCTCTACCCTCTGCAGCTGCTTGTTCCGGGTGAAGAGGGAATGGAAGAACTGGCTGTAGGCCGCGAGGACCCCCTTGTGGGCCGGGAAGACCCTCTTCTGCTGCACCAGGACAATGTCGACGTCACACAGGTGTGGCTGAAACAGGCGCTGCTCGTTCAGTCTGTCCATCAAACGCGTGAAGTGGAGGGCTACATCCTCCACCAGAGAGTATTCGGCTGTCGGGTAGTCAGTTGTCTTTTCAACTATCAGCTGCCAGGAGGAAAGAAAGAAAAGAAGAAGAAATATTAAGAAATGCTGCCCAACGGCCGAACATTTCTCCTTCCCCTCCACACAGGCAGAGTTCAGCAAAACCCAGGAGAACACTTCCATGCGCCACGGCCTTTCGGCGCTACCAGGAATGCCCTTCGGTATTCCATCTCTACTCCAAATCCAGCCTACAGAGGGAATGCAAAGTAGTCCTTTTAGCAAGCCCACCGGAAGTATAGAGCAGAGATTCCTCCACAACCTCAGTCGCAATGGCTTTGAGAAGCCACAGGAGGTGCTCTCAATTCAAAATGGCAGCCAGGAATGGTTGGGTAGAAAGGGGGTGTTGAGCCCTCCTGGAGCTGCGCTGAGTCAAAAAGTCCAAAGGCAATTACCTCTCAGCTCCTTTTCTGCTGAAGAGAGGGGGAAATGTCCGTATACAGATGAATACCCTCTCCACAGAAACTATCTTGTTACTTCAACTGGTCCCCAGCGTTTCTCGGAGGAAAGGCAAAACACAGGCAAACTCACACTGACCTTCACACCTGAATTCTAGGAGCCATCACTCAAAGGAACCTCGCACACCTTCTCCAAGGTAATTACAACCCATTAAAAAATGGACTAATTTGCTCAGTTAGGAGAGCTCATTAGGATGAGTTAAAGCAGCCACTCCGGTGCTTGCGGCTCTTCTTTAATTACCAGGGCAAAGGATCACCTGCGAAACTTTGGAGTCACATTGAAGGAGCGCTTTCTTGCATGGCAAGAGGGAAAGGCAAGCGGGCAGTCCTCATGAGAGAGAGGGGGACGTTCCTGGATGAAGGGCAGCGAGTCCTCAGGAAAAGACCCGCGTTTGGAGAGGGTTTAAAAAGTGCGGGCAGGTGAGGGCAAAGTGGCGACACATCGAAAGCAATGTCAGGGGCTACTCTGCGGCCTGCTAGAGGGTGTTGTGGTGGTGGCGACACCAGCGATTAACCTGCCCTGACTGCCACAGAGGAAGGAGGAAAAGCTGGGGGGCTTCTAGCCCTTTTTAACCCATCAGTTTGGTGAGGCGTCAGCGCCTGGATCCTTTGCAGAATCAAGACTGGCTCCTTTATATCTATTTTTACCCCAGGGTTTTCTTTCTCTGCCTTGCCGTGTGTTCCACTGCACAACCACAAGATGGCACTGCAATACTGTGGAAATACACCACTATTTTTCAGCATTCTGCAGTGTCCTGACCCTTCACTAGCTCATTGCCCTTATTTATTTGTTTGTTTCTATCCCCTTTTCTCCCATTATGGAAAGCAAGATGGCTGCCTACAGTTCTTAGGTGGTCTCCCCTCCAAGCTCGGGCCAGACCTTGACCTCAATAGAACAGACGGTTGCAGAAATGCCCAGCAGTGCCCCAACATCCTGGAAAGCACCCTGAAACTGCCATCAAGGAAGAATTGTGAAAGAAGAGAAGCTTAGAGGGTTGCCAGTTGCCACCAGGTCAAAAGTGCGTATAGTCAAGGCGATGGTTTTCCCAGTGGCAATGTATGGCTGTGAAAGCTGGACCTTAAGGAAGGCTGAGCGCAAAAGGATTGAGGCCTTTGGACTGTGGTGCTGGAGGAGACTCTGCGAGTCCCTTGGACCGCAAGGCGACCAAACCGGTCAGTCCTAGAGGAGATCAACCCCGACTGCTCTTTAGAAGGCCAGATACTGAAGATGAAGCTCAGATACTTTGGCCTCCTGATGAGCAGGAAGGACTCCCTGGAGAAGAGCCTGATGCTGGGAACAATTGACAGCAAAGGAAGACGGGGATGGCAGAGGATGAGGGGGCTGGATGGAGTCACTGAAGCAGTTGGCGTGAGCTTAAGTGGACTCCGGGGGATGGTGGAGGACAGGGGGGCCTGGAGGAGTGTTGTCCGTGGGGTCTCGATGGGTCGGACACGACTTCGCGACTGGCAACAACAACAACCAGGTTGATTGTTCCCGTCGTAGAGCTGAGAAGAGCAGGTGGGGAATGGAGGGGAAGGCATGGGAAAGGAAGACGTGTGGGTCAAAGATGGCAGAGGTCTGAAGGAACAGCTGAAAAGGGGTGGGGGGTTGCACAAGGGAAAAAGGGGTCCACCGTGTTGATGCTGCGGCAGAATGCTGGCGTGCTTGAGACCAGCTTGGAAGGACATGGCACCTAAATCACTCTTCTTCCTCGGAAGAGAGCTCTTAGCTCAGAGCCAGAGGGCCTGTGGGGGGGGGGGGCACAGAGCTACTCTCTGACACCCGCAGTTCAAATGACACCTGCAGTTCTGTGAGCCGCCCCAAGGCTTTGTTGCGATGGGGGCGGCATAGGAATGTCCAAAATAAATAAATAAATAAAAATAAATAAAATGAACTCACGAGCATAGATGCATGAACACTGACTTTCCTTTCATAAGACTTCCCATCTGTTGACCCATCCACAACCCAAATGCAAGCCAGAGCACGTTTTTAACAAGGTGAGCCAAAAAGTTCATACCAAAACCTGCTCTCATAGAAGAAAAATGATTTTAAAGTGCATTGTTAACCATGTATATAAAAAGGTATTTTTGCATTTTAGTCCACAGGGTGAAAAAATGTGCACAGAAATTTGCACTTTTCCTAATTGAAATGCACACTTTTCTGATTGGAACAAATGGAAAATCGAGCTGTAAACAAAGATGACAGAAGGCCGCACTGAGCTTCAAAGTGAAACTTGGAGAATTTTATCAAGATCAAACACACCCTATTCTCCCATTCTTAGCAGGCTGCAGGTGATGGGAAATACCTTTTCATGTCAGGGACCCAGGAGATCAGCCACCTGTCCAGGTGGACAATACTTCGCTTCCTGGTGATGTTAGCTACTATCGGGTTAGACTATCGGACACCCTCTGCTACCACGGTACAGAACACGAATAACAGCAAAACTATTGTAACTATTGCATAGACCAGCTTTCCTAGAGCAAGCGGCCAGACTAACTGCCTTCTCTGTCTGTCTGTCTGTCTATCTATTGTATTTGTATGCCACCCCATAGGTCTCTCTGGGAAGCCCACAAAAAACAGAAACAACAACATGACAGAGCTGTAGTAAAATAAAACAACATCATCTCAACCCACATAAAGTCCAACTAATACAAAGCGCGAAACAGGAGGATAATATAAACAACAGTAAAAACAGCAATAAAACCAGCAGCGGAAAACAAACCTGTAGTTCTAAAAGCAAGACCCAAATAAATCCCAGAAGCTAGGCAGAGCTAACGGCATGTTGCTTTGCTCAAGAAAATGTCCCAAGACTGGAATATACAGATGAGAGTTTGCATTCAACTCCAGGAACAGATCTGAAGCCAGAACCTCAGGGATACAGGAGGCACGAGTATTCCTGCAAAACCCAGATGGAAAAGCAGTTCTGGCAATTAAGGTGCTGTTCCCAGAGTAGACTCTTTGGTCTTTGTACTGGCTTTAAATGCAGACTGGCTCGCTTCTGATGATCCAGACCTCTGGTCCATGATGGGTTAGGCCTGGTGTCCCAGGAAGCCAGCTTGCAGCTTCAGTGGACACGCAACAAAAGGTGTGAGAACCGGATGGACTGACAGGGCAGCCTTCTCAATACACTAGGACGGAAGGGGGAATTTCCCGCAGAATTCCACACCAAGAGAATGCAAACTTTCAGGGCCTATTAAAATAAACAAGCCACTAAACAAAATAGGCATCTTCTTACCTGAACGTATTTTGTGCTGCTTGTTCTAGAAACTGGGATGGATGCCAAAGACTCAAACCCGGCTCCAGAAACCAGCTTTGCCCCAGACCTTTTGGATTTCTCCAGCTAAGACCTGCTGCACTTGGCAAGCTCATTTGTCTCCACCCCCGTAAGGGCCAGAAACTTGTTTTTTTAAAAAGCGCAGGGATTGTTTAGGAAGTTCAGTTCAGCATGCTAGTCGCATTCCTTGTTTCTGAACTGCCTTTGTGCTGTGTGGCCCTGAAAAAGCCAAGGAGGCCCCTAAAAGCTCAACCCAGCTTTCCTCCTGAACGAATGATAGCACTTGCATCTTAATTACTGAGATAAGCCCTAAAATGTGCTTTGAGGCTTCCTACTCAACAGAGGAAGAGCAAAAGAACAAACAAAAACCAGAGCGGGTGGGTTTTGGCATCCTTCCTTGGCAGCGCTGCCTGAAAAAAAAATTGCATAATCCAGCCTGATCCAAGCTTGCTCTCTCCCCTCTCCGGGCTCTTTGCATCTGGCAAGCCCTGCTCCTTCCTCCCATCTCTCCTCACTCTCTCCCGCCTCGCACTTCGCTCTACAGCTGACGCTGGGTTGTCGAGTTGTGTTGGCACAAGACCTTGGGAGACTTTAAGAACACAGTCTAGTGTCGGGAAAGCAGATTTATGCTTCCTTTGCGCTGGGGAGCAGAGGGTGCAGGCTGGGAAGAAAGAAAGAGTGTGATTTGAGGGAGGGGGAGTTCCTAAAGCCATCTGTACATGCCCAGGGGCTTCCTAGGACGCATTACAAAATCAGCTGTGTTCACGCCAGGGAGACCACCGTGCAGAAAAAATGTCAGCCGCCAAGCTGAAATGAAAGACCTTGGAAGAAAAATCGGGCTGGGAAGCCAGGGTGCTGATCTGATAGCTGAGCTGCCCACACTGGATGGAAATCTAGAGGCGGCGCCAAAAAACGGATCCAAAACATGGATCCAGAGCCCTGCTGGTCCAGCTCGTGCAGTCTTCGATTTGCAACGCAGCCAACTGGCCGCCACTGGAAAACCCTTTCCTTCTGGACTCTGTTCTAGATTTCTGCCTGGGAACTTTAACCTGTTCCAGGATTTATCTTTTTTTTTTTTAACTTTTAGGCTGCTGAATCATCGAAGTTCTCCGGGCAGCCAGACGCTGTCTCAATTTTTTAAAAAGCACACACAATCACCACAAAAGGATCCTAAAAGCAGCACAGGATAAACGATCCCAAAGTCAAATCGGCAGCAGCAAAGGGTGAAAACAGGGCCGCCAGGGATGATAGGAGCTGTAGTCCAACACCTCTG